AGCAATTTTGTACAAAGTGTACAGCTTGTGATAAGTATAAAGTGTACACATTCAAACTGTAACTGTTTGTAATGTATTGAATTTTTTATCCTGTAATGTTATCAATCGAATATTAGCATAGAACGTTCCAAGTCTTAAAGGAATCGTAATACGCATATTTTTTTATAAGTCATTTTATATTTAGAGAAAAAGTATTAAGAGTTTATTTTAGATGAAATTTTTAAACAATTATTTAATTCCACTTTTGTAACAAAAATCGATGATTTTAAAAATTATTAATCAGAAAATTATTTTTTTTAGTTGTAATCTGCACCAACAATGCCACCAACTGAAATACAGAATAACAAATTTACCAATTAATAGATGACTGTCACCGGTAAAGTACAGTAGACCGACCCCCTATAAATCGGTAGATACGTTCCGTGTTTTATGGAATTGATGTTGTATAAGTCCGTAAATACATGAGCCAATCATAGCCCGGCATGTGTGCAGTTTAGGGACTACGGCTGTTTGAAAGGTTTTCTTCCATAAAATTAATCGATTTTAGACTAATTTGACTCATCATTTCCAAAACACGTATAAGTTTTTTGGAAAAATCCATATAAGCTGGGCTATAAAAGAATTGTGGGATTACATACCGAGTGTGCACCGTTCTACGACGTCATTGCTTAATTAAGCTTGTTTTTGTCGTAGAGCGGCGCATCGAATGGCGGCCGCGTGTTTAGTGTTAAATTTTTTTTTCTGCGAAAAATTTGCTAAACTTTGGAGACATTATTTATATAANAATTGATGTTGTACAAGTCCTTAAATACATGAGCTAATCATAGTTCGGCATGTGTGCAGTTTAGGGACTACGGCTGTTTGAAAGGTTTTCTTCCATAAAATTAATCGATTCTAGACTAATTTGACTCAACATTTCCAAAACACGTATAATTTTTTTTGAACAATCCATATAAACTAGGCTATAAAAAAATTGTTAGATTACTTACCGAGTGTGCACCGTTCGACGACGCCATTGCTTAATTAAGCTTGTTTTTGTCGTAGAGCGGCGCATCGAATGGCGGTTGCGTGTTTAGTGTTAAATTTTTTTTCTGCGAATAATTTGCTAAACTTTGGAGACATTATTAAGAAAGAACAGGTACAGATAACTTAGCTCTATTTGATACGTGTACGATCGTACATGCAAAAAAAGTCGACAGGGTTTTTTTTACTATTTCCGCCCTGTGGGCACTAAGAGGGCCTTTTATAGCAGGCCCATTATGGGTTCGGCCNTAAGTAACCTAAATTAAGAAAGAACAGGTACAGATAACTTAGCTCTATTTGATACGTGTACGATCGTACATGCAAAAAAAGTCGACAGGGTTTTTTTTACTATTTCCGCCCTGTGGGCACTAAGAGGGCCTTTTATAGCAGGCCCATTATGGGTTCGGCCAGGCCCACAATGGGGCGATCGGGTGGTGAGGGACGGGGCCTGACATATCCGAACAGACCACCCCCCGAAAAATTCCTGGGGATTCCTTGACCCGTCCGGATTCGATCCCGGGTCCCCAGAGAGGTAGGCTGCCACCTTGACCGTTGGCCATCCGGCCTCAAAGTCGACAGGTTGCGCGCCACAAGTCGGCGTAAACAGACTAACATGGCAGAGTTGCAGATGAGTTTCAATGAGTGTGAGTTCATTCACTGTTAAAATAGTATAAATTTGTAAACATATTTTCGAGAACTTTGTTTTATCGCAATTTCACAATTTCTACGAAATTCCCGGACTGTCCGGGTGAAAACCGAACAGGTGGTAACATTAGGAACAAAGAATGAACTGCATGCATCGATGAATCGAAATTCACATATTGCTAACATCGATTCAGGATCGATGTTTCAAAAACATCGGAAGGTCGATGCATTGACGAACAAAAACATCGATGTATCGATGTTACATCGATCATCGATGTAACATCGATACATCGATCATCACTACTAGGGGGTCACAAACTCAGGACGACACAAAGGACGGAGCGTGGCGTCCAGATACGGCCACCGCGACCCTGTATGATATAATCGTTATTTGTTCTATTTATATTTAACTAAATATCTGATAACAATGGGAGTGTTAATCATAATAAATAAAATTGTGTATTGCGCCATCTTTTATCAGATTTTGCTATAAAAACGTCTTTGTATTATTATTATAAAATAACAAAAAAATGCTTAATTTTAAGACTAGGGACGAGTTTTATAAAAAAAAAAATTGTAAATGCTAATAACTAGTAAAATCTTCATTAAGTCTGACCCTACTCGAGACAATTATTATTTATACATTGCAACCGGGAAAGTAAAAAGCACGTTTGAGATTTTACTTAAAATCCAACATGATTAATCGATGGCACAATTTATCTGATTTCATACCAACTTAGAACTTTTTCTTATTCTTTCGTTAAGTTTACATGGAGATTTCAGTTAAAAAGCTATCTATATCTATACAGAAAAACCTGTCTATGGCGACCACCCACGGTTCCTTCAAAAAGTGGTCCTTTAGACAGGTGGTCGTCCAATACAGGTGGTGCTGTAATACCGTATTTCCGTACGTATTTTGAGCATTTTTTAGCCATNTCGATAACCCGGCACTCCGGATAACTCGGCCACACCTTGGCAGGGCAAAAAAATCCTTAGTTAATTAATTTTCATTATAGACAGCTTTATAAAAGTATAAAAGCTCTCATAAAGTATTTTTCTTAGGTCTGTCTTATCAGGTAAATTACTGTACACAGTGTATTCATTAATTTTCATTTTCATGTAGTAAAGGCTCTATGCCTTCATAAAGGACGTACTTTTCCTTTGTTTAAGGGTATTTGGGCAGTTTATTCTCTGTTATATTCTCAAGTAAACAATACATACAAGTACAGTACAGTATTTTCTGAGGAAACACTCGTACTTATTTTTTTAACCTCATTCCCGATAACCCGGCATTTTCACAAACTTCGGTCCACATTAGGCCGAGTTTTCGAGGTTCTACTGTATAAATTTATTATGATTATATGGTTATATATATCTGTCATTTTGTTAACAGTTATCGGGACTGCATTAATTAATGGGTATATCTGGCCGTGGATAGGGTGTTATCTTCTTAGGAGTCTTGTCACTGCTCGTTTCTAAATTTTTGTTCTCTATTGGTTTAATGCTTGTGAGACCCTTTTTTTGTCAATATGTAGGCTATGTTTTGATTGTGATCATTAAAGTGTGGTTGAAAACATTAATTCTATTAAATTGAACTTTGCTGGAATTTCATGCTGGTCTGCTTATTAGTTTTGAAAGTCATAAAAATTCAAGAAATTTTAATAGCCTGAATAAATATTTTATATCTATTTATCTGCTTAGTTGATGATATATGTTTATGAAACAGAAGTCATACTATATTATCAAAATGCATTAAATTAAAGTTTAAAATTGTTTTATGTATTTTTAATATAATCATTTTTAGATAAAAGATGGCAAAAGTTATGCGTGCTGCAAGAATACTAAAATTTGGAGGACCAAAAGTTCTTCAAGTTCAAAATGATGTACCAGTTCCAAGTATTTTGGATAATCAGGTAAGAGAATTTATTGAATTTCGGTGGGTGATCGGTTAACGAACAGTTCGGACTGCAAACAAATTGGACGTCAAACGCTTTCGCAAAAAATTTTAATTTTTAACTTAACTTATTTTTATCTTTAACTTCTGTTCTCTGAATTTTTGTAAGTGCTTTCTGAACTTTTTATTTAAAAAAGTGATAATATTATGGGGCCTAAAAAGAGTGAAGTGTCAAGAACTGTGTTCACTATAGAAACTAAGCAAGAAATAATAGTCAAGTTAGAGATTGGGAAGATGTCTGATATTGTAGACAGATGACTTCAACAAGTCTACAGTAGATACAATCTTAGCTAAGAAAGATATAATCAAAAAAGACTCAAGAAACAGATAAAGAAGTAACGAAAATTGCATCTGAGAAACAAAGATGTACCATCCATGAAAAAATGGAGAGATTGCTTTTAGTTTGTTATTACATGTAAATAAACATAATTATATATAAAGTATATAATTTATTTATTTATTTTTTGGGGTCTCCAGAACAAATTAATCAAATTCCCACAAAAATCTATGGTAAATTGATAATTGGTTAGGAGATGGACAGGATTAAGGCTTACAGTAAAGAACTCTGCTTCTATTTATACTAATTAAGATGCGGTTTTTTGCGTTTTTGATTGCGTTTTAATAGGGTACGTCAAGAGAATGTACACTAAGAAGAAATTTTTTAAAAAATTATTCCCCCATGGGGAAGTGTTATACATTTATAATAGATACATTTTGAGCCACAACAACGCGTGGCGGGGTCTGCTAGTTCACCTATAAAGAACGATAGCGTCAGCATCCGATAATCCGGCCGAAGCTTTTAACTGTTTGGCTTTTCGTGAGAGCAGGGGAATAATGCCTTCCGGTAGGTCTTTATAGAGTAACTGGCCCCTATTCAGGCGTTGAGAAAACCCGAAAAACTCCATGTGGCCAGCCTGTTCGAGCGAGGTACGAACGCACAACCGAACTCCCAGTGTTTAGGGTACTAAGACCTCTTGGCCACTGGTGGACCGCTTATCTAGAGGTAAATGTGGACGCTAGATATTTTTATAAGTGTTTTCTATCACACTTAGAGGCTTTTGGGGCCCTGGTACCCCCAAAGTAAAAGGAAAACAACAGTAGTAAGGTTTCCAAAAAATGTTTCTTAATTAAAATTCATTTTTTATTTTATTTATATTATGTCGTGTCTTCTATTACTTATAATTTAGCTGTGACATAAGATAAAATTTTATTGAATTCGCATTAAAAATTTTTTTATCCGTTCAACTCATTTTTCCAAAGAAAAAAATTTAAGAACGCCACCGGAGGCTTTTGGAAGTAATATGATCCATATTTAGAAATAAGATTTGACACAAAACGGCCACCAGAGGTGGCAAACGGAAGCCGAGATTATTTTAAAATTAATTATCTAATCTCGTTCCTGTAGTCAATTTATAGCACACGCCGTCTAACGTACGATATTTATCGTCTGCTTTATAGGTAAGTCGTAAAATCGTTAATAATAAAGTTAATTACGTACTTTTATGTGTTTTTTTCGGAAAAATAATTTTTAATTACGTTACAATTATCGTTACCAGACGCCATTTCTTAACGTAAGGAAAGAGAACATCTTTATTATCTATCTGCTTTATCATTAGAATTACGTATTTTACATTCGAGTGTTTAGTTGAGGATTGTTTAGAAATAACTTTTCGGTCGTAATTAATTATTATCACATGTTCAATGAACAGGTTGATTGATGATGCCAAAATCAACAATAATAATAATAATAATTAGAACTGTATTAAGGATTTAAACTCAGCCCTAAACCGTAACATAGAACAGACCTTTCTTTCTCCACCAAATAATAAATTTGATTGTGTTCCAAGTTGCAAAATGTTTAGTTTATGCAAAAATTCTGTCTCGACCTGTGAGCTGATGTCGTGTAGTCAGTCACGAGTTTGCACCCAACCAGTGGGATCTTCAGGGTTTTCTTTGAGTGTTTGATGTATGAATGGGGCAAGTTTCCTGTAGAGATTCATCCATTCTCCTTTGCAGATTGTCCAATTGTTGCATTGCCTTACTTTCGTCAATCCGGTCTAGTCTTGACTTTAATCACTGCTTTACTGGTACAGTAGAACCTCGAAAACTCGGCTCTCGATAACCCGGCACTCCGGATAACTCGGCCACACCTTGGCAAGGCAAAAAATCCTTAGTTAATTCATTTTCATTATAGACAGCTTTATAAAAGTATAAAAGCTCTCATAAAGTATTTTTCTTAGGTCTGTCTTATCAGGTAAATTACTGTACACAGTGTATTCATTAATTTTCATTTTCATGTAGTAAAGGCTCTATGCCTTCATAAAGGACGTACTTTTCCTTTGTTTAAGGGTATTTGGGCAGTTTATTCTCTGTTATATTCTCAAGTAAACAATACATACAAGTACAGTACAGTATTTTCTGAGGAAACACTCGTACTTATTTTTTTAACCTCATTCCCGATAACCCGGCATTTTCACAAACTTCGGTCCACATTAGGCCGAGTTTTCGAGGTTCTACTGTATAAATTTATTATGATTATATGGTTATATATATCTGTCATTTTGTTAACAGTTATCGGGACTGCATTAATTAATGGGTATATCTGGCCGTGGATAGGGTGTTATCTTCTTAGGAGTCTTGTCACTGCTCGTTTCTAAATTTTTGTTCTCTATTGGTTTAATGCTTGTGAGACCCTTTTTTTGTCAATATGTAGGCTATGTTTTGATTGTGATCATTAAAGTGTGGTTGAAAACATTAATTCTATTAAATTGAACTTTGCTGGAATTTCATGCTGGTCTGCTTATTAGTTTTGAAAGTCATAAAAATTCAAGAAATTTTAATAGCCTGAATAAATATTTTATATCTATTTATCTGCTTAGTTGATGATATATGTTTATGAAACAGAAGTCATACTATATTATCAAAATGCATTAAATTAAAGTTTAAAATTGTTTTATGTATTTTTAATATAATCATTTTTAGATAAAAGATGGCAAAAGTTATGCGTGCTGCAAGAATACTAAAATTTGGAGGACCAAAAGTTCTTCAAGTTCAAAATGATGTACCAGTTCCAAGTATTTTGGATAATCAGGTAAGAGAATTTATTGAATTTCGGTGGGTGATCGGTTAACGAACAGTTCGGACTGCAAACAAATTGGACGTCAAACGCTTTCGCAAAAAATTTTAATTTTTAACTTAACTTATTTTTATCTTTAACTTCTGTTCTCTGAATTTTTGTAAGTGCTTTCTGAACTTTTTATTTAAAAAAGTGATAATATTATGGGGCCTAAAAAGAGTGAAGTGTCAAGAACTGTGTTCACTATAGAAACTAAGCAAGAAATAATAGTCAAGTTAGAGATTGGGAAGATGTCTGATATTGTAGACAGATGACTTCAACAAGTCTACAGTAGATACAATCTTAGCTAAGAAAGATATAATCAAAAAAGACTCAAGAAACAGATAAAGAAGTAACGAAAATTTTATCTGAGAAACAAAGATGTGCCATTCGTAAAAAAAATGCAGAGTTTGCTTTTAGTTTGTTATTACATGTAAATAAACATAATAAGAAAGTATATAATTTATTTATTTTTTTTTTTGGAGTCTCCAGAACAAATTAATCAAATTCCCACAAAAATCTATTGTTAATTGATAATTGGTTAATGAACAATTCAGATAGCAAATATAGTCTGGGAATGGATTATGTTCATTAACCAATTACCCACTGTATTTCCTATTTTTTTTTTTGTTCAGTATTGTTATATACAATTTTTCAAACTTTTAAAGATATAAAAATTTGTTTAAATTATAGAAACATTACAATAATACATTATATTCATTTATTGTATAATATTTCTAAACATATTCATTTAATTCATATTCTCAATAGGTTTTAGTACAAATTAAATCTGCTGGTGTAAATCCTATAGATACGTATATTCGTGAGGGAGCATCTGGAAATCCTCAGTTGCCTTATATTCTTGGTAAAGATGGTGCAGGTATAATTGAAGCTGTTGGGAAAAATGTAAAAAAAGTAAAGGTAAAGATGAAATTAGAATTAAAAAATTTGACATTCTTTTCAAGTAATTATCAATTAAATACATTTATATTAAAAAATCAGGTTGGTGATAGAGTCTTTGTTTGCATTTTACCAACCAATCGTCAAGGTACATATGCTGAATATGTTGCAGCGGAGGAAAAGGAAGTCTTTCCACTTTCTGAAAAATTAACTTTTCATCAAGGTGCTTCAATTGGAATTCCATATTTTACAGCTTTTAGAGCTTTATTCCTAAAGTATGTTATTTTTCAATTTACAAAAATTTTAAAATATATATAAATGTTATGTTGCTGTTGTGATTTATACATTCCTGTTTTGTATGACTGAAATATACTATTATTAATAATAATTAAAATATTTTATACATGAAAAAGTTAAAATAATAGGTTTGATTAAAATAATTCAGATTTGAAAAGAAAAAATCTAAGAACTTTTACCGTCAACAAATTGAATTGCTATCAGTAATATTTTTGTAATTGAGGATTTCTATGGAATAAGGTATCTAAGTGCACTTAGATACCTTATTCAATTAAGTGTTTTATTATGCGTACTGAGTAAAGTTTTATCAATATAAATATTCATTTCCCTTTCTATAATAAGCTCTTTACTCAAGTGTATTTAACATTTACATCTTACTTCTTAACAAACCTCTTCCAAAAAAACAAAAACAGTTTTTTGAGAATTCCTTAAAATATCAGAATTTAACTTAAGTATGTTTTTCTACAGATCACCTCATTTGCAATTGTGATAGAGGTAATGTTTAATTAAATTTTTATGAAAATAAATTTTTATCTTATAATTTGTAATCAAAAATATATATTATATCTGTTATGAGAAGAAAATTTATTTCTTTTTTTACAAAATAATGTTTTTAAAACAAAGATTGCTATGAGGTTGTTCCAAACTGGTAAAAAGGAAGACTGATATGAGCAGTGGTTGACCGTTGGAAAATTGAGGGGAAATTTCCAGTAGACTGTTCTCGTTATATAGGCTTATATATGTGGGCCTATATTTGGTATATATTTTCAGGCCAAATTTCATTGCCAATCTGATGTCAGATGTGACAAAAAGCTATACACATGGCTTCCACTTGTGCTACTTTTTTCTATTTTGTTGACATGCCTTACTTTTTCTACATTTTGGGTGTAAAATTTTGGATAAGTATATTTTTTGGCCATTTGTTATTCTAAACAGGAGCAAAAATTTTTGTAGATTTATGTTTTCAAAATTCTATAGTAGTTTTTCATTTTAGTTTGTTGTTGTCCACATTTCAGAGAAATATATCAACTATTCAGTGCCACATATATAGCAAGAATTTTAAAGCCAGTCAAATTAGATTGTTGTGTTATTTTGAAAAAATGTACTTAGATTGGCTGTCAAAATTTGTCTATACCTAAACAATAGGAACAAGTCTGATCTCAAGGTCAGCCAGAAAAAAAAGATGTTTGGACAAAATAGAAGATCTAAAACTATTAAGAATATTCAACTGGAAAATCATTTTGGCAGATAGAAAGAGCTGAAGAAAGATTGTATCTGTAGCAACTAATCAAGCACTAATTTTTGTATTTGGGGAATTACAGCTGATCATTTGAAGTACAAGACCAACTGGGGAAAATTGGAACTGCCTATTAATTTACATTTTATTTTCATACATTTCATGATTTATAAATATTTATTTTGAAATTAAATGTGATGAAACCCCTTTTACAAGAATAACTATAACAACCTATGGCATTTTCAAGAGGAATTTTCTGATTGTTCATTTAAGTGGGTGTTTACTAAGAGAGATTTTATTGCATTTTTTTTATTTCCTTTTACAAAAGATTTTGCAATCTCCTACTACTCAATGCAAACATTGAATGGTAGGAGATTGCAAAAACTTTTGTAGGATTAAGGATTGGCTTAACACAAAGGATGATAGATCCCATTTACTATTAGAAAAACATTTACAATGTAAAATGTTTTATAAAAACTTATTCTTTCTAGCTAAATAGATACTAAACTAACCTTTTCGCATATTTCCAGCAATTTTGATATAAACATGAAGCATACATTTTCGGCCTTGTTCAGGGGCCAGCATCAGGCTTTTTATCAGAGATTTTATAGCCAAACTTTTCAATTTTGAACACTTTTTGAAAGAAAAATGTTCTGGTGCTTTATATCAAAAAAACTATGCTAAATTTTCTAAATTACTTTATAATTACTGTATTTGAGGCCTATAAGACACACTTTTCCTATGTCTTAGAAGCTGAATTTGGCAATATAACACATGACAAAGATCATGATGATTGTGACAGTAATGAATCTGAAAAAATAAATTTGTTTTTTTTTTTAACTGAAGATTATGAATCAACATTATACATATGACTGGAGAGAATGAAATTGTATTCTGCTATAAAATGTATTTTGAGTACCTAAGTATATCTTCTTACTCAGATAGAGTACAATATTGAAGAATGCTGTCAATTTGTTTTTGTAATGGAAATATTATATTTTGTATTTAAGCTCCTCATTTGGAAACTAAGAGAATAAATAAAAATTACATTAAAAATTAAGAGAATTCACTACTATANGCTAAGAAAGATATAATCAAAAAAGACTCAAGAAACAGATAAAGAAGTAACGAAAATTTTATCTGAGAAACAAAGATGTGCCATTCGTAAAAAAAATGCAGAGTTTGCTTTTAGTTTGTTATTACATGTAAATAAACATAATAAGAAAGTATATAATTTATTTATTTAATTTCAATTTCTTTCTTAATTTTTAATGTAATTTTTATTTATTCTCTTAGTTTCCAAATATATATATACATTTCCCTTTGTTGGTGAAAGCCTTTCATACAGAATAATTAGGATAAGAGTAAGGAAACAAGGATGTTGTTCAAATTTTAATATATTTGTGAGAAGCTGGGGATTAGAGAGTAAAGCTCTAAACCCCTTTGATTGGTGTTAGGTTCTTAAAACCTGTTTATGTTGTCACTGGATGGCTAGGAGGACTATAAGTTGAGTGGGGAGGTCACAGATAAGTCAATAGAGTGACTAGTTTAAACAATTGGAGTCAATGCCAGTTTAACTAAACAGTAACTTTAATAGGAAAATAAAATTATTTACTATAACTAGCTATGATTACAATTATATGTATAGCATATAGCACATGCATCTCTATACGATTTGATATCTATGGGATATATACTGCCTTTAACTTAAGATTTAAGTCGACTGAGAGAGAGAGAGTTTACATAAATTGGTTAACTATCATAACTCTACTGTAATGGCCATTGTTCTAGGAGATAAATTATCTGTGGAGGATTGGGAAGACATTTGGAAAGACGCAAAATTCACAAGGTTAAAGATATTTCTTAGGGCAGGGGTTGCCAAAGTGGTCGATATGGAGCCCCAGGGGTCGATGCAACATCATTGGGGGGTCGATGCGGCTAAGGGGTTACAACCTTTTTTTTTTTTTTTGCTTAGACAGAGACCACAACCTATAACGGTTTTTTTTCTTTTTGCTCATACATATACCCTTGTAATAAAACTTTACAGTGGGGGTCAATATGAGGCTTTGGAAAGTGATTGGAGGTCAACGGTTAAAAAAGTTTGGCGACCCCTGTCTTAGGGACTGACTATGGTAGTACAGGAGTTGGCGAGTAGAGCTGCTTCTATGCTCTTCCTAGTATGTTTGCCCCAACAAGTGGGTGTCTGGCCATTATATCCCTCTCTGGTGTGGGAATTTGGTCTCACGACCTTATGTTTGTAGTGATGACACCTTCAGTATGTCATTGACAGGCCAGCTAGCACAGTGGGAATCTGACTTGTTGTTCAGACTCACACCGTGAAATTGTTTAACTTTTGAAACTTTCTCATATCAGTGAGAGGGGGAAGGGACTTGTTGGGTCAAAGACTCCTCCTTTTAACATGAGTTTCTTAGTCTATTGTTGACAGTTAAATTAACATTTGATCATCATCCGTTTTTAACTTTGTGAGAAATGGATGGTAATAAAGAAAAGTTTCTAGTAACGTGAATTTTCATTTGAAATTATAGAAAAACAGCTCCAAGCTTCTCACATTTATATTAATTAAATGGCCATAATACAAATCTTTTTTCATGCATGCATTACAGTACATAATTCATGCATAAATCACAATCATTCTGTATTTATGAAATACTCTGTATTCAATATTAAACAAAATGCCTATTTTTATATATTAGAGCAAATGCTAAGAAAGGAGAAACTGTTCTTGTTCATGGTGCAAGTGGTGCAGTGGGTTTAGCAGCTATACAGATGTGTAAACATTATGGCATGAAAACTCTTGCTACTGCAGGAACTTCAGAAGGGATAGATTTAGTTCAGAAAAATGGTGCTGATTACGTTTTTTGTCATAAAGATAAAAATTATTTGGACGAAATGATGGTAAATTTAAGTAAAATAAATTATAACTAATGTATTTATATACATTTTCTTAATTGTTGTTTAATTTTAGAAAGCAACTCAAAGTAATGGAGTAGATGTCATCTTAGAAATGTTATCAAATGTTAATCTTGGGAATGACCTCACCATTTTAGCTCCTCGTGGAAGGGTAATGGTAAGTGTATTATAAATGTATTTATATAGAATTCTTTTTTAGATTATATATATATATATACACACTAGAAGGTGGGCCCGGCGTTGCTTGGGCAAAAGTAACGATAACTAAGATAAAGATTATTACGTTACAGTCAACCTTACCCATTTTCACAGAATGCAAGAATTGGGTCCCCTTGTTTCCAGACTAATTAGAGAATTTTTAGATGGGTCTAAAAATATGTTCGATTTCACAGAATGCAAGAATTGGGTCCCCTTGTTTCCAGACTAATTAGAGAATTTTTAGATGGTTCTAAAAATATGTTCAATTTCCTGCAAAAACGAAAAAACTGCATCTGCGCCTGTAAATCTTGCACGTCGCTTTCTCTTAACAATTCCATTGTTATGTAACACTTCCATCAACAATGGAAGTGTTAAGCCTTAATCCTGTCTTTCTCCCCCGGGGGTAATTTCGAAAAATCCCTTCTTAGTGTGCATTCTCGTGAATACCCTAACTGTGTACCAAATTTCAACTTTCAACTCCTAATCGTTTGGGCTCGTATCCATAATGTATATAGAAGCCTTAATCCTGTCTCTCTCCTTCTGGGGGAATTTCGAAAAATCCCTTCTTAGTGTGCGTTTTTGTGACGTACTGTAACTGTGTACCAAATTTCAATTTTCAACTCCTAACTGTTTGGGCTCTGCGCTTATTATTATTATTATCAACCCATCTCGATTATATATAACACCCTGAATATATTCAGGGTGTTATATTCAGGATGTTTCAAAACTATGTCAGAAATGTAAAGGCAGGTAGAGGGCACCTAAATAAGCAGATTTTGTATAGGAATGTAGGTACGGAAATGCTGTGAGAGGGTACTGTTGAGTTCAGTGGATGAAAGTGCTTTACTGGCTTGAATTGTCATTCCCTGCATGGATTTTCAGCAACATGCATCGTTACACCAACGCTGAGCTTGCCAACATGCATTTCATATATGAGGCTGCGCAAGGAAATAGAGTGGCTGCTCAAAGGATGTACAGTACATGGAGCAATTTCTGGGTAGGAATCTGCCAGATTGCCAAACATTTGAGCATGTTCATCAGGAGTTGTGTGCAAGTGGATAGGTTTATGCTTCCAGGCATGATACAGGCACTGGAAGATATTGCAGATTGCCTGCAGTGAAAGAAGCAGTGTTACACACAGTAGAGGATAGTCCTATGACAAGCTCAAGAGCTGTTGGACGTGCGTTGGGTGTGAGCCATGCAACTGTTTGGAGGACTTTACATGAAGATGAAATGCACTTGTATCATTTGCAGAGAGTGCAAGCATTGACCCCTGCCGATTATCCTGTGTGTCAACTTTGCCTGCTTTTAGCTACAGCAGGCTGCATCCAATTCCACCTTCCCTGCGGATGTTTTATTCACTGATGAGGCTACTTTTTCTTGGTCGGGTATGTTTAACACCCATAATTCTCACCTTTGGGCTCATGATAACCCACATGGCACAAGAACACATGGCTACCAAGAAAGGTTTTCCATTAATGTTTGGGCAGGCATTGTGCACAATAACTTAGTAGGACCATACTTAGTAGGACTAGTCGTTTAACCGACCACACATATGACATCTTCCTACAAGAGGTCTTACTTGAACTTCTGGTCGATGTTCATCCAGCTGTTCGCGCACAAATGTGGTTCCAGCATGATGGAGCCCCTCAGCAGGAACATCAAGAATCACCTGTACACTGTCTACAGCCAGCATTGGATAGGACAGGACGGACCTGTTCCTTGGCCATCATACTCCTCAGATTTGACGTGCTTGGATTTCTTCTTTTGGAGTCACATTAAGAGTATGGTGTATGACAGTCCCATAACATCTGAAGAAGATCTGGTTGCCCAATTGTCTATTGCTGCTGGAAATGTGCATGACATGCCTGATGTTTTTAATAATGTACATCAATCCATGCGCCGCCACTGTGAATCTTGTATCGCTGTTGGTGGTCACTCTTGATAAATAAATTGTTGCTTTCCTTTGTCTTTACTTGTCTTTTCACTTACCATATATACAATTCTTTATCACTTTAACAATAATAATAATAATTTACTGTAAGCTATTTCCACATTCATTATTGATATAATTGTTAAATATACCATATGCCATATAATTATTATTAATTACATATACACCTATCCCTCTTTTTTACACAGTATTTTTATGCAATTTTGAAATAATGCAGTTGATAAATGAAAACTAATCCCATTTTTACATGATAAATTTTTTTTTTACATGGAAAAAGAATACTTGATTTTATTTGAAAATTTTTTAATACAATTTTTGTTAAAACAAAAAAAGTTACTCTTTTTGTTGAAATCAAGAGTTCATTTATCTTTTTTAAACACAGTACAATACTATACAGTGGTGGACAAAAATATTGGAACACTTGCTATTTTTGAATTTATTGTGAAATATAGTTAAAATAAAGTAATTGTTTTCAAAATAAAACTTGCATAGTTAAGAATAATATAAAGTATATTACAAAATTTTAAACTAAAATTACATAATGATATGTTCTTAGAAAATTAATGAAGTTTCCTATTCATCAAAACAAAGGACAAAATATTGGCACAGTTGAAGATAATGCTAAAAATATATTTCAATTTATATTTTGTAGTGGTTCTTAATTAATAACAGCTCTTAATCTCTTTGGCATTGAATGCACTAGTTTTTGCATGATTTCAAAGGAGATTTTTTTCCATTATTCAAGGAGAGGTCTTTGAAATGATCTAAGTTCAATATATCTTATTTTCTCATTCTATCATCAAGTTGTTTCCATAAATGTTCACTAGGATTCAAATCTGGAGATTGTGGGTGATGTTTCAGTGTGTGAGGTGTATGATAAAGTAGTCATTGATGGACAATATGAGTCAGATGTTTATAGTCATTGTCCTGCTGAAAGTAAAAGCCATCATCCAAATTTAGTTTATTTGCACTTTACTGAAAGATTTTCCTTGAGAATACCATCATTTTATCCATTGTATTGTCTATGAATACAAGTTTTCCCACATCAGTAGCTGACATGCAACCTCATACCATCACACTGCAATTCCCACATTTTACTGTGACTTGTGTTGGGTTTTCTCCAAAATAAATTTTTTCCATTGTTGTGAATTAAAGTGAATTTACTTTCATTTGAAAACAACACTCTAGACCAGGGGTGGCCAAAACGAGGCGCATGCGCCAAACTTGGCGCATTGGACGATTACAAGTGGCGCTTCAGTCAGTTCTGAGCAACATTGCCAGATTTGGCTTCTTTGCAATTATGAATATTACATAGAAAATTAATTTTTTATAGTCTGTCTTGGCAAGTTCATTTGTTGCACAATTCGTTGCAATCAACTTTACAGATAAAATGAGTGTTCTCCACATAGTAAATTACAGTGTATGCATGTATGTTTATTTTCGATCAGTTTACAGGTGTCTAAATGACAGTGCTAACGTCCCACGATAGTGCTACCGTCCGGACTGTCCGGGAATCGGAATCGGAATCGGATTAGACTACTAACTTCTTTTCCCGAGTAGTTCCTGCAACACCTGTTGACCTTTTGTTTTTGTTTTTTTTGCCTGTATGATACACGATACATTCGTGTTCATGTACGTACACCACTGATATCTTAAAGAACTATTTTATACGGGTAACTACACTACAACTGCATTTTTCATTGCTTGTTCTGTGGCAAAACTGAATTTTCGTCTTATAAATTGAAATACCTAATTAAGGGGTGGCCGAAATTTTTCTCCACCCCGGGCGGCTAACACTCACGGTACGCCACTGCGCATCTGAACTCGTCTATCAAAAAATTGGCGCATGGTATGCAAAAAGTTGGCCACCCCTGCTCTAGACCAAAATGAATTATCTTTATTTATATGTTCTTTTGCAAAAGCAAACCTCCTCTTTTAATTAATTTATATGGTTTTCTTCTGGTTACTCTCACTCTATAACCAGCATGATGAAGGATTCTGTGAACAGTTTTCGGATGAACCACCTTATTGAAATCTTCCCTTATCATCATTGCAACTTCAATTTTTTGGCTTCTTGACTGAACAGACATTTTTCTCTCCTCTGGGAGTAAGTTCTGTGGGCGACCATATCTTGGTTTATTTTCGAAGCCTCAAGTTGGTTTAAAATGCTTATTTATACTTCTTACAGTAAACCTGCTCTTTTTAACTATTTTCCCAATTTCTGAATATGCTTTGTTAAGACTACACAAATGTGAGATGATTTTTCTTTCTTCTGTTGTTGTTTCAGTACCTGTACTATTTATTTTGGTAATAACAAGTAGATTGAAATAATAATTTTCATACATGATACAGTTAAAAGAATCATTGGATTTCATATATCACCATACTGGATATAAAAAATGACATAGATAAAACAAATTTGCTTAGATATCATCACTGTGCCAATACTTCTGTCAGTTCAAATCATGTATGTAAACTTTCAAAGCCATTTATGTATGTATGTTATCAGCCAAACCCAATTTTGGGCCAAACTAGTTTAAATACTTTAGTCTTAATTAGTTTGACCTTGGCTGAACTGATTTATGTACTACAAATTGGTGCCAGTGAAAAAAAATTATTTTGTGTAATTCGAAATGCCACCACAGTACACCTGGTGGTTAAAATGTACCTAGGTAACTCCAATGGTGGTGCTTCGGTTAGGTTGGTTTAGTTCGGTTAACTACATTTTTAGTAGACATTTCCTTTTTTTTCTTTTGTTCAAGAACTATCGTGGATCAATAACTAGTGATGTTAAACAATGGGCGGCCTGCCAGCGGCTCCCCTCCAGGAGGAGTCTGCCGGGAGCACAAACAGTCCGAAGTGTTGTCATTGGGGTTATCTAGGTACACTTTAACCCACCCTATAAAAATAAATAAAAGATTAAATATTTTATATGTTACACTAAGAAACACAAACAAGTTCATTTTTAATTTTTGTTTGACTTTGAAAGTTATTTTTATTATTTTGTTTGAAGTTTTGAAAATATTTTTGAAAGTTAATTACCTTTAAAAGTGCATGGCTTAATAAAAAAAATACAAACTGATAAGTACTGATTAGCTTATTTTTATTTTATAGTTTTGCATAAGTGTTGTGTCACTTCTAATCAATACCGTTTTTTATAATTAAGTAGACTATGTTTGAATAAATACAGTAGACTCTTATAACACTGTTGATAATTCCGTTTTATATGAATTCCATGTTGTATGAGTCACTTAGATTTTACAAATATGTGTGCCGGTTGTGAATGGCTCACATATTTGTAAAATCTAAGTGACTCATATAACATGGAATTCAAATAAAACGGAATAATCAACAGTGTTATAGGGGGTTCTACTGTATTGTTCATCTAATTGATTGCCTTTTTAATTTTATTTTAACCATTAATAGACTTAAATCAGGCCTGGCCAACCCATGGCCTGTCACATTAAATTGTGTGGCCCACTAAGCGATATTATATATCTATTAAAATTTTCATTTTCATTTTGTGTATACCAAAACAATTAAATAAATGAAAATTTGCATGTGTCATTGTTATAATGCGCAAGTGTGAGCACAAACTCTTGGTATAACAATGAAATCTTATTCATTTTTTATTTGTTTTACTTTTTTAAAAGCATGTTTACCTAAATTGTGGCCCATTGTAATGTTACGCTTGATCAAAGTGGCCTGAAAAACAATTTGGGTTGGCCAGACCTGACTTAAATAATAATTCTAAATCAGTTTGGCCTGAAATCGGGTTTGGCCAGTAACATGTATACTTTCAAAGCCAAAAATACTTAAATATTCATCACATAATAACACTAAATAAAAATAGCATCTAATTATTAAATGAAAATTTCACAGGGCTACAAGAAAATTTAAGAAGTGACTGTGTGCCAATACTTTTATCCATCACTGTATGTGCATCAAAGAATACTTACTATATGTCAATGTAATGTTTACTATATTTACGTACAAATAATGTTAATGATGAATGATGATAGGAAAAAAAAGGCTTGTTTCTTTTGTAAATTCCTTTTTATCATTCCATTAAAGTTCTGAATCCTATCATGTATTTTTCTGTGATATGCATGCACTGTATGTTTTTATGCCATGTTCTTTGGAACGTATCCACTGTGCAAAATGGGGATAGGTGTGTCATTTATAATAATGTAATTTTCTGAAAGTAACCTGCATCTTTCAAATTGGCTTTTTAAACAAAAATAGTCAACAGGTTGCTTCACCTTTTTAGTTCTTCCCATTTTTTGAATATCAGTTAAAATGCACACTGATGTAATTACAGTAGATCCCCCTATAAAACCGTTTCCTATAGTTATGATTCCTATAAAAATTGTGGCAGTATCCGTAAACAACGGTAAAAATAACTCCTATAATACGTAAAACGTCATCGGGCAGCCGAACTACTTTCCCGCCGTCCGTAGTGCCACGCTACGGACGTTTAGGCGGATAAATTGAGTTTAGTATCGTCTGTTCATATAATTATATATAAATTAGGTACTGTACATATAATTATATATTAATTTAATTTATTGTAACTTTATTATAATTAAATATATATTTTTCGCCGTCTAGCGTCACGCTACGGCGAGTTAGGCGACCTATCGTCTGTCCAGTACTGTAATTTTATACATTTCTTGTGAAAGAAACATTTCTTATTTAACGGCCATAAAAATTATTTATATTAAGGATGTCTCCAAAGGTCAACGAAGTTTTCGCAGAAAAATAATATCAGAAATCGCGGCCGCGATTTGATGCGCTGTTCCGCGACGAAACCAAGCTTCAGTAACGGGCGTAGTCGAACGGTACACACTCGGTAAGCAATCCTACAATTTTTTGTTTATAACGTAGTTTATACGGATTATTTTCAAAAAAATATACGTATTTTGGAAATGTTGAGTCGAATTAGTCTAGAATCGATTAATTTTATGAAAGAAAACCTTTCAAACAGCCGTAGTCCGTAAACTATGATTCCTACAAAATTGATTCATAAAGAACGGAACGTATCTACCGTCTTATAGGGGGATCTACTGTAAATATTTCTACTTCAATTTGTATCTTGAAAACTTGTAATTAGTTCTAAATAATTCTCTGCATGCCATTATAAGTTGACTAACATTTGATAAAATTGAAATAACTCTCAAACCCAAGTTATTGAAGATTATTGGCATCAAAAGTTAGATGTTATTTTAGCATTTATTTAATTGTTTCTTAAACTCTGTTGATACTAGTATGTAGTACTATGCTGGACTAAGTTCAATGTATAGTACCAAATAAAAATGCTATTTTGTTTATAAGCAGCTAGATAAAGGGATAACCCAATATACCAGCACAACCTGACTGAAAATTTCTGACAATTTAGACAAACCCAAATTGACAGATGGACCAGATTTGAGTCTGGACAATAAAGTGCCACCCTATTGGCACTTTTACCAATTGGCCATTCAGCCACATCTTAATTCTTTGATCATTTAGTTATAACAGTTTTATTACATTAGCATATTTTTTGTTTAATTGTCTCATTGTAGATAATTGGCAGTAGGGGAGATGTTGTGATCAATCCGAGAGCAATGATGTTTCCCGAAACAACTATAACTGGAGTTGCACTGATGTCTTCTTCTGATGTTAGTTATTTTCGTAAGTAAATCAATAATTTAAAAATGATTTGAAGTTTTACAAATAACATTTTGTAGGAAGAGTGGGAGAAAATAGGGTCGGCAGTTTGTTCGGGTTTGGAAGAAGGTTGGTTAAATCCAGTCATCAATAGAATTTATCCTTTAAAAAATGTTGGAGATGCTCATCACGATATAATTCATTCAAAAGGAGCAAAAGGAAATCTTGTCTTATCATTAGACTAAATAACACTTATGTTGAACTTTTTTAATAATTTTATATTAAAAAAAGTGAACACATTATGAAAAACGATTTTAAAGTAATGACAAGATTTTGTAAGTAAAGCTAAAATTATTTTTATTAATATTATGTACTGTAGAGTCCTGGAAACTGAACTCTCAATAACTTGACATTCTGTAAAATTTATTGTGTCATCCAAAAAATAAAGAAATAGAGGTAAAAATTGGATTACATATAATTTAACACTAGTATCAAATAAATTATTATTCTTCACTAGTGACACAGGCACAAATAGCATCAATTCCACATGTTAACAAAGGATATAACCCTTTTCCTAAGGTGCCAATGCAAATATCACTAACTTGAAAGTAGCATCCAATATATTTTTTAATTGCAAGTATAAATAATCACTATTGGTACATAGTTAGTATGTATATGAATTTGCACATAGCTGGATTTTCTTAAAGGTATATTTAGACTAGTATCATTTCTATCTATAAAACTTGTCACCTTCTCTGTTCACCTTGAGTCAAGTTTGTGGGACTCTGCTGTAATATGTTGTAATAAATTATAACTTTTTTATTGTATTAAAAATACTTGTAGCTTTTCCATTATATTCTGAAACAAAATATAGCTCAATTTCTTGAAGTGGCCAAAGAATCTAAATGGTAAGACTATAATAGTACTGTTACTTAATGATTTATATAATCCAGTAGTCTAGGTCCTTAGAATGTGGTTTAAAAATTAACAAAATCATTTTTTTTCACTTGTCTAGCCAGTCCACTAATTTAACAAGTAAATTTTCACTCTTGAAAAATGTCTCTCTGTTTTTTGTAGCATGTTAAGTATCAGTTGAATGAAATTGATACTAATCAAAAAAAGATGTTTTTTATATGAACATTTTCATGTATAACAAATTCATTCATTAAATACGTGACACACAAGGAATTCAATAGTTTGGGGTTTTAACACTTTTCATAAAGCTACGAACCGCCATTGTCAAATATTCATCTCTGCAGACTTGAGTATCGTATAAAAGTTAGAATTTGAAGATTCATACAATCTGACAAGTTTTAGTTGTTGATGGTTTTAAAATCTTATTTAATTTTTACTTATTGTGAATTCTAATACGTTATTAAAAAGTGGAAAAACATTTATTATTATTAATTTTATTCTGCCATTTCTAGTTTAAGGGAAAATAAATTTGAAGTTTTCATTTAAGTATCCAAAAAACAAAAAATTGCATCATCACTTCATTGAATTAGAGTAGTGGCTACTTTTTTTATGTGCCAAAAGTATAGCTTATATTATTGCAATAGAGGATTAGCTGATAGAAATCACATTGATTAATATGCCATTTAAGTTAACACTTCAAGAACCCCTTCAGATAAGTCTGACTTAGCAGTGCTACTTACTTACAAATTTACTATTGTAAATAACTGTGGATCAGATTTTGCAATGGTTTTTGGTGGATGCAAAAAATGGAGCCACTTGTGAGAATCTGGGGAGGTGAAATAAGATCCTTTCTATAAATTTAAAAGATTTCTCCAAACTTCATTTAATAATTTACAAAATTATTATATTTTTGTTAAAATGACACATTTGTGTGGGAAATTGAGGAGAAAAAAGGAAATAAATTTTCCTTTCCATCCATCAACTTCTCAGGGCGAGTTCTTATCATAAATTTTGACATCTGTTAGTTTGAGCCATCCCTAATATCCTGTCATATAGATTGGATTTTTCCCCTTTTATCTCATAATCCCTTCCAAGTCTTGGTGCAAACACTCCCAGAAGCCAAACCCTCATCTGTCACCTCTATGATAAGATGGATAGTTGGATGATGGTATGCGACAATCATTCTGGACTATGGAAGCTGGCTGGCTGTCACAGGCTTCTCCGGGACAGGAGACACTGTACTCAACCTTCCTGATGATCGCCCTGAACTTCCCATGACAATCATTTTTATAAGATCGTCGTTGGCACTGAGCCAACTGGTCGTTCACTCATTATGATGACTAATTAGCACACACACATTGACTAATGAATAAACGGACAATGACTTGCCTTTCTTCCTTCCTACCTTGTCGATGTGCAAGATTTGACATCTGATCTATTTCCGTTATAATGTGCGATAATTTTTTTCATCCTCGAATGTAAAAATATGTTAAACTCAGAAATTTATGCCCTCAAAACCCTCATGCTCACACTACTTTCCATTTTCTTTAAAATTATACGTCTTCTGGACAGTATACTTTTAACATTCGAATTTACTCTCTCTCTCTCTGTATTAAATTTCTCTAGACCGACATGGGGCTCACAGATGAATCCAGAATCAACTTTTCTCTTCGAATAAGTGGCTTCCTCTGAAAGGGACTTAATTGCATGCAAAGTTATAATGGACATTGTATTCATTCTTAATTTGTATATTATCATCACAGTTTGATACTTATGAAATCAAATTTTAAAATACAATAGTTTATAAGTGTTTTCCTTTTTACGTATCAAATAAATATTTCATCAAAAGAAAAATACTTTATTTTCACAAAAATTATATCTGGAAACAATGGCTGATGATGATTATATGGTCAGATATAAATGACATCAGCCATTGATTTACAGGAATTTTAAATTATCAAAGGTTATAATTTTTTTTATTAAATTAAATTTCTGCCAATAGCAAAAAATAAATGAAGTTTATAAACAATACTTTCTTAACATCAGTAAAATATACAAAATTACAATGGAATATACATGGGTCATATTTTTTTCTCTTATCGTACAGCCGACTTTAAACAAATCTTACAATTTATTTACAGACATTAAATATATAGAGAATGAAATTTGATGAAAAATAATTAGGAGTTAGAGATTTTCGAAATTGATTGTCATGGGTTTATCAAAAGAAAAGGAAAAAAACTAAATCTTTTAAGTGCATTTTATTACTTCTGGGATGAATTTTTATTTAAATGACAAGATAAAGAACATTGTATGTAGAAAACACTTAATTTATCATTAATATAGTAATTCAATAAACTGATTTTATTTTTTAATAGGAAAAATACCTTGAATCTTTGAATTTTCAGCTTTTGAATGACAAACATATTTTGGAGGTAAGTGCAAGAAAATTCAAACGGCTCGCAGTTGCAAATGAATGATTTGTTAACATCTTTTTAATTGTGAATACATTGACTGGATACTACAGTGGTACTAAGAAATATTTCTCATCTTGTACGCATTTAAGTTGCCTCATCTGAACCCGTGTCTTATTTTTGAAACGTAAGTGATATTGTTTAATAATTTAGAAAATATCTCTCATATATTGATTCAAACAATTACTAATATCTTAGTACTTTCTGTTAACTGAATGTCATAAATTCAATTTATGAAAAATGTAAACTTTACTTCAGGTTTATAATTATTAGGATTTCATACAATTCTACTTTTTGATTTGAAAAAAACTAATTAAAAACCATAACTATTATTTGAACATATGGAAAAGAAAAAAGAAGTGGAATTTGGATAGATTCAAGAGTTATGTGGAGAATGATTCTGGAGACTTCCCCTCCTGAAATTAGCTGCTTATGATTTGTTAAACATTAGTGGTAAGATATTTTTTAGGTTTTGAAGGCAATAAAATAATTTAGTTAGTGATGACCTATGTCAAGCTACAATTTTATAGTAGTATTTCAATGGCTTATACAACTTTGAAAACACGTTGTAGATCGACCCAGGTCGTCACTTAATCTCATTCAATGTAAATATTTGTTAAACCAAACAGACTGGAAAGAAGTGCAGTTTGTGGTCCTATTTTTTTGGTTTGAAAGAAAATGATACTACAATGAAATGAAACTGTCATAAAAACATGCGTTGTTTGGTCTACTTGATTAGTTGCAAAAGTGCACACAGTACTGGACCAATTATCTGGCAAGCTTATGCCCAGAAGTGATTTGGATTTCTGGACACAGGCTTTGTATAAAATATACCATACTTAAAACATTAAATAAATACAATTTTGTTCCCAACTTTCCATTATTTAACCAATACACTTAAATCTGTTTCAGCTTAAATATAGGATACCATGTATAATAATGTAATATTTAGGATGAAAAGTAAACTGTAGGTGACAAATGCAGCCTACTGGATTTCTAAAAGCCAGATTAGTACACTAACAGTCCAATTAAGTCATAGCACAAAATCAAATTAACAAGAGTATTTAAACATGAAAAATTTCAACAAACTTACTCTTCCTTAGTAATGCCTTACTGGAAAATGTATCATCAACTGTTATAATTTATATAAATACTTGAACAAAAGTATACATATAAATTCAAATCTATTTTGCCGAATGCACATTAATGAAATTTAACATTATTGCCTTCTATTTTATGCAAATGAATTATACTACTGTATAATTATTAGAACAATGATTTAATTCATGTTGACATCTGCTACAAATATTGATTTATTTATCAATAATAATTTGCTTTATAATTCTCCTTGTTACATTGCAGTATTAACAAAGAATTCGTCAAATTATAAATGTTGAAACTACAGCCAGAAAGAGGATAATCATCCCATGCAGCTATTTGTAACAAAAAATCTGTTACAAAAGTCATCATGCATCCAAACTGACAACAACTATAATTTCATCTCATTGAAACATCTCTATCTCGTTTTTATTTTTTTGTGTGCTTGGAATAAAAGTTCTATACTCCGACAAAACTTGATAATTATTACAAAAGAAAGATGAATCGTCCAATCCAAGATCTTTGTGATTATCATCAAGATACTTTTCATAAAATGCATTTCTGATAACGCTGAATAATTGTTCTTTCGTCAAATACTGCATTTATCTTGTGTTACAAGATATCTAGGACAACGGGATACTAGGCCACATTTAGGCATTTTATAAATAAATAGTAAATGTAATGATTTCAACTATATTTTTTAAAGGAATATAATGATTTTCAATATTGATTCTCTGAAAATGCAATGGATATCAATATACGAAAATATATACCTCGATAGAAGAATTGAAGAATAGTCTGAAATCTAAAGTCTATGTTAAAATACTTTTAACACAAGAATATACCTTAAGGGTAAAAATGTTTTCAAAATACACACAAAACAAAATATTCAATTAAAACCATGATGATTTTCCCTTACAAAGTATTATCCCACAATATTTTATATTTTTGGAGAAAAGTAAAACCAAAAATCTAATACTGGTTTATCAGGATTGTTATCAGCAATAGAATAATGGGAAAAAAGTATAATGCATATTATAAAATGCACTTAAAAGTACATTAAAAAATATATAAATTTTCATGTAAATGCTCTTAATAAATCAGTTATATGGAAAAATAACGTACATCTATGAATAAAAGCCGACTAATTAACGACATTACAAACACTTCGTATATTAATATATTGAAAGTTTCCTATTCTCAAAAATGGGATCAATCTTTATACAGTAAGTAATGATGATTGAAAAAATAATGAATTATTTGTACATGCATCATTAATAAAATGGTTGGTGGAATTTATCTCCTCAAAATTTAAGTTTACCTATTTAATAATGGCAATAATCTATGGGATGAGATTCATAAACAACATTAATATAAAGAATATAGATTTGTTTGGACCTACTGAAAAGTGCACGGAAATGATTATGACAATTATGCCATAATTTACGATAATCGAGGACCGATTTTAATCTTTCAGAACAAGCTCGCTTCTCATGATGCTCGCGTCTTGGTCGGCCAGACTGTTGTCAGACAGGTCGCTGTGCATCTGCGAATAATATAGCACTTGCTGGTTCATCAGTTCCGTTTCTTCTTTGCCCAGCTTCTGTCTGGACATGCAACTGTTCCACCACTGAACAACTTTAAACTCTACGATATAATAAATATAAAATTAATTACACACGACCCGTTGCAAAAATACATGTATATTTTTTAATAAGTATACCTTGATAAGGTGTTGACACCGATCCGGCCAACCACAGCGACATGTACGTAATGACGGATAAGAAGCAAAGTATTAAACTAATCACTAAAAAACTAATTGGACCCTTTCTTTCAAATTCCTGCAATTATTAATCAAATTATTAGAACGATTAAAATTTACATAAAAATCTTAAAATATCATACATATGCATTTTGTACTCACGTGACCTACAATAACCGGTAACGACATTTCCCCAGTAGCGGCACTAAACACGAGCACACTAGTAATGGTGGCTAGGGATATAGTTAAATAAAGCTGTTTAAGTATATATATAAGAATAAAAATTCTACTTAATATTTTTGTAAACAATAAAGACTTACGAGTTACATTGATATATTTTTCTGTTAGAGAAAGTGCTGTTGGAAACACGCTGCTCATAAAGAATCCCATAAGACAAGTACCAATAATAAGCATAATCTGATTATACCTCAATGCTAATATCATCAAAACACCAAATGTACATCCAATCTGGAATATTAAAATATAATATAACAAACAACTTCAAGAAGAACAAAATCAAAAAGTTAACCATCTGGCTAACTTTTTGATTGAAAATAAGCTAAATAAGATCAATTAATCTGTATCAGTATTACAGGTAAGGCCAGCTTGTAAAACTTTAATTCGTGAAGATGGTCAAGGCATAACTAGGGTTGCCACCTATCCGGGTTTGACCCAGAGACTCCTGGATTCAGTGAGTTATCTCCGGGGTTAATTAATATTTCTCCAGGTTGTGCAAGTTGAAATGAATATTTACAAAATTATATGCAAACCGTCGCATATATTTCTTTCCCCATGTACCAAATTACTAGTGTGGTAATCATTGGCTTAAAGACATAACGTCTATAACTGGCATAGGCACAGTGCTGCTGCATGCTATGTAGTTGTACTCTTTCTTGTGACTGTTCTGTCAAGAGATGTCTATTGAGAGTGAAATGATATAGCCTACATAGGTGACAGTTTGATAATCAATGTTCATGTTGGTTGATGATTAATGGTAAGTTTTAGTATATACCGTATTTTGACGAGTATAAGTTGCACTTCTTTTACTACTTTTCGGGGCTCAAAATCATGGTGCGTCTTATACTCGATAGGTAACCATTTTTACAGTGAAATTACCTACAATAGTGGTCCACTCTAGGGACCAACCTGTGCAGAGGTCCCTCAACCGAATGGCTAGAGTACCTAGATTACAAGAGTAGTGACACACGAGTCATCGCCGCCATGTTCTGTCGACTGTCATCACGTGACCTCCGAGTTTACATTAAGAAATGACGATTCTTTCAGTTTAATAAAGGTATCGATTCACCCATCCGCCATATTCTTGAATAAAAAAATGAATAAAATGCATCTTTAGACAATCCCATTAAAACAATTTTTTTCTAAATTTTTTGTCTCAAAATAGGGGTGTGTCTTATACTTGACAGCGACTTATATTTGTCAAAATACAGTAGTTAGAGTCAGACTGGAGCAGGTTAAACAGTATTACATAACAAATGTATATACAGTGAAAACTGTTTAGGCGACCACCTGCATTCGACGGGCACCTGTCAAAACGGGCAAAAATTTCTGGCACGGAATAGTTTATCCATAGAGTCTTCGTATAAGTTACCTGTATTAAACGACCACCCGTGTAACACGACCGCGGGCATCGATTTTTGGTCCGAAACAACATACAACACCTGTAATAAGCGACCACTTTCGCGAATGTATCTGGTCTAAACTATTGTAAGAACCCATTTCAATAATGTTTCCACCTCCTAATATAATGAATTAGTCTGAACTCTCGTTCGAAGTTCGAACCCATCCCGGTCACTTCTCCCACCCTCGAAATTAGATGCAGGTGTTAATAAATTAGTGTAGCAACAAAGGAAATTCATTTCAGTTTGTTGGAAAATGTACAAAAAGCAAAGTGCTGTCATTAGAAGATCGTATTAAAGTTATTACAACAGCAATTAGCGGAGAAGCTTAACTGTGGGAAAACAAAATTAATTTTACCCTAGATTTACAGTATTTTCCTTGGGAGTGTAAAATATTGTACACGATACAATTAATCGGCTGATCTCATCGTTTGATAAAATCTATTTTTATTTATTTATTTTGAAGCTCATATACAGTACACGTGCGATAAATAGTTTCTGTATCAACCTACCTTATTTCCACGATATTTTTAGAAAAATAATATCCAAGTAATTTTCGCAGGCAAAATATTAAAAAAACAATAAACGCATTAATGCAAAAATCAGTTTTACTTCCTTTTTCAATTCCGCGATTGTAATGAAATCGTATAATGAGAAAAAATAATAAAATCGTTTTATTATTAATTAATAATTTTTCTTATTGTACTTAATTAATTAAGAAAATATTAAATATTAAAAAATACAGTATTTTTAAAGTTAATATAAGATTAAACTAACGAAAACCAAAAGCTAAGTGATGGAGAGATAGGACGCGGTTTTATATTGATGACGTAATACACGTAACTGAGGAGCCAACGAAAAGAATCGAGTCCAATTAATTAAGTCAAAAAAAGAAAGTGTGCATTATAATCGAGAAAATGCGAGTATTGTATTAATCTTTAAAATATTGGTGTTAAATCTGTCTTATAATATCATGATGACTCCTGTAAATTGGGTTATCCGATAAGAATAAAATACAGTACTAATATAGCCCTATCGTTGAAAAAATTCGCTTATTTTTGCTCGCCTCGAGTTTTGCTTAGTAGAAATGGCTAAAAAGTGCACAAAATACATATGGAAATACAGTATTACAGCACCACCTGTATTGGATGACCACCTGTCTAAAAGACCACTTTTTGAAGGAATAGTGAGTGGTCACCATAGACAGGTTTTACTGTGTATATTTTTTAATTCAAAAATTTTTACCTACGCGAAAAAATTTTATCACAATTTTAGTCAACCTTTAATGATGCACAATTAACACAATTGTTTTTTTATGGGATTTATATAAATAAAAAAACTGTATATTTATGCATATGGGTTTTTTTTTTGGTTTCTTAAATCATCGTCTCTGGGCAAGACTAAGTTATGAGGTGGCAACATGGGCATAATACACACAGTCAAACACCATGATGGTAATCTTACATGGTAAGTGTACTATGGAACTAGTTAAGAGTTTTTAATTTCTTTCTGCCTTGTACATACCAAGATGACCATTTTTTCTATCATACCCATTGTGAGTTTCCAAACAGGGTCTGAAATCACAACAATTGTATTAATTATATAAAAATTTCTGAGACAAAAACAAAATGAAAGGGAGAGAAGGGAAAAAACTCATACAAGTGATAGATCATTGTCAAAGTCCCATCTTTCTGGGTGGACATTTATCTATCGACCTAAATTAGAAAATTGAAAAAAGGGGAAGGGTTGTATCAAAGGACATCATGCTAAATCATTGGAATTATAAAACGTCAGAGAAGAGGCAATAATGGAATAAAATAAGATTACAGGTTTCATAGTTCCATCAGCATCTCCCAGTCAGAGTCAAAGAATGGAATCAAATAAACTCTTCAAAACAGACCATTCTTGCGACCCAATCTGATCTCTGTTTTCATCTGGAGATGGGAGAGACCAATTGGGAAGCGAGACAAGGGAACTAGAACCAATCAAAATGTGAGATTAGAGGGAGAAAACTATAAAAACCCTGAATCTCAAGATCAAAACAGAATTCTTTGCCTATTGTTACATGCAATAAATCTGTGTTCCTTCTGCCTTGAACATTCCCATCATAACCCGACCTCAATATCGCCACCCGACTTCAATGAGCACACAACAGGACTGGCCACTTTGTCATCATCTCTGTCCCAGGGCCATCACAAACCCTCAGCACAAGAATCAACTGATGTGCCACACACTATCACCTATCAACATATGTGACAAACTGGCAACAGGCAGTCTGTTGTTGAGAGGTTGTTCGATATTCATGTAAGCAATTATCTACTATAATAAATGGTTTTTGTAAGAATGTGTCATCTCTGCCTCTAGCACCACCACCCACATATGAACAGCCCCTAGATTCTTGATGCAGGATAACTGATTTCATCCCTGTAAGTTGGCAAACTCACACTGGTGTTAGAGAAGTGGAATTTTAAGTCCCTGATCTCCACCAGGTCAGTGAACTCACACCAATATGGGTTTGGTCTGGCTCACAATTGGGTGGCCAGGCAGTGACAATGGTAATATCTCTATACGGACCACAGAAAAATTTATGGAGGTTTTCAACACATCTGGATTCAATCCTGGGTCCCTAGAGCAGTAGGTTGTCATCTTAATCACTTGAACATTGGTTTAGTTTGTATTGTAACATAACATTGGAGAAATTCAACCATCTCAAGGCTACAGTTTTGAGATTGCTTTTCCTGGTATCTTTTTATGGCTGTGAAGAGGGATTTGGTGTTCACACAGATAACCATTGCCTATCTGGGACATGCTGTGTTACATCTTGCCCAATATTTTTAGAAAATGTGGATATAGCCTGCCAATCAAACTGCAAGCTTTAACTTGTTGATACAGTAGTGTGTCGATTATCCGAATCAATTGGGGATGGGCTGTTCGGATAACCGATTATGTATGAAAAAATACATTATTAATATAGCCCATGTTAAAATTTTTCTCCATTGCATGTTGCTTTACGTTGAATTTTTGTTGATGTTAAGCCTAACAAAAATTTTTATAATAATAATCGTGGCTATTGTATCGTTAAAAATTATAGTTTAGAAGTTAATCTAGTATCAAAAATGTTCGATTCAGCATGACACAGTCCGACTGGAATGCTTTCGGTTGATCGACATTCAGATAATCGACACTCTACTGTGTATAGTATCAAGTAACCAAACTAACAAAGGGGAAAAACAGGTTGACATATGCAATGTAGTTTCAATTCAATAATTCATGTAAATGTTTTCTTCCCAAATAATATTAACTATCTGGTATACTACTAAAATAAAGTATACTGCACTTACAATATTTCCAAACAGCATAATTGTTGGCGAAACTCTCGTAGCCAACACGATAGAAATGAGACGTCCGGCTGCAAACATTCCCTGGAGAAAATAAACAAAAAGAAATATATAAAATTTAAAATACTCCATGAGATTTAACAGTTTTTCGTCATATTAAATTAATTACTAACCCAAAAGAGTGCATTTAGATATGCGGCGTCGTATTTAGGTAATTTAACCGGGCCTTTCACCGAATACGAATAAACATAACCTCCGAACGTTGCCTGTATAAATTAAAACAATTGATCAGTCAAGAAATTCATATTATTTATTTTCTTTCATATTGTAAAATATATAAATTTGATTTTATAAACAAAACAAATAAATTCATTAAGAAATAGAACTATTTCATATATGAGTATTGTTATATATATATTTTCCTTTGAAGTTAATAACACATTTAAGTTAAGTTAATCAAATGATGATGCTGGATTTTTGGTGCAACTTGGTCAGATGAATCCGATATCATTTGATTCATTTATAATTTTGTTTTAGTTTACTATATAATACTTTAAACTTGAAAAAAAAAAGTTTGAGTGTTTCACACTAATTAATGAAATATTAAAGAAGAAACTTGAAAAAATTAACAATTTAAGAAGGGAATTGTGGATGTACAGCTGACTGTATAATACAAATCATATAATGTTTATATGATTTGTATTATAGACTGTATAATACAAATCATATAATGTTTATATAATAAATATTCTTTGACAGGATAAAGTCATCTTTCACTTATAATAATAAAATTTTTAAAAATACAAAATATATATTACTTCAAAAATTCTATAGTTTAATTGTTTCCATATTTTATACAGTGGGTGATCAGTTAACGAACATAATCCGTTCCAAGACTTTGTTAACCATTTCCATTTACCATAGGTTTTTATGGGAATTTGATTAATTCGTTTTGGAAACTCCAAAAAAATGTATACTTTCTTACTAATTTATTTATATGTAATAATAAAAATACATATATATTGTGTATATATATGTATTTTTACACAGTCTTGTGTTTTCCATTTGTGGAGGTTAAAGAATTAACATTAGAAAGATTCTTTAACCTCCACAAATGGAAAACACAAGACTGTGTAAAAATACATATATATACACAATATATATGTATTTTTATTATTACATATAAATAAATTGCTTTTCTCTCTTTTTCAGGATTTTTCAGAAGTAATTAATAGCATTGTCGTTGTAGTGATCCCCAAGCCTATTAACCTCAACCTGGTTTGGATGCCATTCTAAGACCGTTGTTCTGACATCCTCCCACTTCTTCAAAAGATCTTTAATCGCACATATCGGCATATTCTCTTTTTCAAAAGAAAACATATCTTGCTGTGTTTCTTGGTGTTTTTCATTCAAGAGTTCTTGGCATTCTTCTGTCATCAGATCAGTTTCAGATTCCATTATGAACTCTTCAATGTTCTTTGTTTCTCGGATGTGATTTTTGTTACTCCTTCAGCTGCTTGAGTCTTCTTGATTATACAGTATCTTTCTTAGATAAGATTGAATTGCAGCCTACTATAGACCTGTTCAAGGCATACTGCCCAGCAACATCAGACATTGCCCACTCTCACCTTTCGAAAATAAAAACCAATGTAAAACTTAATGAGTGCCTGCCTGCCTGACATTCTTCCAAATACTATAAAAGAATTGTTTCTGTCAGAAAAATGAAAGGCTGGAAATACAAGGGAGAGTTTCAAAGTTTGAAAGAATACTATCCGATCAGTATTTACCGTGTTGAGTGTTGATGTTGACGTCTCCTGCGCTCTGTAAAGCTTCGAATTGTTGCCTGAAGACAAGGAAAGACCAATCGATATTCATTATTTTACATCACTTCCTCTTGTGTTTGCTGTCTGAACATAAAAATCTTTCGTAAAAGTATTGGTTATCCAATTTGTTCATTAACCGATCACCCACTACATTACAGTATTTTCATTCTGTGATTTTTCATACAAGTTAATTTAAATAGTTCCAAAGTTTTCCAACAAAGAATTAATGTTTGACTGCATTCTACACAACAGAACATTCTAATGCAGTAGACTGTATTGTATTATACACAAACACATACTGTTTTTAGAGATCATTCAAATTCGTTCATTGAAAATAAGCAGCGTTATTACTAGTCAGTGCACTGACATATTAGATGCAACTATATTTCAGCAGATGGTAATCAGGAAAAGTTGTTTTAATATTTGTTGAAATATGTACATTAGAAAAATCTAAAATGAAACATGCAACTAGGGGTGTGTTCGTAAAGTCAAACGAGTTAAACATTACTAATGATTTGGTCATAAAGTACAAATTCCACTTGGTGTATGCTCAATGTTGGTGATGTTTCAAATAAAACCAATGAAATTCACAAAGGAAAGTGTTTTGTTGCATGAAGAAAATGGCATCCGATAATGTCGATGTTTCTAAATCTACTCTAGTGTTTAAATTATGGATTAAAAAGTTGAAATGATACAAACAACATTCCATCTGAAACAATCTAAGAAAAAAAATATTTTGGATAAGACTGTACTAGCAACATTCGTAATGTTGATTTTAGAAACAGCCACTTTGTTGTAAACAAATCAGTTGATATGTCTATTACATCATTCTTGTTTAACTTTACAATTGTCACCTTTGTTCCTTTATTTAAGCATCATAAAATTGAAAACTATACCAAGATCATCATTCTCGTGAATGCCGGAGATTTATTCACTTTTGTATTACCCTAGTTTCAAATTTTTATCAAAATGTAAAGACTTTCCATGTAAAGAGAACAAGAAAAACATGGCAGATATGACAAATAGTAACACTCATAGGAGTTCAGAATCTCCTATGAGTCCTATTTGTCATATCTGCATAACTGTAAAGATTTCATCCTCTATAAACTGAATTTGCAAAGGACCAAAGTACTGAGATTCCCATTTGTCCCAGATACAGTGAAAAATCAGGATCTGGTCATTGAAAAATGGACATTAATCCTTTCAATGGTAACTTTGTTGATGTTTTTAGAATTTGTAATTATAAATGCAATTTTTGTTTAAATACATAGATTCAAAATATAACTTACAGAATCCTTATAAGTATTCCTACATTCTTTGTGAAATACTAGCTTGAAGTTAGAAAACTAAACTTGAATTACAGTGCATTTGGAACTTTTAGTACTTAAAATGCTAATTTGCACACACATTTGAAAATCCAGATAGGGTCTGGTCCCAATTAGCCCAAATTTTCAACACTAATAGTATTATGAATTTGTGCTAGATAGAATTATCAATAGTCTATGAAAGTCAGCACCCAGTTATATTTCTAGATGTAATTTAAAAATTTATGGAATTATCAATATATTTTTTATTAAAAAAAATATAAAATATTACTGTCATTTTTCTGTTATATTTATTAATAGAAAAATTATGAATAGCTCTCACAAAATATGAAATAGTTTAAAAAACACGACATATTTATTATGATATCTGATAACCACAGCAACCACGCATGAATTTTAAATGTAATTTTACTTAATTTTCTCAAATCAATATAAAGTGCAGAAACAACATTAAATTTGACTTATTGATAATTCTAGAAAAAGTTATAAATATCTAAAAAAAGTAGAAACATCTACATTTGCAATACGACAAAATTTATCAAATATATTACTTTATCTATATCAAAGATACCTGGAAAAGTGCCAATACTATTGATTAATCAGATCAATTTTGATAAAAATATTACATAGAAAAAATCAAATTAAAAAGTACTTATATTTACGATAAAGATATATATATATTATTTTCCTTATGCGAGTTAAATGAAATCACAATTTTATCAAACTATATTTTAAAATAATTGTCATTTCTTGCAAATGCATGATTATCTTGATAGACATCTAAGTTAAAAATACATGTACAGTTGTTGTAGAATAATTTTCAAAATTTTTGAATATTTTTAATCATTTTGCGAGCATTTAGATAGAAGGATCAAAGGAAAACTTAAAAAATTAATATATAACTGGCACTCTATAGAAGAAAAAGATATAGAGATACTGTCCGGAAGCTGTTGCTAGAGAGAATACTTCTAATGCTTAAAAGAAAATTCTGAATATAAAAATTTTTTAACAAACCTGCAAGCCATCGTATAAAAACATTAAAACAGCACAAAGAAATGCCACCAATACAATATATCCATTATTCACTTGCGAAGTTTCTTCTAAATTTTCCTTTGATTCTGCTGTTTTATCTGTCAAAATATAAGAATAATTATTATTTTAATTAAAAATTCTGTGTATAGTTGGTGCAATGAGAGATTGCACTTGTTCAATACTAACTGTGTTTATCATGTAGGAGATAGGGTGACAAGATGGGATAGTTCTGCGGTAATTTTGCTATACGTACAAGTACTTAGGCTGTACAAATTTTATCAGTTATGTCACTTTTTCCTCAAAAAGAGCATTTGTGTAAACAAAGTGAACCCTCCATACCCTGAGTGAAAACTGATTTTGAAGAAAAATATAGAGAAAATTTTGATACAAAGAATACTACCCTATCTCCCTAAAATAGTACAATTACTATTGATCAAGTGCAATCTCTTGTCATGCCGACTATACAAAGAAACACACACACACACACACATATATCGTATTGCTTGCATATAGGACGAGGTGTGACTTTAAAGTTCAAAATAAAGAAAATTAGATTTATTAATACAACTCTAATTTTATTTTGTTTAATCGCAAATAAAATATCAAATGCACATAAATGCAAACACTGTCCCGCAAAAATACTAGCATTTTAAACTTCAAGGAAAAATCTTGTAAAATCGACAACATAATTTGTTCACATAAAGCTGGACAATCGGGAACCTTTTTTGCCAATTCTTAACAGTCAAATTGACTCTTCATCAATTACACTTATGAGTTTCTCCGAATTCTGATATCCAGATAATCATATGTTTTCACATGGGAATGTATTAAAACTTATATCGGGTTTTCGTGAGATTTTGGAATTTCAATTTAAAAGCTTTGCTTTTCCTATTGCTATTCATTGTTACTCCTGACATTACACAAGAACGATTGAAACGACTCAGATAAAATACTTTTGTTTTTAAACACAAGAGGACAAATACACGATTCACAAAAATTATTGCAAAAATGCAAAGAATCCTTCTCTTGCATGTATAGGACATGTATAGTACTAGGTTTTAAAGCAGTAAAAAATGAATAAAAACCTCATCTTATATGCAAGTAAATATGGTACATTTAATAAGTTCTCATTTTAATAATAATTTAGCACGAGTTAAATTTTTATTTCAAAGATTTTCTAACATTCTCATTTAAAAATCCTTCATTTAATCATTATTGAAATATGTAAAAATTTATAAAGTTTTTGGTAATAGTAATTTTTAAATCCTTATATGTTAAAATCTTAAACTATATTTATATGACATTCTTAAAAATCATAATTAATGTTAAACAAATTATAGTAAAACTTCTCTAACTCAAACATCTGTAACTTGAATATTTCTTTAAGTTAAAGAAAATGAAGCACTCGGTAGGTCACAATGGAACAGCATAAGGATTTAATGTCTCCAACTTGAATTTCTTAACTAAAATTTTGAGTCGAAGTCTTTCATGGTTCCCTGACACCGATTTATGTTAATTTCAACTTTCCCCACTGAAATTTTAATATTTTTTCTATCCAAAGTGATCCTAATTATCAGATTTCCATGAAATTTTCAGACAATGTTCCAGTCCAAAGTGAGAGGTCCTTTTGCTTTATCTCAACAAGATGTACTGTACCTGTAAAACTGTTCAATTCCATTAGTTACATTGAACATTTTGATGAAACATGTCATAAGGAATGTTTAGAACAAAAAAGAAACTATCAAAGATTCATTATATAATGCAAAAGAGATAAAATTTCAGAATCACCATTTTTTTACTCTGTTGTTCTTTAACTTGAATTGTCTGTAATTCTAAAGTTATTTCCTGTTCCTTAGAGCTTTGAATTAAAGAAATTTTACTGTATTTTTCAACAAACAGTATTGAAAATAAAATTATACCTCTTAAATTTTTGAAAGAAATTTCATACTATAATATTTTAAAACTTTCCATTGTAACTCCAAGATGCTGATGAAGCAAGAGTTGATATTTATTACAAGATAAAATGTTTTGCAAAATTTAAGTGTCTTAGCATCGGATTCTTACATAATTATTTTTATCTTAAAAAGCATTTCATCTTGTAACAAATATTGACCCCTTCACTTCTGGAGTGTCTTGAATTCTTTAACTGTATTTTATGGAGTTAGTATGCATAAAGAACAAACTTTTGTAACTGTACGATAAAAAATAACAATATCATCTTTATCTTACCTTCACATTTTAATAATTGTAATATGGATATAATATATTCATAAAATTTAATATATAAAAGTTTATTTATTAATATATTCTTTTATATCATCTGTTAATATAATTATCAATAATTACGAATTCTCTAGGAATAATAATTCTCAATAATTTCTAGGAATTCTTTGGTTGCTTTATGTTATTTGTTATAGCAAACAGGACATTCTAATTTTCAACGAGAGTGTTGAGTGTTGAAGTCAACAATTTGACGTCATCAACAACGTTCCAACTGGAGTACGAAGTGCTTAGTTCCCATAATTCCATTCTCAGCAAGATGGATTCCATTCAAATGTCGCACCAATTTCCCACAATTCATTGGAAAGTAGCAGTCAACATGTCTGTTGAGTGCTGAGTGTGTTGAGACAGTGCTGACAACAGCACCACTTCAACACTGAAAAAAGGAACAATTTTTAACGAACGTTGAGATCAGTGCTGAAAACGGGAATGTCCCGAAAATATTGTACAACATTTTTCTCTAACAAACAGTCTATAACAAGCAAAGAACTCATTTCTCCATTTTAAAAATTATCGTAATTTAAACTATTACAAAAATATATAAAATAATCTACTAAATGTTTCCATTTATATAAACTCATTAACTTCTAAATCTTAAATAATCACTTTTGAAAAAGATTTTGCTATAATTTTTAATTTGGTACTTTTCTAATCACTTAACTTGAAGAACATTTAAATAAAATGTTTAAAATCTTTTTCAAAAATACTAAAATTCATTTCATATAAAAACAAATTAACATTTCATTTTTAGAAAGTAAATTATTTGATTTACCTCCCATATTCTCGTACTGCTTTTCCGCAAATGAATTATGGTTTTCGTTATTTAACAGTTTATGAAAACATCTTCGGGTAACGAGTAATAAAGAAAGAAATATGACCGGAACCTAAAATAAAAACAAAATTTTAACGTTAATGCATTATTAACCTCATCAAGCCATGTTACATAATTTAATAATACTTAAAAATTTACCATAAATAAAGACATAGTCCAAAATGCATAATTGATATGAGTTTTCTTTTGTGCATCTTCTAGTGTCTCTGCCGGATAAGTTTCGTTATCGTCTTTAATTGTGATTTTAGTAGTGTTATCGATGAATCGTGAACAATCCTCGTTTAGTAAGAACGGTTGAGCTATCATCGGACTTACGAAGGCACCGACTCCATAGAAGAAATGCATCGTCTGTAAGCATCTAACTTTATATTTTTGAAACAAGATTTTTAAATTAAATTTTTATCAAATCTTACTTGTAAAAAAGGAGATACGTCTTTCCCGTATAAGCTGATCATAGACACATTAGCTACAGTATCTATTGTACCCATGAAAAAGCCCATTAATGCCAAAACAATAGCTAAACTCCATAAAACATTACAAACAGGAATGATTGCCATAGTTGCAGTCATCATTAAAATTGCTACGAACAACATAATGTCATCCGGAAATCTGAAAATAAATAGTTTTTTACATTTGTTCGTGATAAATTGTTTTTTTTTCTTTCCTGTTGGGAACTGAAAAATTCGAGCAAATGTATATTTAATTTTAATCTCCCTTTCTAATTTAAAAAAATATGAGAAACTTTACATTAAGATCTCTTTTTAAGTCACGAATTTTAGAGTTTCCAACATTATTATTAAAATTTTTTTTCTATCCAAAGTGATCCTAATTATCAGATTTCCATGAAATTTTCAGACAATGTTCCAGTCCAAAGTGAGAGGTCCTTTTGCTTTATCTCGACAAGATGTACTGTACCTGTAAAACTGTTCAATTCCATTAGTTACATTGAACATTTTGATGAAACATGTCATAAGGAATGTTTAGAACAAAAAAGAAACTATCAAAGATTCATTATATAATGCAAAAGAGATAAAATTTCAGAATCACCATTTTTTTACTCTGTTGTTCTTTAACTTGAATTGTCTGTAATTCTAAAGTTATTTCCTGTTCCTTAGAGCTTTGAATTAAAGAAATTTTACTGTATTTTTCAACAAACAGTATTGAAAATAAAATTATACCTCTTAAATTTTTGAAAGAAATTTCATACTATAATATTTTAAAACTTTCCATTGTAACTCCAAGATGCTGATGAAGCAAGAGTTGATATTTATTACAAGATAAAATGTTTTGCAAAATTTAAGTGTCTTAGCATCGGATTCTTACATAATTATTTTTATCTTAAAAAGCATTTCATCTTGTAACAAATATTGACCCCTTCACTTCTGGAGTGTCTTGAATTCTTTAACTGTATTTTATGGAGTTAGTATGCATAAAGAACAAACTTTTGTAACTGTACGATAAAAAATAACAATATCATCTTTATCTTACCTTCACATTTTAATAATTGTAATNGAATTTAAGAGTACAGCTGTCCCTTGATAATCCGACAGGTATGGGACCAAACGGGTGTCGGATTACCGAAAGTGATTACATATTTGGCATTATTTTGCTAGCAGTAGTCTACAATATTCCCTACTCCAACTGTTCGAACAGAACTGCTCACGGAAAACACACGAAATGTGTGTCATCGTGTAAGAATTGGGTGGGGAGATTCACATCGTGACATGCTTCTGTGCAAGCAAACACGTAATGGGGACTGGTACCCTGATGGGAGGTGCGTCAGACTACTGAGCATGTCGGATTAAAAAACGTTGGACTATCAAGGGACAGCTGTAATATATTTAGAATTAATATATACATACTACACTTATTATATAAGGATAAATTCTTATGAATTCTACACTTTATACTTGAAATTAATCACATTTTCTAATTATATCAAAATTATACCTATATAACTAATCAATAGCAACATAAATGAGGACATCACTACTTTTATTATCAGAATGAAAGTAGAACATTTTACTCTATTTTTAGCTTACAGGCTATATATTGTTATTTATAGAATTTAAAATTATAAAAACATTTCGTAAACAACACAATTTTATTCTTTTATACAATGATTCTATTCGTTAAATTTAATTTACCAACAAGCTGGAACGGTTGATGATAATGCAAAGAAACAAAGTCTGTATATACAGTGTTTGTTTGCATTATCACTATATTTAATTTCTAATTACAGAATTAGATGATTACAGAATTAACAAATAGAAGACAGAAAATTAGGATTGTTATATAATCATTTTAATACTGAGACGATGAATCTGTAAACTCAAATCCTTACTAATTGATTTTTGAAATAATTAAATAAATATGTCCAATAAAAGTTCGATATTTGTGTATGCTTACATAATTTAAACTAGCACAAAATAATAAATGCACATAAGAATCACACGACAAATTTTTTAAAGACAATACGTTACAATACTAAGCAAAAGTATAGCAATGATTTTTCTGTTTATTATTTAAATGTAATATTCATGATATAAATGGTGTACATAAAGATAGTTTACATCTTTACAAATCAATCATATATATTGACATACAGGAATGCACTCAATTCTTTTTGTTTTCAGTCCATATGCACTTGTAGAAGCACATATTAGTAGAAGACATCTAATTGGTAATCCAATTCTGTCCAGAGTGGCAATGTCATTGGTTATTCTGGTCTTCAAATTATCATTATCCTGTACAGGTCTGAATGTCTGTCAATTGTGGTGTCAAGTGCTGCTCTAGAATATCAAGGTAATTATGTCCATTAACTGCTATTTTGGCAAAAAAGGGGCCAATAATAAAGTCAGCCATCTAACAGGAATATGTGAAAAACATTAAATAAATATCAGTATATTCCCATACGTCAATACAAACACACATTATTCATCTGTAAAATTGCAAACTACCTTAATGTATACTCTGTATATTGTGGTACAATTATCAAAAAAATTTAACTAGGTATTTTCTCATGTAATTTTAAGTTTAAAATTATCCGAAGTAGTTTTTGAGAATAATGTGACCTTTAAACTTTTTTTGTTTTAACTATTGATTTTTAACTATTTTAATGATTATTTTCATTAAAATAGTTAAAAATCAATTTTAAATGCCCTACTGAAAATTTAAAATACTCTCCAATTAGATTACATTGTATGAATGAGAATGAATAAGTTTTAACTATGGAAATGTTTCACAGCCATATGACAGAGGCAGCTAAAGTATCAGCCTACTGTTATGGGAACCCGGGACAATTCCCACAAAATATCCCAGCACACATCCGGGATAGATATGGGCAGTCTGGTCTGCCCCGTCTGTTCCTCACCTCCAAGCCTGGCCGAATCCAAAATAAAAAGAATCCCTCTTAGAATCTAGAGCTAAACATGTAAAACATAAAACTATGAAAATGCAAATATCATTCATTTTTAAAATAATAATTTGTTACGATTTATCACAGATGAGATTTTTGACATTTTAATTTGTCCAAGGAACAATTCAAGATAAAAACCTCATTTAAAATCAGCAAAAATTTACAACAGTTAAATTCTAAAATAGAAACAGAATGAATTAAATATAACTGCTTCATATCTGTATTTTAATTACTTCCGTTTAATCCTCAAGATGTCTGTCGAGACCATGTCGATAGACGAGGCAGAGAGATAATTGACTCGGGTGTCAAATTGGAAGGTATACTAAAAAGCATCATAATGACTGCATTTGGCAGATTCGATCATTCCAGAATACTTGAATATTTTTATGCCGAATAGTCTCCGTAGTAGCGGCATTTCCAAATGTGTAGTTTTTATTAGTATTAGTACAGTTAGTATTAGAATTAATTTACAGTATTTACCATGATGTAAAAACACTTGTAATAAACTCATAGTTCAACATATACAGGATTGATACTAGCTACTACTACAATCAATTGGAAAGTCCGAGTCCACCAAATACAGCCACTGTTTATAGAAACAAGTATATCCACATCATTCTTAAGCTTGTTTTGGATACCAAAATAATTCAAAATGATCCCAATGCCAAAAACTGTTCTTTATACATTTTGCTGGCTTCTAAATTTTTTTTCCCAGATTATTGACCGATTTATCCAGTTAAATATTCTCTTATGTGCTCAAAGACACAATATCTATTTTGCCATCCCCAGAGTTATAGACCCCTCATACAAGAAAAAAGTCAACGGAACCATACCCATACAAGAGACCCTTCCCAAAATATTTGCCTCCAAAGGTCAGTTTTTACCACAAACCATTTATACTACCTATTCTCACACTGTGTTGGTCGAGGCAAGTGCCAATGCTCCATATGAAGGAAAGCCCCTAAAATTATATAAGGGAAATCCTCATTAGTTCAAAATTCGGGAGACAAAATATTCGTGACCAAATTATCCGAGATGTACATATTTCCATATGTCAAAAGCTGTGTAATTTAATTATCAAATGGAATATGGCTACTTATAGAAAATGCTATTTTTGTTAATTAATAATAATAATAATAATAAGTAAATTGCAGGTAAACAGTACACCTCCAGTGAGAACATCATAGGTCGCCAGATAGGTTTTATAAAAAGTAAAGCAAATTACTCAAACTGTAACCAAATTATTTTTATAGTGTCCAAAAAAGTAGCAAGTCTCCCAAATCTAGTAGCATAAAGTATAAAAATATCTCAATCTGTTACTTCTAGCACAAGCTTAAGGCTACAAATATCAAGATAACAGGAAAAAAGGGTAGTCCACGGATAAGGCAACAACCGAAAACAAGTTATCATAAAAGCAAACTCACATTGACCAGATTAGAGTCGTTCTCGGTCTATCATTCTCTTACAGTATGGAAACACTTCGATCTAAACAAACGAGTTGACGTAGGCACATCGCACTCAAACGGAATTTTCGCTTCAAATTTCAAACCGACCGGATCCCCAATGTAAATCTCCACGTCTCCGGCCGGGACAAAAGTATGGTTACGAACCGTCCGAGTTCAAATTAACGAGAATTTCCCATAACGTCGAGCACTCCACAAACGGCCAAGTAGGCCACTCGAAACCGACACGACCATGCCGGTTACTTGCAACATGCAAACCGGAGATCAGTGCGCAACCCGGAAGCGGACAAATTTTACGGGGTCGGATCTCACAGAGGTACGATTCCTTTGACATTTTTGCTCCCGCAGGCACGCTCTATGGCAGCGACAGGGTCCCGACCGCCCGGTGCAAAGCCGAAATTATAGCGAACTGTTTTAAGACACAACACTCAATTGTAAATAGGCGGAACCTTACTTTTGTAAGAGAACTCCCGCACAGGCCGAGCCAAGAAGAATGAAAAAGGACTGACTAAAAAAAACCCAAGACATGGTGGAGAAAGTGGTGCTAGTTTTGCATCCTAGATCTAAGAGCGTAGGTCCAAGAAACGCCACACACAAGCCGAAACACCAGAAGACAAAACATAGAGTGGTGGTGGTCAGTTTATGCTGCCAAAACAGATCACAGAACTGTCTTCTGCTAGTCGTAACTCCCGCTCTTCCGGCCGACGTTCGAACCGTCTGACCGAATTCCACGCCTCTTCCGGACTTCCAATACACTTTCTCGTTAAACGTCAATCCGTTCAATTCCGAATAACTAAGGTTTTTGGCTGAATTTCCATCGTCGTCCATCGGCGATGCTAGACTCTCTTCGTCCACCGCCATCTTTAAACTGACGTCATTTCGGCCGCAGACGATTATTTTATAAATATATATATAATATATTTTTCTCGTATATTTAATATATTATATCGATTTTAATAATGGAAATTACTTTGCGTATAAAAGTATATAACAAAATTAATAAATATTCGATTTGTTTTTGAAAAAATATTAAAACTCGCTTTATTAAATATTTTTTGTTATTTTATTTAAAAACAAAATCGTTTCGTAATAATACATTTTTTCCTTTCATTACTATTGAATCTTATTAATATAAATTACTTTACATTATTATTTTTGTTAATTATTTTCGTATTTTGTATTATTTCCCATAATAGAAGTGGGGGAGCCACGTGCTTAATTTTTGGATCAAGGTCTATAGACCACGCTTGAATACGTATCATTCCAACGCCGTACTTATTAAGCGACGAAGCTATGGCGGCGGAAAACAGAATAAATTTTGTAAATTTAATTCTTCTACTGCGTGTATGTATAAACGTGTGAACGTGTTTTTTTTTACCATAAATGGGAACGGGGCGCCAGTATATTGAGACACGTGCTCCTTTTTGTCTGTGTTGCACACTTTTTCCAATCCCCAAGGGGAAATTCCATTAGCAACAACAGAAAATTCACGATTTATAGCCTATTCCGTAAATATAAAAGAAACTAATGAACGGTATTTATCCATTGCCCCATGCGACTTAGTAGCATGCTGATCAAAACTTTTTCGGGAACGCTGATTCCACGTTGAATCACAATTTGAATCTTCTTGAATAATGAACGATGCCCATTTTTATAGCTTGAGTTCCCTTTTTTATATAGTCCGATGGCACCATTCAATGGGAAAGCATTCAGTTAAATGGCGCTCACATAATTTCTGTGATTACGTAATACGGGATTTCCGGTGTATTGAAAGTTTTAAACCATCCTGTAGAAAATAACTAAAGAAAACATGTACATTCGCTTTTAAACGTATTGAGATTTAATCTAATGAAAAATCATATACATTTTATCACCCTCGGACATTTCCTTCCTTCCTCATAAATAGAATTATTCCTGTGACACAAATTTCCAGTAACTGCTATTAATATTATGAATATCCTAGAAATTTATCTACAGTACAGTACGTAGGTATACTAAAATTTTATTTTTATGTATTAATTAATAAATAACCTGCCAAAATCAACACTGTCGCAGGTCAGTCCGGCTGGTTATTTATCGATCCGTCCTTATATATTAAGAAACTAATAGTATATTTGGTCAGATTCAATTTTTTAAATACTTTAATGGTAAGCTATGGTTAATGAGATAAATTAATTTATAATTTTTTTTATACTTAATTATACTACATATAAAAACAATTTGTTCTTCGATGCAATTGGAGTGAGTTTAGAGCTTCTTAAATTCATTCACACTTGTTCGGAATAGTAAAAATTAATCTAAATAGAGGATTCTCAATCTTTTCCGGTGCATACTATTGAATAAAACCACTGAACACTGGTCAGTGGCGCGTTATCCTATGGGCGAAAAGGGTAATTGCTCTGGGCCCCCACAAATAGAGGGCACAAAACCAATCTCTCATAAAATCATTTCCGTAGTAATAATATCGAAATTTAAATTTGGCGCCATATCTGAGGACCATAGATTGCCAGTGTGGCACAGCAAAAAGCTTTCTTCGCCTTTATAATACCCAAATAGGGGCAAGTTTCTTATAAAAGTTCTCCCGGGAGACATCCCCCTCGGCAGATCGCCCACGTGCCGTAACCAAATAAACCCAACTGACCTTTAATAATTCATTACCCTTCAAATTAAACTCCCCCTTCCAGGAAAGCTAATGACTAGGTTGAAAAATGACCCCCTGATCTAGATAATTTTCGGTAAAAACTACATTGCAAACAATAACACTCATCACGAATTAATTCGGGTGTTACATAAAATTAATTATGGATAAAATCTGCTCGTTTTATTCTCTATTTTTTAAATAATTTAACGATATAAAACCATTTATTCTATTAAAAAAAAAACAAGATCGCCATTAAGAAATCTCCCGTTATCCATCTATTGTCGTAAATTATATAAATCCGCCTACACTTGTATGACATAGCAATTAGCACATAGTTTTTAAGTGTAACGCGACCTTCGTATGTCAGCTTTGATGTTTCGCAGGCAGATTTAACGAGCTCTTATCAGAAAATTGTAGGAAGTAGTATTTCCTCGCTTAGAAAATATGGCAGAATCCTACCTTCTCGTCGTGTTTCTGGTCTTCAATATCGAGGCTGAAACTCTTCCTAATTGCAAACAAGAGTTCTCTTGCGAATCCTTCTTATATCTTAAACATCGAGTCAATGGAATGTTTGGAAAATTGGAGGAACTATCGATGACTCAAAACAAATTAAGAACAGTAGAAGAGCACTTACTCTCGGATAAAAGGAACTTGCTCAAGTGTAAAGAAAGCGTCAAACAGTTGAGGAATCAATTCGACAGTTTAAAGAACAATCCCGAAAGTGATGAGAACAACATATTTAACTTTAATCGGAGTTTAATCAGAGTAGAAGATAAAAATTCTCTGTTGGAAAAAAAGCTGAGAAAGTTAGAAGAAAAAATTACACTTAACGTTACTCAGAAACTAGAGGAACACGAAACTGCTGATAAGAATGGAATGCAAAATCTGGCCGAAATCCGTGCAAAATTGAAAGATATAGAAAAGAATAATACAGAAAACTTTAAAAATTTGGTAAGAGATATTAATAATAAGGTTGATAAATCTGAATTTTCTAAATTTAAAGTGAAAGTTAATGATGAAATTCGGAGTTTGCAAGATGCCGTAAAGAAATTGGAAGAAACCGTACAGAGTTTTCCGTTGCAGAAAAGGAAAATTATAGAAGTTCAGAATAAATCAATAGAGAGTATAAATGATTTCAGGCGGCAGATTTTACAATTGAGAAACGATTTGAATAATGCCAAAAAAGAACAAGAAAGAAAATTTTCTTCTTTACAAGATTCTTTGAAAGACATCAAAGAACTTCTGAATTCGACGAAAGAACAAACTACTACAACTATCTCTCCAGAGTAAGTTACTTCTTATTTTTAATATAAATTAGTTATACGTGAACTTCAATAAAGACTTTGAAGGTAAAGATTACTATTTCATTTTTTAGTGTTAAGAAAACGCAAAATAGTATATCTAAGACCTGTTTACAAGTAACCTAAACGATTTAAATGTACAGATTTAGAACTTCCTAATATTAAAGTTATTATTTGGTGCAGGGGAAGGACCTCATATATTATATTGAGGTTGGGTTTAGTTTATTATTATACGACTTTATTGCTCGTGGCCAAACTCCACGTGGCCAGCCCGTTGGCGAGGTTCAAACCCACAACCAGTGTTCAGTGGTTTTATCTACTAGGCTTATAGCTTAGGACCTCAATAAGTCTAAATCCTTGTCTGAATATATATTTTCTGCACTCTAAAAGAATACAGAAATGTAATAACGATAGCCCAAAATGAAGATCTAAGATTTTAGAGCATAACGTATAAAATTTCTAAAAAATGAAGACATTTTAGAATTTCCAACCTTGCCAGCCTAAGTAATTAAGAAGGCCTTTTTACTGGGCGGTAAAAGTTAAAATTTAGAGTAAACAAATTTACTAATTATTGCTAAAACTAAATATTCTAAACGAAACAATAAAGCCTTAACAATTCGATATTCTATATTCAATAATGGCAGAAGTCTTTGATAACTTTTCAATGATGGATTATTTTACTGCCCTGTTTTTATTTAGCTTGATTGTTTATATTTATCTAAGAGAATCGTGCCAATTTTATTATGAAATCAAAGACGAGGATTTTCAAATCCGCGACGACAAAAGAAAATCTGATTTCGATAACACCATTAATGATCCAATCAAAGTAGAAGAAGAAAACGAAAGTGAAGAATTGCAACAAAGGACAATCGAGCAAGAAATGCCTCCGTGTAATGTCGATATCGACCATTTTAATCCCGATATCTCTAAAGATAATTCCTGCGAAGATATCTTGAGCACTTTCGTTATTATAAACGAGAATTTACTAGAGGAATCCAACGTGGAAAACTTGGAGGAACCCATCCTAAACGGGAAGACAAAAAAAATTCTCGAGCGTAATTTTGGAATTTACTTAAGCACGTACTTCGAGTGAAGAATACTTTCTTCTATTTTATGCAAAAATTGTAGAGCAAAGAATATTGACGATGATTTTTTTTCAATATTTAATAATATTCTAAATTTTTAAATATTTTTGGCAATAAATTTTATCTAAGCAAAATCGAATTTTAATTTAATTGTGCCGAGAATTTTGGATTGGATTGATGGGTTATGTCACGCAACCTATGGGCGATCTACAATGGGGTAGTTGCTTTCCACTAAGACTTTATATGGAAAACCGCCCCTTATTTAGGTGTTAGACACGTGAAGAAAACACGAAAAACTCCACGTGGCACCATTGGCAATGGCTCGAACCCGTGACCAACTACTAATTATCATTAGTTTATCCATTTGGCCACTGGTTGAGCTAAGAATTTTGGGCCTAACCTTTTTAAATTAATCATTTTTTAAACAGAAGTAGCCTGTTGTATTTTTAAGAGTCCATCTTGCTGCTCAAAATAACACTGAAAGTATAGTCAAAAACAATACCTAAAGGGTATTTTACAATACATAAAATCTCCGACAGATATTCATGAAATTATTAGTAATAAAAATTTTGATTCAAGAAATTATTTATAGCCTATAAAGTAAAATCTGTGTAAGCCGGATTCGCACGGAAACGGATATTTTTCCGGTGTGACAGGTTTTTCCGGTTAGCAGGTCCGAAAATAGCTGCGTTTCGCGATTTTTTCCCATTTATCCTATTCTCCAAGACAGTTTACACTTATTGCCTATTATTATTTGGTAGAGGAGGAATGGCCCGAATTATGTTGTAGTGCAGAGCCACAATAAATCTAAATCCGGCCCTGAAGGCCGAATATAGAGGCGGAAAAGGCTTGGATTATAAGGCCTTTTTCCTGTCTCTATCTGCCGCTCTAGAGATCCGGCGTTGTAATATTGATAGATTGGATCAGAAATTTCACAAAGGTTGATCCCGATGGGAGGTTGGCCTTTTAAAAAGGTGGAGTTAGATATAAGATAAAAGGGCCTCAACGGCCATTTATCTAACTCCTCTTATATGTCCGAGTGCCTCCATGTCCCTGCACCCTTTTTTTCTTGTATCTAACAGTACGCCATTGTAGACCTGCAGGTATGGATCTGATAGCTTTTTAATTAACCATATAAAAGGAGAGGAGATTTATAAAAAGTTGTGATTAAGAAACGTCTTTATTAAATTATATTTTATTTTTAGTTTCAGAAGAGATTTAGAATCGGCTTTAAGTAAAGGCATTGGTCTGCTTAAACAATCGGGTGGTGAAAAAATATCTTCAAAATCTGTTTCATGGACATCGGAGGAATCATTTTCCGAGCGTCAAAAACCTTAACAAAACCAATTACGGTAAAAAATTTCTTTGATTGTTGTAATCATTTTATTTATAATTTAGAAATTTAAAATGAAAAGGAAATTATTTTAATTAATTAAAACCACATCCGTTTGACTTATCCTTTCTCGGGAAGCTTATCAGTGAAAGCGCTTTCCTTATCGTGTAATTATTTCTAGTTTAGTTGCAACCGTTTTCCTTACCATTAAAAAATAATCTATAAATCACCTTTTATCATTAATTAATTATCGAGTTAGATACTTAAATCAACAGTTCTCAACAAGGGGTACGCATGAAGAACCGGTTAATGTTACAAATCTATACACAGAAGAATCCCGTGTTATCCTGTGAAGGACAATTGCCTGGGGCCTCCACTAACAGGAACACCAAACCAATCTTTTATTATAAACTAGTTACTGTAGTAAAAATATCGAAATTTAAATCTGGTCAATAGATTGCCGGTGTGGCGCAGCTAAGGCGGTTAAATAAAATTTAAAGTTTGGTTTTATTCGAAGGGGTGATGCCTCCTGGGTAGTCTTTTCTGGGAAACTGGCCCCTATTTAGACGTTAATAACGTGAAGAAAACCGGAAAAACTCTACGTCCCTTTAGCCAGGCACATCATAAAGCCTTGTATGCCTGTTGTCCCTTTAATTCCTATCTTTATTTTACTTCATTCGGGCTCTGTATCACCCGTCATTTCCATCAATTAATTCCTTGATTTACATCCGGGTAATCATAGTTTAAGACGGATTTTTTTTTTCAAATAATTTTCAAAGAGTGATTTAAAACTTGAATAATTTAATGAAGTAAATAGCTATTTTGTATCGATTGATGGAACAAATGACACGAAATAAGAGGGGGATAAAACTTAATTTACTGTTTATTACTTCATTATAATCTATGTAATTGTCATATCGTAATTGCCATCAAGATTAGATATTCGGGGGGACATGCATCAGGCTAATTACGTGCACAGTCGATCCTGACGATAGGGAAGAGATGCTGTGTAGCAACGTGGCCAGGGCCCTTATAGAGGGCCCGAGACATGGCCACCTAAGATACCTACCAGGCCTGAATCTGACGCCACAACCGGTCTTGTGAGGTGTATTGATAATTCTTTTTGTTTGCTTGCAAGGACATACCATCGTAGCGCGGAGGAAATAAGGTAAAATCTCTTCAAATAAAAAGACTGGCGGATCGGACCCGTTTTCGTCTTTAGAACGAGGTAGATGGGTAAATGTAGTTAGAGGAGAATCTCTCCACGGAGTTGTGCACAGTATTTAGACTACTTTTGACTCTCTCCCTCCCAGTTGCGTAAAATGATGCATAGTTTAAAAGGATGGGGGTCACAAAAAGTAATCATTGTACATGATGGGGGTGTATCAGGCATTTTTACGTGGACTTCAGTGCTATCGATGGCATAAGAATGTATGTTTAGCCTAATTAGTATTTAGTAAGCTTACTTAGGTTAGGTACATACAAATAAATCATCAGAAAATATTTGCAGTAGTAGTTTCTTAATCATTTCTTCAATGTCAAGGAAAGTCCGTGAACTATCGTACACGTAACTAAAGGGGAGAGGATTTTGCCAAAAATACAATCATTGGTACACAATAGAGGTAGAAATGGTTCAACAACTGAACACGTGATTAATAGACACCCCTTATACATTAATTTATATAATTATTTTGATCAATTACGTAACTAAATTACTATTAAATGTGTTTTTTATAATCCGGAATCGAATTACTCAGCGTGTAATCAAGAAAAAAAAAATTGAACAAAATGGCTATCTACTTCTTAGAAATGTAGAATATAGGACTAGAGATTAATAACTTTACACTAATGGATGCATTATAAATCTTCTTCAAGGATTACGACACTATCGACTGGAAGAGGATCAGGTATCATCATCATCCTTCACTCGATCATAAAATGACGTATGTATTAGTTCTGTGTTCGGTGTTAATTATTAATTTAAATCCCATCCGCGGTTCGAGTTACTGCGAAGATGTACCTTGTGGTTTTGTCGAAAGCACGAAACTTAAACTAGAAATCGCTAAACCCGAACTCGACGTTATATCGGATTTAACAGCTAATGTCGTTAAAAACGAAATTATCGTCACAGAAGAGTTTAATCCTTCCGTCAAGCAAGCTCTACATGATTTGCACGAGTTACTTTTATACACGGAAGATCTGAATAATGAAGATTTAATCGTTGATGAAGTCCCCGAAGATTTGTTTCTTCGGCTTAATATGGAGGAACGGAGTTGCACCCAACTGGAAGAAAGGTATGATAAGTTATTAATGGAAACGGAGATGATAGTAAATAATATATTACAACTTTCTAACAAGGAAAAAGAAACCGAAGACTTACTTCAAGTTATAAAAAAACACTCGAGTAATTTAATGCAAGCTCTCGTTACCACTCAACAAAATTCCGAAAAGTTGATGAATAATAAAATGGCGAATTCCGAATTTAATCGCACGATACAAGACATGATTTTTCAGCTAAATAAAACTCTTTCGTCCCCGCTGCTTATTGGAAACTCTGATTTACTTAATTTGAAAGACCAATTAGAGAAAAGTTATGATATAAACGTGCAACTCGTGGGGATATTTCAGGAAATTGAAAAACTTCGAGGATCTCTACAGAAATTACGAGAAATTGGTGATAATATGGAGGCGATGGGAAAGGATATTCAAGCAATTTTGAACTCATTCAACGCGAAAAACGAAACTCGAGTACCATCGAATAATAATAATAACAGATTTGCAAAGACTAATAAAAATAATAAGAAAAGAAAAGAGGGCCTCTCCGTTGCAGAAATCATAAAATCTAAGAAAGAAAATAAAAACGGTTAAAACGAGTAATTTTAACACTTTAAAAATGTTAGTTCTTTTAATATTAAGTTATGAGAAATCTTAATTATATAAAGAATTTAATTTCGTGTAAAAATTATTTGTGTACTGAAGTAATTTGTAAGGATGTAAAAAGGTCTGTACGAAAATAAAATTGTGTTTTGTACATTTAATAGTCGAATGCTCCTGGCATTTCTAGGGCTTATGAGAGGGTGACAAAAATAATGGTGTGTAGTAAATAAAATGTACTGTACATTTATTGAGCGGAGTATTTATAATAATGAAACTGAAAAACAAAAAATTGCTGGGGCTTAAGTTAAGAAGGATGGGCTTTAGGGGTGGAATCCCGTAGTATTTTTGTAGGGTGTCGAAGAATATTCGTGCCAAATTTGGTGAAGATACGTTGAAAGATTATGGAACATTTGCATGCATACATATTTTGACTTTTATATAAATAAATACAGTATATTTTCTACGCCGTGGCATAGGAATTACATCGATCTTCGTTTATTATCTCACAAGTAAAGCATGGCACTGAGTAAATAGAAAAAAATTCAAATTATTTTGATGGTGAGAACCGGCAGTCAGTGTAAAATCGCTGAAGAGTTTGACAAGCTGCATCCAGACTTCCTAATAATTACACACTGCAGTCTGGATATACTGTTAAAATCTGACTTTCGGATCTCCACCATCAAAATAACTTGAATTTATTCCTCGTTTATCTGTAAAAAAAAAAAATAAACAAAGGTTAATATAACTCATATGGTTCCAGACTTATAGGGCACCCTTTATAATTTTGGTAAATTTATTTTATAAATTATTACAAGAAAAAAGCATGCAAAACTATTAATGGTGATAAAATTAACAGACTATATAGCATACATAAAAAAAATATATTTGCAGTGTAATTAGATAAAAATTAAAGTGTACAATACTCCTGATATTGTATATGACAATATACTGTAATTAATTACAGCTGCCAACTTAATTATACCTTACTTAAACTATAAATAAAGGTATGGCACAAAAATTATCAATAGAATAAAATCTCAATTATCCATCACTTTGGTACAAAACTGATTATTTACCATGATATCTATTTTGCTAGCATGTAAGTTATGCACCACAAGCATGAATGCCATCCTATTGCATGCAGATTTGGACGTGTATACTATCATTCTTCACACCTTGCAAGACATCAGGTTTTGACCTTAAAATGGGTGAATGACATAAATCAATTAGGGCCTTGTGACCTCACTGGTAAAAACTCAGTGATGCTATGTGTTTGTCTGGCATCAATGTTGTCCCAAAATGGAAAATCCCATATGGTTTGTTTATAGTATGTGACTTACAAGTACAAAATCTACAGGGTGTCTGGTAATATTGTTTAGAAGTATGAGTATATTATACATTTAATTTTACGGTATTTATTACACGTGTTTATATTATGCAGTATAATTTCATATATAAACAAGTTATTATCTGACAGTTCATTTGAAATTGTTAGCATGCATTTTTGAAATAAGATTTCAAATTTCATACAGTAAGAGTATTTGAATTGACTCAACTCTTCCTGCTTTTCCTATAAATCAATATTGAGTTATTTTATAAGCTGGATATTAGAGGGTAGAACCTACACATGGGCATAGGATGAAGAAAAGAGGAGTGTGAAGAGTTGAGAAGGAGGAGATAAATTCCTAGTAGGGTAATGTGCAGATAGAATGAAGAGATATTAATTAAAATAAATACATTTGTTGAGAAATGTTTACGTAGTAGTAGTAATTACATAAAGTAACAGCTTCACTATACCAGGGCAATACAGTAAAAGCTGGATAATCAAGATTCTAATATTGTTGTTATTAAAGTTTAGAAATAATTAAGCTTCGTTGTAAAAAATGTATTATTATTTAATAAAAAAGTAACAAGACTACTTTTTAAGAATTAAGAAAATCTCTTTATTGCACATATTGTATCACAACATCCCATGCACAAAAAATGATGTATTATGTTACATATTACAATAGATTATGGGAGAGCTAGTCACCCGATAAAAATGGAAAATTCGGTGTTACGAAATCAAAATTCGAAATAGATTTTTTTTTCACCAATCTTAATAATTCAGTAAGAGTTTAAACAGATAAAAATGTATCGTACAGTATTTGATACTGTCGGTGTAAACTGTATATCAGAGTGAAACGTGATATGATAAATATTTTGATAAACATTTGCAAAGTAGCAAGGACTGTTGTTCAAAGCATTTTTCTGTAAAAAGTTCACTTTTCTTTTACATTATTAAGTGATATATGGATATATTTTGTTTTTTTCCAAAGATGTGCATGATATAAATCTTATTTTAAACATATTACGCTCGTATTTAGCTTCGTCAAAATTTACGGATTTATCTAACAGTAAAAATTGTTTGTGTTGTTTCAAAATTGTTATGAAAATATAGATGATAGTCTTAAAATTTTTTCTCATTCCAACTTCTTAAATACCTTTGCAAATTCTTATCACATATACCGAGTAGTTTAGTAACAGTAATATATTCTACCAACAACATTGAGAATGTAATAAACAATTTTTGCGTAGCGTTGCCACATACAGTATTAACTGTGGATAAAGATATACAATTACGGTACATAATTTAAGAAATACATCATCTCTTTATACAATGTTTCTTCTTTAAATATCAAGATATTGTTTTGTATAAATAATTTCAAATGTAAAAAAAAAACACATCCATAACAACTACAATTTATAAATAAATTATGCTTTTATGATTTTGTGTTGTTGTTGTTGTTGTTGTTTTGGATTAAGCAAACCAAATTTCACAATGGAATAAAAGTCTGGTAGGATAAAATAATAAAAATATATCTGAAGATAATACTATAAGTATTTCATGTGATATTAAATACAATTTAAAATTATTTCGTCACCTGTACGAGATGTATCGATGGGGAGGGGATGGAAGATACGCGAAGAAATGAAAAAAAAAAATCAAATCTACACAGCATGATTGTTAATTACAATGTTGTAAAGAAAACTGCATACACATAGGAAAAAATTCACAAAAAAGAAAATTATCAAATGGGGAAAGAGGCACAATTCACAACAATTATATTATGTTTTTTTTTCTTTTCTTTTTTAGTTTTTTTAGTTTTCTAAGGTTTCACTCTTGATGAATTACAAATTGTATAAAAGAGTGAAGTGCTAAGTTAGGCACTTGTACTGTGAAGCTACATTCAAACAACTGTGTTTCTTGAATAATCAAGCATGACACACAATAAGCATAGTCGAATTCTTGAAAAAACTCATTTCAAATAATCTGAGTGATAATGGAGGAGAGAAAACTTTTGTTAATGGTATTATGAAATAAATTTTTTGTTTTTTTTTTTTTAAATTGTTAAGTTGTGAAAATAATTTTTATAAGGAGAATAGAAAAAAAAAACAACAAAAACATTCTTCATTGCACAATGATGGAAGAATTCATAAAATAGAAGACAACAAAACAGTGGAAGACAATCCTGTGGCATACTAAATTCTACCTTGACAGTAATCAGTTGAGGTGAGTCACTTTTTTATTCTGGGAATCTGCAATAATTAATAAGAAAAATTAGTATTATTATGAAAAAGAATTAAATTAATTATTATTTCTAGCTAAAATTATATACACATGTTAATGATAATGACACCCGATCCTCGTAGACTAAATACAATTAAAAATTTGTATTAAATGATATTTAGATGAAACATCTTTATTTTTCAGGGCTCAGGCTGAGGCCTACACTAAAATTTATACAAGGATCATTAAAAAAAATTCCTGGAAAATGTAAATAAAAACATGAGGGTAATTTCAGATTGATGTAACACCATGCATAAATATTGTGTAGTACTTTTGGGGCCCCAATAATAACTTTTCTCCAAGGCCCCACCAATTCTCCACCAATTCTTTGGCCCTACTTGGGCGCCAAACTGTAAAAGAGGTGTCATAATGTTTATAAAAATATAAATACATTGGTGCTGTTCCTAGGCTTGTCTCAGGTGCCAAAATTGTTAGAAACACTCCTCATCTAAGAACTCATTTTAACTTTAACACTTAGAGTTATTATTTTTAATTAGTAATTTTGAGAGTATCTAAATATTAACCAGAAGAATCATTCAACCTTCAGTCCTAATCAGATCAGTACATTATGAGTTTTACTATCTAAATAAAATTAGCCATATTATAGTACAAAAACATCCAGTGGTATCTCATGATTATTTGCCTATTGCTTAAAGTAAACAGAATTTTTGGACCTTTAAATTGACACTCTTAATAAATACGTGATCACGAGTGTCAAAATGTCAAATACCTTGTAGTCGGGCCCTAAACTTAGAAATGATAATTGCTGCCACTTTATATATTTCAACTGTTTGCGCAACTGTAATTTCAATAGTCACAAATACCTTACACATTGGTTCCAGAAGATAAATTTTAATGTAAAGAAAAACAACCAAACTAACCAAAATTAATTAAATGTCGTTATAGTAATAATTACTTTACGATTAAAAGTTTTATATACAGGTAAATGGCATTAGCAAGGGCACAGTTATAGGACCCAAATTAGCAAAATTATATATAATAGTTGGAAAAAAAAATTTGGATAAAACAAGTTAAATGACTATTATGTCAGATGGTTAGTGTTTTGTACCTTATATTATTTGTAATTAATATCAAACAGCTTTGTTAATACAGTTTTGTGAATTTGTAGCCTGAAGAGGGATTGAGAGATTTCAATATAAAATGCACTGCGTATAAAGAAGAATAAAAGTAACTGTGTTATTAAAGTCTTGGTCTCCAATTTAATACAGATATTGGAAGAAAAAAAATGAGGGTTTTCATTAGTCTTGTGTTTTATAATTTAAATTTTTTATCTGTTCCATTGAAAATCTCTTTTCTAACTGGTTTTTTTAATCAATTTTTTAAAAGACTTTTTTAAATAAACAATCAAATTAACGTTTTTTATCACTTTAAGAGATATTTGTCAGATTAATATACTGTTCTACAAAATGTAATGTTCAAAAACGTTAGATTTAATGTAAAAATAACCAAACTAACTGCTGGAACCAATGCATAAGGTGTCTATGAGTATTTATATCCTTTTTCAGCTTCTAAGGTGTTTTTTTTTTTGTAATTTCATTATTATTACTTACTATCATTCATTGAAAGTTTTGAAACAAAAATTTAGGAGCATTTGCTGAGTGGTAGGTGCAATTCTTTCCCCGCTAATATATATAATACAGGAAAAAAGCTATCTTTATATAAGATAAACGACTTCCAACAACTTAACACTGCATTGAATAATAACAATCCACGAAAAACCTTTTTTTACGAGTGTTATGTCACTATTAAATTCCACTATATTTAATAGAATATACGAATTTAATAGTGACATAACACTCGTAAAAAAAGGTTTTTCGTGGATTGTTATCTTTATATAAAGATAAATTCAATTTGAGTGCATATATTTAGACTAATGCACTTTCGAGTAGTAAGGAAATACAGGTACACCATTGAATTTCTGGCAACTGACTGTCCATCACCTCCTTCCTAATCTGGGAAAAAAAAATTATGAAAGAAAGCTTGAAATTCCCAGGGCCACCAGACTAGTTTATGGGATGGCCACACATGACATGCACTTATTTACATTATTTATGCTGCACTTATTTGCAATGACACCACAATTTTTTTGATATTCTTAATTTATTTTGCTTAAATTTAACACTAGCTATGGCTTCTAAGAGAGATGAGTGTCAGTGGTGGTGTCAAACAAACACCAGTCAATATTGATTTAAGATAAAGTAGAATTAATAAGCCGAACAACTACCAGATTACATTGGGCTAGTTTCTTGCTATTATTAATTAACTGCAAAAAATTAGCCCAATGTAATTCAGTAGTTGTTTGGCTTATCTATATAAATAAAAATGTAAATATTTGTTTGTTCAAAATATTAAATCTCCAAAAGTTCTTAACCGATTGCTTTGAAATCTTGACAGAAGGTTGCAGTCAAATATGTGTGTGTTTTTACATTATACAGATGTTGAAATTTCCCCCACGAGGGAAATGGACAAAATTAAAGCTTACAGTGAAGAACTCGGCTTTTATTTTTCTATTTCAGATGTGGTTTTTTTTGCATTCTTGATTGCGTCTTAATAGGGTACATCAAGAGAATGTACACTAAGAAGGGATTTTTTGAAATTCCCTCCCACAAGGAGTGTTATACATTTATAATAGATACATTTTGAGCCACAGCACAACATGGCCGGGTACAGCTAGTTAATAATATATATCACGTTTTGATATTGAAAAAAGGGTGAGACCATGGTGTTTTGGTGCATAAGCTGTATGGCACCTATGGTATTAGTTCATCAACTGTTTATGATATAAAGAAATGTATTATTGTACAAGTATCCGTATTCATTTATTTTATTTTATTTTATAACTTATCATTCCATGGCATACTTTAAACTATCGCTCCACAGCCAGTGTGCTGCAGCACAATGTCACCAAGAGGAGGAAAAACAGACTTTATGTTGGCATATGAATAAAATAAATACTTACTGATTCAAAAGGGACAATGATTTGTCTATCACATGTTTATAGCAACTGATGTTTGTGACAGAAGGAATTCTAACAAGCTTTAAACTTTAACACCTTTTTCCAGTCACATTTCACAAAATATGTACACATTTAAATTTTGCAAGTCTCATATAATTTTTTTTGAAGTGACAAGTAGATGATTTCTCTATTGCATGCATCACAAAGTCAAGACCCTGATCAAGACCCTAGTGTGAAAAGCAAGTGATCAGCACTTGCTTTTCACACTAGGAGTGGTTTTTGAGTTGTTATGAAAAAAAAATTGAAAAAAAAAAATCAATAGTAAAACTAATTTCAAATATTTTTATATCATCACAAGTAAAAAAACAGTGAATCAGTATTTTTTTGGTACGTACTTGCAACTATATTTTTTTGTATATTTTTATTTGTTGTGTGCCACAGAATTCTGGAATGTACTTAGGTGTGATAGGCATAAGAAAAGATTGCAAAGCACTGCTTTAAACACATGGGAAGTGTATAATTAGCAAATTAGAGGTGTGTTGATGAATTATTAGGCCTATATGTGACCAAGGTTGGCCAAAATGGCAAGTCCTAAAAAACAAGGATGCCAAATATTCAGTAGTGTACTTGGATATTAACATGTAGTATAGTATAATATATTACTATAAAATATAATAATAATAATAATAATTAGCATGAAGTACTGTATAATATATTAACAAATCCTGACAAGAGATGTAATCTATCTGTTTAAGATCATGTAAATATTTAAGAAAAGAGAATGAGAAAGAGTATACAAAGAAACAAAAAACAGTAACCTTAATAAGAGTATTAATAATTGATGTGTTATGAAATAGTGCTAGGACCCAGACCTGTACTCTAGTATTCAATGCTAAACTTGCAAAACCATTTTTATTCAAGTCTTTAATTTGCAACATTTGCTATTTTTGGCATTATGCATTTTGATCTCCTCTCTACTTCATCAGTTGCAACTTGATATAGTAACTGATAAGGATTGTATTCCTAGGATTTTATTCATATAACACAAAAATTTAACCATTAAAAAGATATTTAACAAGAATTACAAATTTCCTATCTTCAGCACGAAACAATAACAAAAATTGATAAACATTCGTATTCAATACTAAAACTTTGGAAAAATGTTTTACATTAACTAAAACTTTACGCAAGTTCGAACATTTGTTAAATAACTGAAAATAAAAGGGATAGAAATTAATTAGCTCATGAAAAATTTGTGCTTTTATCTTTAAAAATGCATGACTACATACGCTCATCTATCTAACAACATTCTCAAGATTAAGGAAGGACAGAAAAACAAACAGATGAATGACAGTAGGAATTTATAGCTCCACAATTTTTTCAAAAGATGCAACCCAAAAAGGCCTCTCAGAAATGTTAAACTTTTATTCTTATTGAATTTTTGTTAGAGGCATATTTCTGAGTTATTCCTTGTAGCAATTTATGTAAAACACCATGTATGTGTGAGACAAATTATCTTAAGAGAAATATAAAACAACATATGTAATCAGCATTAAAAACAATGATCCTACCTTTTAACTTCCAGTGCCTCCAACTTAACTGCCACCTATATTTGCTTCAGTAAACAATAAACAATCAATAGTGGAAGCAACTTCAAATAATAAAAAAATTCCTTTTTGGCACTTAACAGTCAATAGTCAGAAGTTGGGCACATAAAGCCTTCTTCCCTGAGCAACAGTTACTTTTCAAAGTGGCTCACATTTTGTTCATTTGATTTGAAATGAAAGGCACTGGTACATCACAATTACTTCTTGTGTGCAGGACATTCTAAGAAATTCTGAGGAGAAGGGAATAATTCCCATATATAACAATTCGTCCATTGATCTTTAAATCTTAACTGTCTTACTTTTTAGGAAAGTAGGAATACCATGACAAAACAACTTTCCAACTTTTTACTCCTAAATAAACATTCAATGCTATAACTTTGTATCACCAAATTGATTTTTATCTTTAGGATCCCTGTGAGTTTGAGCTGTTTCGTCCGTTGGTACGTAACCGATGTTTAAAAACCGTTCTTCGCTGGGATATTCAAAAGTTCTTGCCCGACTTAAATTTCTATTTTCGACGAGATCTTCGTCTGGCCTGTACAGCTGAGGAGTGCTCTGACGCCTTTCGGCCTGCATTAATTGATGAGCGGCATGGTCGAGTTGTTCTGGTGTTAGATTGATTGCTTCCGCCAATTCTCTTTGCGTCGTTCTAACAAAATCAGGGTCGCAGTATTTCCCTAATCCTTGTTCTTGAAGAACCTAAAATAATTATGGTAAATAATTAAAAATGTATTTTAAATATACAAAGAAAAAGAGATTTATTATTGAAAAAACCAGATAGCAGTTTGTTAAATTAACAGGCTAACAAAAATCAATCACAATATTACAGACAATGCTGTGATCTTTTATACAGACAAATGTATACATACATCTATATATAAAGCTTAACAATTTATAAGCAATAACCATTACCTTAAAAATTTTATATTTTTATAGCATGAAAATGTTATATCTACATTTTTAAATTGGTAAAAATCATCATCAATATCACATTAATTTATTATACAATTTGAATTAATCAATGCACCTTTAACAGTGGGTAAAGTTTTAATAATGCTAATCTTTCTGATCTAATCGGCAGCTATATTTGGATGTGCACAGTTGAAAATGTTAGTGTTATTTAAAATTCATCTACTGTTAAAGGCTCATTGATTAATTCAGCTGATTAACCGTAGCAGCTAGTTCATCCTTATAAAACTTAGCAATAATTATTTCTAACTTTGATATTAAAGCATGTAAAATTTGTTTTGTTTTGATAATTTTTGTACTTTTATAAAAAGAAACAAACAAAAACCCAAAATTACAATATTATCATTTCAAAAATAAAAACTGATCCACTTACTCGACCAACTAGATTTTCGGCACTTCCCACGACTTGTCCGTAATGTTCGGTAGGACTTTCATACGTGTCAGGTGATCTTTTCTCATATCTATTTCCTAATGTGGAATAATGTGTAAAATTGTTAAATATTTATAACCTATTCAATTGAATATTTTACTACACATTGTCGTATCTTTATTTTAAATAATAGTGAGACGTTACCATGAAACGAGGCCCTGTGTGTGGGCACGTAGTTAGAGCTTTCGCTGGATAACGATCTTGGATGTAAGGAATCTCCGTACCCCCTGGGTTTTTCGGGAGTCAATCCTGCAACCACCATTGCTGGAAACTGAGCAAATCTGAGTGAACTTGCAATTAATGGTTGTTCTGCTCTTGGTTGTTGTTGTTGTTGCTGCTGCTGCTGCTGCTGCTGCTGTTGTTGTTGTTGCTGTTGCACTGGTTGACGAGGCCCATCCTGTAAACTATCATCCAAAATTGGTTGTTCATGACTGTCTTGCTTAGTAAGACAAAGAAAGCGGAATGTTTCCGTTCCACTTCTGCTGACAAACTTACGGGGAGGAGGAGTTGGAGGTTTAAGAGCCATGTTATCTTCAGAATCATCCAAGGAAACACTAATAGCAGTTACGGGAAGGATTTAATGATTAGAATGGGAAAGGTATTAATGAAATAATTACGCAACTAAAACATTATAATATTTAACTAAATCTACGGAAATGTTATTAAACCATGCACATGCTATTTTATCAGAACAACAGTGCAATTCAGTAAATCAAAACATACAAATTCTCTTTTTTATGGAATTAAGAAATAATCTTATAAAATTATTCCTGTATATTCTTATAGTAGGAATCGATGATTCTTCAATGAAATAAGTCAATTTGATGGAAACAAACAGAAGGGAGTAAAGGACGTATAAAAATATTCTAGTCTTTTAATCTAAACAAATTCAAATTTTTTCCAACACAAATCAAAGAAGTGAATTACAAAAGTTTGTTTATAATAAAAATATTTAATGGTACATTAACATTTTTTTTTTAAGTTTGTACCAACGCTGACTGTTTAAGTCAGTATCAATAGAAACATCAGTAAATTAAAAAAATACTGGAATAATGTAAACAAGCATTACTTTTCATTTTAAGACTAAAATAATTTATGGAAGTTTAAGTTATGGAATAACACAGAAGAGTTCCTTTTGTTTTTCTTTTATGTGGTCAAAAAGTATAATAATAATTTAAAATCAACGATAGTCAACAAGCAAAGACTCGACTGCAAGGTACAGAATAATTCAAAATCCAAGGAAATCCTAGCAAACTAAATTATCTAACAATCCTACTGTCATAACAATAATAATTATGTAAAAAACTAAATCATTGAACAAACGTATTGACCTCTTTTAGACCCAAATGAATCGAACTTTTGGTAAATGACTCAATTAATAATATTTAATAGTATCATTTAAGTCACAAATGGTCCAAAAATCAAAAATTTTACACCAAACAAATAACCGAATCCATCTATACATAATAGAATTTAAATTTGCACTATGAGAATTTGTAAAATTTGATATAAATACATCAAATTTTACAATAAAACATATGAAATTTGATAATATATAATAGTATTACCGATATTGTGAAATATATATAATATAAAAATTAAAATAGAATAAATAAGACAAATAATAAAGTTGCCTTATATTTACAGGTTGGCTAATAAATATTTTAAATTAATTTACATATATTTAATGTGACAATCTTGTTATAATATGCTTCAGTTGCCACTGTCAATCTGACGACAATAAAAATGCCTTTATTTAACAATATTCTCTTTTATAAATTATCGAATTTATATCAATATAGCATCTTTCCTTCTGGATCGCCAATTTGCATAGTCTTGCCTCGGAGCCAAAATAATAGATTTAAAGCAAAAAATTAGATTATAAATATGTATAGTGCCTAAATTAAAAAACTGATGTAATTTAGTTGTAAGTAATGGAAAAAAATAATAACGTGGTAAACAAGTATTAAAATATTGTATAGAGAAAAAAACGTTATTAAAATAAGAATTAAAGAACACGTGTGATTGTAAAAGATAAAAATTTAGTTAATAAAAACACAGGATGTAAATTAGATGACTGTTGGAAAGATATCATACCTATGTCACACCTGCAATGAATATGTGGAGTCTACAGTGAAGTGTAATTTTGTCATAAGTTCGGTAAAGAAGGATAATCTTAAGAAATAGATATTATAGTGTTTGTGAGTATATTTAAAATGGTTTTTTAAAATTTTATTGTAAATTAATTCTTTTTTTGACATATCTATCAGATGTTCTGGTATTGTTGTAATGTCAGAAAAGTGTTTCTCTAAGACTATTGCTATAAACTTCTTGTATGTTTTGTACTTTACTTAAATATCACTTAGATTGTACTAAAATAATTTGTACATTTTATTGGATAATTTATAAAAGAGAATATTGTTAAATAAAGGCATTTTTATTGTATTCAATTTAGTTTTTATTGTCCTCGGATTGACAGTGGCAATCGAAGCACATTATGACAAAATTGTCATATTAAATATGTAAATTAATTTAAAGTATTCAAATCGTTTATGATTTAATTAATTAAATTATTCTCTCTGAATTTTAATAATTTATGGGATGGAAATATTTAAAACTCATACATTAAATTGATTTTTCTTAAACAACTAAATTAATTAAACATTTATATTTGTTTGAATAATATTTTATATGTAATGATTTGTTTGTATGTTCCATTTAAACTTAAGAATTTGTTTCAAATATTTTTTCCTTTTAATGTGCTGACTTCCATTTAAGTTATATTGCAGACATCAATCTGTTAGTGAATGCCATCTAAAAGTCATCTTATGAAGTATATTTTTACTTTTATCATCAGAAATAAGATAAGGCACCAGAGAACAGAATATTTTCATGAATCTTAATAATGTCATTACAATTATGTATTATTTTTTGGTGAATAAAGTAATGTGTTTATTACTGATAGTTTGTTGAAACATTTTTCCATATTAAAAGTGTAATAATAGCCCGATTCGTGGCAATTTTTATACTTTGTGTGTACTCGACATGGCTCGATTAGTCTAGTTTTTTTCCTAATGGTGATACAGCCTCTAAGTAATGAAATTCATGTTTGGTCCTATTTTTTTTTTTGCATTGTTTGGCATTTATCCAATCAGATATCTAAGTGGCTATCAACTTTAGAGAAGTAGACTCCTTCCCCCTGCATGGAAGTTGTTCTACAAAACTTAGTCCCAACCCTCTTCCACTCGTGTCGCCTCTCTTATAGCACAGGAAGGCAATCACCCATCCTGAGTAATTTTTCTGTTTGAACCATTTGTTTTAACAGCTGCAATTGAACTGCAAAGACCATTTAGCCTGATGATGTCCATTCAACACAGATGAAAATGTTTGCTTTTATCTCTAATTGGATTTAGTTTAAAGTCTGAGTTGATTGAATTATCTCATAGATGGTCTAGTCCGGTAATTTTCAACTGGTGTGCCACAAAAATTTTTTAAGGTTATTAATTAAATTATTTTCAAAAGAAGCCCAAAGAACAAATAGCGTACATGTCAAAATTAAAACCTTTGAAAAACTCGTATAATCAATTTAAATTGTTATAATAAATAAATATATACATAATGTAGTAAAAAAGATATATTCATAAGCAAAATTATATGTGCATAACACCAGGTTATTTCATTTAAAATGAAATTTTCTTTAATCTATAATTTGTCCATATTTAGTTCAAACTATTTTAACTCAGAAAAAGCGGGACATTGGGCAGATTTGTAAAGGCAATTATTGTGCCACTTTTAAATGTATATTAAGACTTAATGTTAATTGTTTTCCTTACATAAATAAAAATTATTAATTTAAATAACTATTGTTGTAACCTGCTGCTATTTTAATTAAGGAATAACGATACTGTTTTATTTAATTTGCAAAAAATTTAGATAAAAAGAATTAGATTAAGTGGCAAATATATGAAGATAGATTGGTTACAAACACAACTTTAAATCATATGATTTTTCCCACAGAAATTTAATATAGGTTCAAGTATGTCACGAGATTAAAAGAAAAAGTTGAAAAACGCTGGTCTAGTCGAAGAGTCCTGTTTTGTGTGCCAACTATGAGATAATTTTTGTAGACATTTTTTGCAAAAATAGGCTTTTGATACAAGTTTGGATGAAGAGTCATAAATTAAGTATTGCATGCAGTAACATGCTTCATTAGAAACTGTATTGGGAAGTGATTTGCCCAATGACAGAGTAGCAGTCAATATGTTGATTTTAACGATCACGGAAATCACTATATGAAAAATATCTTGAGTTATAGTATATTTGCTCTTGTTGTAATTGTGCGCACAAGATAATACTCTTAGCAATCACATTAAACTTTACTTTACAAATGATAATGCATATTTAATAAATTATCATTTCCTAAAGTAAAAGATGTTTTTGTTTCAATTTGCCCCCTCAATATGAGTAACAATATATAACTGCATATAACAATAACTATTATTACTATTGTTATATGCTATGCCACTCGATACAATAATGCCTACATTTAAACAATATTTATAGCAATTATTTTAAATTGTAAAATTTATAAAAAAATATATAATTCTTACTTATGCTAAAATATATACAGATTGCTCCATAAGTAAGTTAACCAAGATATATTTTTAAGAATGGGTAAAACCAGTATGAAATAACTAAATGTTGTTATTTGAAATTTGGCTGCTTGGTTGAATCGGAATCATAATTAACATTTGACTTTTCCAAACAATTTTTAATCCTTCTTAAAATAATAATAAAATATATCTCTATTAACCGACTTTCAGGCTCTTCTGTATAAAGGAGATGGAACTAAGTTGGTTCATGATTAATTTTAGAACTTATTCAAAATGATGGCGATATTTTTTTTTGTTTTTTAAACTATAAAATAATAAATATTCATAATATGAGGGTTATTGGAGATAATGAGCACAAACATTTAAAAAAATTTTAAATATATGATCACATCAATCAAATCAAATATGGCAAACTCCCATATAATTCCACAAAGAAATTACAACTAGTACTTGTACAAAATTCTAATTTTGTCGTCCAGAGTTACTGTATACATTTTCTTCTTCAATTTCAAGGCCTAAGTTTAAACTTGCGTAAAATCATAATGTGTATCTCAACAATGCAACTTCTTATAATACAGAACATATTCCCTGCATTGCACGAAACTCCACCATATAAATGGTGGAGTTTTGTGCAATTTAAAATTTTAATTGCAAATTTTAATTTTGCAAGAATTAAAATTTGCAATTAAAATTTTAAATTTTAAATAGAAACTGAAAACAAAAGTTTTCTATGTAAATGTACTATATATATATATATATATAAAGTTTCCTTAAATTCTGTAAATATCTGAAAATTTTTTTTAAAAAATGATTATTTTCTTGTAAAATATAGCATTTGATATATTTTTGTAAATAATTCCACAGATAACACCCAATTACACATGGTATAATTATTTACATTATAGTTATTTATTACTATAACGTAATTATACAATAATTTACTATAATACACTTCTTGGTCTAGCCTTGGTATATACTTGTGAGCACTATGTTGGCCTCTTTATTCTTAGACTTATTACACTGTCACTATCAGCAACATATATACAATAATTTAATATGTTGTATTCTATATTATAATCTAGAGTAATTATATATATTTTGTTTATCAAAATAATTTATTCCTATTCCAAATAATTTGTCTTTTCTAACAGAAATAAATTATTTTGATAAACAAAATATATATAATTACTCTAGATTACAACATAAAGTACACCAAGGCTCCAAGGCTAGATAAGAGGCGTGTATATATCAGTATCAAACTCTGATTATTTAATTATCTGATATTGATGGTGAGAAGGCCAAGATGGGCAGCCAATTGCTCCAGATATCTGGAATCAAATCTGGATGGGCCAAAAAACCCTAGGAATTTTTTTGGAGAGGCAGTCTGCCCATATATGTTGGGTCACATCCCTCACTACCTACCCATCCCAATGTGGGCCTGGACAAAAATGTACTGGTCTTGTTAAAATGAGGCCTTCTCCTCTTAGTGCCCACAGAGCAGAAAAGTTTAAAGAATATACTGTACGAAATGAGACTATGTAAGAAGTTTAGCAACATAAAAAGATTTACTAAACATTATATTATGTTGCACTGAGAACAAGCTTTGGAATTAGTTTATGCTTTTTCAGCAAATATTTTTCTAGTATAAGTGATTGCTTTATAATTAAACCCTGCACTTTTTTTAAAGTCAATATTATTGTTTGTATTAATAAAAATTTTAATTATAAAACAGCTAACTTTTATAAAATATGGGTTGTTTAATGTCTTATGTTTTCATTTCATTTTCATTGGCTGGTTATTTATTGATCCACCCTTATATATATATAAGTATAACTTAACAATTTAACTTAACCTTTTTGGAAAAATTCAATGAAAATTTCTATTAACTTATGTAGTTTAATACCCTTCTTATTGAGTTACAAGATAACTTAGAATTAAATGTAACATTCAATTCTATTAGAACTAAATGTAACATTCAATTCTATTATCAGATTCAACTATCTTCTTCTATCGTCTTAGAAAAGCTCATTACCTTTGATACAAAAACCCTCATATAACTGTTATATATCAATATTACTTAAATAATAAAAATATTGTGATTAACCTACACTCTGGATAGGCAACTGTCACATTTTTGAAGTTTTCTTATTTTAAGTAAATTCTCTTGCAGAATATCGGACGATGTGGACGAGCTTCTCGATGTCGAAGAACTGATGATAAAATCCGACATCTTACTTTGCCTATGAATTGCCCTCAAGGGAATGATTTCACTACAACGATCACACAGTTCGTTCTCATCGTCATCTCCAGATAAACTTCCCTTACAACTGTTACATATTTCATGGTTAGTATTACACGTTGGACGGAACTGCCGATGGAGTGGCGAAACGTAACTCCTCTGTTGGCAGATATTTATGTCGTCTATAGATAAGGAGCTGTACAGATTAGTCATGCAAATTTGTTAGCTGATTGTTAGTACACAGTAGGGTAATTAAAAGGAAAAGGATTAGAGACTTAGAGAGAAAAATATGGATATTTATCATTAAAAATATAGTCAGAATGATCCAGTAATTAATTTAGTAAATTAAGATAGGTCTTCTTAAAGTAAACTTATGAATTGTGATTTATTTACAAAATGATATTTGTATCTTGAGAATTTGTGCTATCACCACTTTAGCTGCACATAAATAGTGTCTTACAATGCTCCCATTTTAAATTATTGTAATTATGCCAATTATTACCTGAGAAGTATGCAATGTACACTAAATGATAGAATAACCATCAGAGTTGTCTTCCATCTGCAACAGAGAAAATATTTTGTGTTCTGCAGTTTGCAAAGTCAGAATCAATTGTCATTGTACAACTTCAGTGATCTGCAAGAGCCGTAGAATTGTTGCTGCTGTCAGAAAAATAATGGCAAGTATGTCATAGTGAGGGTAGAAAGAATTTAAGTATCAGTTGGATGCAGGGCCAGCCTGCCCATATAGGCAAACTATGCAATGGCCTAGGGCACTTGAATTCGAGGGGGAGGCATGGCGAAAGTACATGCATAAATTACAATAAATAATGAAAAAATAAATGTTTTTTTTTATCACAATCCTGTACTATGCTGTTTTATTACGTATTTGAATAAAAATTAGATACTGTATTTTACATTGGTGTTTTATATTGTTGCTAATTTTTTTTAAATGAGGCAACATCAAAGTCATTTGCCTAGGGTGCTGAGTTTGCTCGGGCCGGCATTGGTTGGATGCATGCCATACAACACAAGATGCACATGTCAAGAAATTATAGTGGGCAAATGTGAAATTCGTTGAAAATCGGACAGTTTTTCAACATTTTAAATGTACATTACAATATTCTTGGATAATGATCAGCATAACCACAATAATTTAATATAGCAGCATTTGTTTTTAAATATTTGTCATATAATATAAAAATTAAATATGATTCTTCTATCATCACAAAAATTTGAAACATTCTATATATATATTCTTGATGATAAATATACTCAATTACTTTAAAATATTAAGTACAGTATATAAATAATAATATTACGAACTACATTTAATTTGGTCAAATATTAATTCTTTATTATTATATTACATATTTTTTAATATGTTATAAGTATAATATTCTAAAATTAGAATATAATAAGTATTATTATGTAAAAAGATCATTTTGTATTTAATATGGAAATTAAAGGTAAAGGGGAATCAAGACACCATTCATCCTTAAATTTGCTGCCTTGCATTGGAAGTTGTTTACCGCAAATAATTTTTTTAAGTACATAATAAAAATTATTATTATACCTTCAATCATAAAACATGTTTAAATGAGTTTTAGAAGCTAACAATAATTAATTTTCTTTCATATATAAATTAATTTTTTGCTAAGATACAAATCAAGAAAAGAAAAAAACAGAAGTGAATGGAAATATCAAATATCAAAACTAAATCAACTGAAAATATGAAGAAAATGGGGAAAAATTATATACATATAAATTATATTTCCAATATTTCAACGATGTGACAGATATTTTTAATTATTTTTCTTCAGAATGGCTTAGAATTATTAAATGAACATTTTAAACAAACGTTTTAATCTTAATAACTCTGGTAATGTGATTTTAATAAAGTTAGAATGACTTAAAAATAAATACTTTAATGAAATAATAAGCATTCATGCAGATTTTGAGTTATTTCTTTTACTGAAAGACTTGAAAGAAGCGATAACATTTATCGTAATAACAAATTTAGACAACTCTTGGCTTGCATTTCGAATTACTACAAGCAAACTTGAATTATTTTGGGAAATGTAAAATGCAGGTTAAGGATTATAACAGAATTTTTCATTTAGTTCACTTTACATAATCATTAATTATCATGTTTTAATATAAATAGGCAGAAGTAGAAATATCATTATAAATTTGATTCCAACTCAAAGTTCGATTTGAATCTAATTAAAGTTATAACGTAGTAATGAAATAATTAAGATTAAAAATATTTAGCATACAGGGTCCAGCAGAAAAATGGGCAATTATAAATAAAAATATTCAGAAGTTAATAACCATATGTTTTGAAAATAATATCATGCAAATGATCTTCATTCATTCACAAACACTTTTCACATATTTGAAGTATGCCACACAGAGCAGTGCAAAGTATTCTCAAGGTATGCTGATTGCATGATGAATTTTTGCCTTAAAAGTTTCAATATTTTATGAACAAAGGATATGTTATGTGAAAATTGTCCAAAAAAATATTGAAACACTTAAAGAAAAAATTCATCGTGCAATTGACATAACCAAGAATATGTTGCACTGTTCTATGTGGGACATACTTTAAAGACGTGACGAGTGTCTTTGAATTATGTCCATGTGAACATATGAATGAGGGTCATTTACATGGTATTATTTTCAAAACATAAAAGGCAAACTACTGTATATTGTTTGAAATCTTTTATATAAAAATTCATTTAAAAATATTCAAAAAGTATCATGTTTCTCCAAGATTTTCACCGATGAATTATCAAATTAATTCCTTGACCAAATAGCCCCCGATCATCTGATCATCCACTCAAATTCAGTCCTCTCTGTCTTGTTTTTCAGACTTCCTCTCTCTTATAGGAGGTCTCAAAACTAATAGAATATTTTCCTTTCTTCCCTTTTTAGAAGAAAGAAAGTGTAGGAAAGCTCTTATCTTCTGGGAATACAGAAAAATATCATCTTAATAGATTGCCTGAGTTGCCGAATATCATCTGTTACTCCAAGAATCCGTTATATCGCAAACAACAGATTTCCCACACACCCAGGAAAATATCCATTATTCAAAAAAATTTCCATTTTTAACCTCTATATTTAAGAAATACCAATACTTGAAATTATTCAGTCTCGAGATCTCTATTCTTTATCCTATAGAAACACTTATATTTGTAACATATGTGTATATTATGCTGTATATGATTGCATATTATGCCAGATGTGTGTATGACAAAGCTGACAAAAACTGTACATAATGTAAGCATAAAAAAAGGCAAATTACATATGCTCATTAGCACTTCGCTTGACTTCACAATTTGTTAAAAACACTCATCCAACTTGGCTTCTTTCAATGCTGATTTTCTGTCTATTAAATACAACACCACTTGATATTAGCAATGTCATGACAATACAGCCTGTTCATTTATGCTGAAACTTGTCAGGAAGGTCTTTGTGACTTGAAAAGAGTCAACAGCCTCACTAAATTTTGGCACTAAACTCAGACCAGCAACTGAGTGTTCACTAGGTAATTCCTCCTCAATCATATCAGCCGGATGACTCTTCGTACAATTGTACATATCCCAAATGTAACAAGTTCATCATCAAACTCTACAAATTCCCAGAAACAAATACAGGTAGCCCTCAGTTTACACCTGCTCAATTTATGCTGATTCACAATAACGCTGCTGCGCAATTTGCTGTTTCATGGTATAATTCCCTGGTTTTCCCTATGCCAGTTGATTTTTGTTTCAGTGTTGACTTATTTACTGAGCGACAACATTGTACATTCGTTAAAAGAAAGATTTTTATTAAATATATTTATTTTTTCTGTTTAATATTATTGGGTATGTATACATTTGCATTAAATTAATATTAAAATACTAAACGTTTAGGTTCCCATGAGTCAAGTTATTAAACTTAACAGTCCAATAAATGTTGTTCAAATCCAGAGTGCTAACGAATGCAAATAGTTTGTATCCCGTATCAGTTCATTCAGGAAAACATCTTACGGCGCAGTAGTACTTCTGACGATCACAAATTATCGTTAGTGAGACAAAATCTACTTCTCGTTGGCCAGACGATATCTAACTCTCCTTAGCGAGACAAAATCTACTTCTCATTGGCCAGACTATATCTAACTCTCCTTAGCGAGACAAAACCGACTTCAGTTTTTCTGCCCAAACTGACCTTATATATGCTCTACGATGGCTGGCAATCGACCAATCAGTGTCTCTGCTCATCTGTAGCTCTATTTTAGGTTAGTGTATCCTTTCAACTATCGAAAGTTTGATGGATGAGCTTTGTGAGTTAGACAATGATTGAGAGCGAATTGCAAATGTAAAAAGGAGCATCATCGCACCCATTCAACCATATTCCGAAATTATTAATGAAAGAAAACAAAAATCTAAACAATTACAAATGGATACTTTTTTCCGAAAAATGTAAGAGATCCAAACTTTGAAATAATTGTTTTTCTTAAGAATTTTTAATAAAAACATTTCATTTTATTTTATCATAAAATATATTTTTAAAAATTAAATTTATAATATATGTATTTTTTATTATATTGTATTAATAAACAAAATTATTTGCTTATTTTTCACTTATGTAGAACCTAACCCTATACCCACTGTAAATATGGGTTCATTTTATGCCAATTCGATTTGCGCCGGCATTTGTAGGAACAGAACTGTGGCATAAACCAAGGGCTACCTGTATCCCAAATATTAACTAAACGTTGAAAAAAAGACGTGAAATTTACAATAAATTTGGGGTAGAAAAATTCCATTATTTCAAGTTATGAATCCACTAAAAGGAAGTAAAATTACATTAATTTGGTGGGAACTAGAAAAAAATCAGTTATTCTGAGAAATGCATTGTTTCACAATCTGTTAAAATGAGATTCTAGTGTATATCTCCTAAAGAAAGATCCTTATACAGTAAAGAATGTTTCCAGTTCACAGAATGTACAAGTTAAACTTTTTTCCACTTATTTAATTTAAAAATTTTTTATTTGTTTAACTTGGCTCTTCCCAAGACTAAATCCTGAATGCACCACTGGTTGTACATACTGTTTCCATGAATGTGTGAANTCTTGTAATGCAATGCATGTTGTTGCGAAGTCCTAATGTTTTGAGACTTTTGTATAGTTCGTATGATATGAATATGTGCAAGAAAGGATTACCAACACAAAAAGTACATTATCCATTCTCCATACACACTTTACATTATGGATGAGTTCTGAGTATTTACCAATTTTCTCAATGTATGCTTTTTGTATGTTGTGAGTATTTGGTAAAGCTAGGTCTATGAGATATGCAATTCTGTTTTGTTTGTCAACGAATGTGATGTCTAGTCCAATGTAATGGATTGTTTATCTGTGATTAAAGCTCTGTCAAAGTATATTTTGTGTGCATTGTTTTCTATGACTGTCTGAGATGTGTATTTGTAGCATGGTTCCTGGGAGTATAGTAGTTTGTGTTTGTGTGCAAGCTTTATGTATATCATGTTTGCTATTTGGTTATGTCAATGTAAATAGTCTATTTAGCACAAACATAACTCATTGACATAGCTCATGAGGTTATACAAACATCAGCTTCTTGTAATGCACAAATGACACTCGTAGGAAATGCCAATAATGTGGCATTTCCTACGAGTGTCATTTGTAAATATTGTGGTTTACATTATTATTATTAAAGTCAATTATTAGTATAAGAAAATAGTATTACAACATACAGTTCATTGGAACAAATAAACTTATGCATAATAAAACAAAAGTATTAATGTTTACCATCTGTTTTTATGTGCAATGATGTTCTAACAATTGCAAATAAAGTAGCATTAAACATAACTGTCCCATCACTATTGAGAGGCATATTCATTGATACCAATCTCTGAAACAGATTAAAGAAAATTTTACAAATTACAAATAAATTTTAAAATAATTAAATGAAAGGTACTATTTATCAAAAATAGTTAAAATAAAAATAAAAGATTTTTTCCAATCAATATTTATTTTACTAATACGTTATAACTTATTTTATCTAAACTGCTATTATTGTTTTAAATCAAAATTCAAATATTAATTTCATAACTAAACCTTTTATGATTAATGTTTTGCATCTGACATACTGATATATGTACGATATTTAAAAACTCATAAATATGTTTAAGAAATATTATGTTAATTGTTAGTGCTAATTTCTAGTTATTTTTAGTTTTAAAATACAAATTTACAATGTAACTTTGGAATATTGAAGCTTTGCTAAATGTTAATTAATATGTTATTAAATAATTAATGGCAAAAAAATCTTATTATTACACGTACCTTGATTTATCGCCACTTCCATCAGGATAAAATGGACCATGGATAAAATTTGGAAAATCTTTTATACTTTTAATATTGTTCATAAAATGTCTGGGAGATACATCTAATGAGTTAACCGGAGATATTTTTGAATGAGCATGAATAGCATTTAAGTGAGCGGCACGACTTTTAGCAGCAGACTGTTTCCCGCGTGACCACATAGTTCCAAACAACATGTGGTTTCTCTGGAATAAATTATTTCAATGTAACTACTAATTTTCGAGTAATGAAGAATTTTATGTCAACACAATTAAAACAATTTATGATATAAGTTTGTTAATCTGGCACCTATAGGACTAGAGTGATAACAGATTACTAAATGCCTTTGTATTTCTGCAAAATTCAATATGTTATATGCGATTTGAATGTTGCAAGGATATCTGTACATTTTTTACCAGTAAAAGCATTCAATCTGACACAAGCAAGATGCTTAACAAATAGAGTCTTTCTCATTCACATTGACTTTGGAATCACAAGCAATCTCCTGACATAGCAAAATGCATTGCTGCACTCCCCACCATTGCCTTGTTTTCCACCAGTGGTCTTAGTGCACCGTGTATTCAAATAAATTCTAATTTACAAAATTCTAGCATGCCAAATTATCATCAAACAATTCTGAATTATTGGCTATTTTTCTGAGGGTGCCAGATTAATGAACTTCTGTTATATATATATATATAAAATATGTAATATTGTATATAACATTATATTACAGGTAAAAAATATTAAAAATGTAAAAATTTATACCCTATGCATTGGTGTTACATCTTCACCATTATTATCAAAATTATCTTCTTCTAAATTACCAGATATTGCTCTACGTAAATCTGGTCCAGCTTCATGTAGCGTTCTTAATCCAGCCTAAAATAAAAAGAAGTTTTCATCTTATTTTTCAATGGAAATATAAACAAAATATATACATTCTGTTAAACTCTTACATTAACAGCAATATTAAGTAAATAAATAAGATATTTCTTTTATTATGGAAACTAAGATAGTAAATTAACATTTTTTTAAAAATTTTAATTAGTTATAAAAAAATTATTCTTTTCACTTGTTTATTGAAATAGTGTAATACTGTAAATTATATCATATTTTTATATCAACAATCCATATTTATGCAGAAATTTATTATTGCAAGTAAAATTTATGGATAAAGCCAAATGAACCGCCAAATTATCTGACTATATATAATATGGCTATGTAATTAAATATTAAACAATGCCAGGCTGCAGTTTTTTAGATCTCAATGCACAATGCTATTGATTTTAGTAGTGTCTTGCCCCTGTATATCAAACTTTTCCTGTTAACAAGTGTCATAACAGTCATATAACTCTGTTCAGGAGAAAATTTTGGATTGAAATAACGTGACTTCCAGTTCAAACTTGAAGTTTGTATATAATTAATTGCGGCTTCTGACTCCTAAGCTTTCCATATCTGGTCTCAATTTTCATCTATCTAATTCTGTTCTTGAAATTCAGGAAGAACAGACAACAGATGCCAGTGGAAATTCATAGCTTTGAAATTTTAAAATTACCTGGCAATTACCTGGGACCCTAAACCAGCCTTTTATAAGAAAATATTCCCCCTAAAAAATGTCTGAAGTCAACACTATACATGAGGTCCCTGTAATTTAAATTTGACTGGACTCCATGAAACTAACATGTCACTGTTGTTTAAAGCATTAAATAAACCTTTTACATTGCATTATTTAAATATTAGTTTATAAATTATCAAGTTTTTATTTACTTGTAATGCAACAGTTCCTGCTGCACCATCTTCTCCTGTAGCCTTCTCTCTGTCTTCCTTTCGTTTTTTGAAACGACGGAAATAATCTTGGATTAAGAAGGTTGCATAGAACTTACCAACTGTTACATCATCATCGGCTGAAATAAGATACGAATGAGTTATGTAAAGCTGTGTTTTTACTTTAAAATATTTTAATCAAATTAAAGTTAAACCAACCTCCAGCAGGTGGTACTACTTGATCTAATAATTTTGGATTTGTTCTTTTCCAAATCTTCTTAATAACAGCTCGTAATTCTTCATTTGCCTCGTCAATATTACCTATTAATTATAAAAACATTCCTATTGAATATTGTAAGGTATTTTGAATTAATTTAATATATAATAAAATAAATATGTTTTAAATAATCAGATATATAATTATAGTGGTGTTAGCTGGTATATACTACTCACCTAAAACTATACAGGACCAGAATCAAGACATAACTCAAAACAAGTTATTATTATGTTTTCCATATTACATATGTATCTATGTATGTATTTATCTGTGTTTAAGAATTTTCTATGTGACATGTGTTTAAATAGGCAGCTTCTTGTAATGCAATGCATGTTGTTGCGAAGTCCTAATGTTTTGAGACTTTTGTATAGTTCGTATGATATGAATATGTGCAAGAAAGGATTACCAACACAAAAAGTACATTATCCATTCTCCATACACACTTTACATTATGGATGAGTTCTGAGTATTTACCAATTTTCTCAATGTATGCTTTTTGTATGTTGTGAGTATTTGGTAAAGCTAGGTCTATGAGATATGCAATTCTGTTTTGTTTGTCAACGAATGTGATGTCTAGTCCAATGTAATGGATTGTTTATCTGTGATTAAAGCTCTGTCAAAGTATATTTTGTGTGCATTGTTTTCTATGACTGTCTGAGATGTGTATTTGTAGCATGGTTCCTGGGAGTATAGTAGTTTGTGTTTGTGTGCAAGCTTTATGTATATCATGTTTGCTATTTGGTTATGTCAATGTAAATAGTCTATTTAGCACAAACATAACTCATTGACATAGCTCATGAGGTTATACAAACATCAGCTTCTTGTAATGCACAAATGACACTCGTAGGAAATGCCAATAATGTGGCATTTCCTACGAGTGTCATTTGTAAATATTGTGGTTTACATTATTATTATTAAAGTCAATTATTAGTATAAGAAAATAGTATTACAACATACAGTTCATTGGAACAAATAAACTTATGCATAATAAAACAAAAGTATTAATGTTTACCATCTGTTTTTATGTGCAATGATGTTCTAACAATTGCAAATAAAGTAGCATTAAACATAACTGTCCCATCACTATTGAGAGGCATATTCATTGATACCAATCTCTGAAACAGATTAAAGAAAATTTTACAAATTACAAATAAATTTTAAAATAATTAAATGAAAGGTACTATTTATCAAAAATAGTTAAAATAAAAATAAAAGATTTTTTCCAATCAATATTTATTTTACTAATACGTTATAACTTATTTTATCTAAACTGCTATTATTGTTTTAAATCAAAATTCAAATATTAATTTCATAACTAAACCTTTTATGATTAATGTTTTGCATCTGACATACTGATATATGTACGATACTTAAGATAAAATTAATACATATATTTAATGAAAAAAAAAAATTTATATTTTCACCAATAAATTCTAATTTAAATAATTCTATATGTAAAAATTATAATTTTGATTTTAAAATAACTTGTAACCACAAAAAATAAACTGAAACATATACAGTAAGTTTTGTTTATTGTAATCATGAATAATGTTCAACCTCTGGTACTGACCAGAAGTGTGTTATCCAAGTCAAAAGTCAAGTTTTTTTAAATAGAACATATTTTTTAATTTATATTTGGATTAAATGCAAAACATACAATCATTTTGTCACTTACATTTTTTCTGAAATGCCTCCATTGACATCAAATAATTTTGGAAATGTGATAAACTCTTCTTGGTGATGAGTCATTCTGTCACAATAATTTTAGCTGGCTGAATATTCAGCATCAAAATATGTAAACATCAGGCTTGTGTTTATATTTTCATTTCAAATAAGTTTTCATTTTCACTATGACACTTATCAAATGTGTCATAGTGATCTACTATATGTAGCCATGTCCTATGAAGTTCTTCGAGCAACAAATTCTTTTTCGGAGTAGATTCTTAGATTGGTGAGAATGGTGCTCAGTTTAAAGACTGATTGAAAAATAAGCTCCAAAGTTCAGTGCCAAATAAACTACACCAGAAGAGTTTATAAAATAAAAATATTATGTAGCAGTAGTAATAATTTTTGTTATTTCGGCATAGATTACATATGGTTATTGTATCAACATTTTTATTACATTTTGCTTACATTGACAATTTATTAATCAAAATATTTTGTAATGTAAGATTTTCACAGTATCATTTTTCTCCATGCATCATATTTTCAAGGTTATTTTAAGGTCAGTGAAGGCATTTTCAGAAACTTATTTTTTTTACATTTAATGTAAATCAAAATAAATAAATAAAAGTACCATATTCTACTCAATAAATTCAACTGGGAGTTGAAAATATCACTATTTGATAGTACACCCAATTTACTTATCAAACTTTTTAGGATTTTTGATGAAACTCATTTCCCCTCATTTTAAAAGGGGTTTCACTGGGTGGTCTGCATCACTCTGTATATACATAATACCAGAAAATGGTTTGCATCATAGACTGTTCCTTCAAAAATTAATTAAACTATAAATAATAATTCTTAGCAATACAAAATATATATTTTTATACCTTGCAAGCAACTCTATGAGGACATAATTTTCCAAATCCAAGTGGTGGTGAGATTTTTCTTAATAATGTTACAACATCTAGATGTTTGATGCGACCTCTGAAAATATTAAAGTAAATTAAATCAAGAATAAATTAATTTAAATTTATTTTTGTTACATAATTTAAAATAATAATATCTGACATCTATAAAGTTGTAATTTTTTCAACAAATAAAACTTTAATTTTTCATCGATATAGTTCAAATGTTGCATTATTTCTCATCTGTTAAAGTACACATCAAAAGAAATAAATATTAAAAATGATTACAAATAAAATCAATTAATTTGCAATATATGATTTTATATAACAGTAAATCATAACCTGATTTAATTAGTTAATGCAAAACAATAGCCAAATTATTGGGCTATTTTTGGGTTATGTTAATGGGCTATCATTAATGTAGCCCAAAAACAGCTTGATAATTTGGTGTTAATATATGACTTTTATTATGGTAAAACTTAATTTTACATTAAAACCACTAAACGGTAATGTGGTTATAGCCAAGAATGCATGTTATTAGTCAGCTGAGGACTTAAAGTTACTAAAGATAAATCGCATTGTGGATTTCAGCCACAAACTATCACACAAAATTTTCTTAGGATACTTTTTAATGTTACCAAAAAATTAATATATACATCTCTCACCATAAGTAATGAGACAGTAGGATGAAATTTCAATCAATTTAAATGGCTGCAGACTTTCTATCATTGGCTCTATCGCAGATTACACTTTTAAGTTAATGGTTCTGTATACTTTAATAACCTAACCTAACCTAAGGTATTATCAAAGCTATTTTATTGAGGTCTATGAACATAAACAATGATTCTGTAAATCTTATTTCTCATATAAACATTTTCAATAATTTTGACTCCATAATTATTTTACTTACTTAGCATCTGGATCATATTCAGACCAAAGTCGAACAAATTCATCTAAATGATGAGGGCCAAGAATTGACCAATCTCTTGTAAGATAATCAAAATTATCCATAATGACAGCCACAAACAAGTTGATAATCTAAAAAAATTTACAATTAAATCATTATATAATTATTTCAAATATAAGATACTAAACTAATTCTTGATTAAAATTGCTATATATATATATAATTATAATGTGACATTATTCTATAACAGTCACATGTCATACAGAATATATCCATTACTTTCACATATAATATTTATGTATACTGTAAGTAAATAATATATTATATTGTATGTATTATACATATTTACATATAATGTAATATTATGTATAATGTATCGGTGTTTTTCAACTGCCATGTCTACTTAAAAGTTTTCCCAATCCACAGAAATATATTTGAGCATATTGATGCTAGTGCAGTTGAATACGAGTGACATTTAAATAGTAGTCTAGAGTTACTGTAGGCACTTTGTTACAAGCTGTAACTCTAGATAAGCCTATAGAAGCATAATTCATAGCCACACACATAATTACTGGTCTGTGTAAAATTATTCATAATTTTATGGTTCTGTTATAAGAAAAAGGTTCAAAAACACCATAATATGCAGACAACAAAATTTATACTATAAAAAAGGAAACAATGCAATAGTATAATCTACAATTATTTCCAAGTGTTATTTTTAGTTGATCACATTATAATTTTGAAAAGTATTGAAATCATAAATAATTTATGACTTCAATGTGATATAATTGTAGAGTGTCCCTTAGAACGAAGACTGCAAAACTAAAAAAAAAAAAATAGACAAGTCCGCTTGACAATAATTTGGGACTTTTAATTCTTTCTCATTGATGAGTCACAATATATACATAGGATACAAACTATCATGTGAGTGACAACCTACGATGCATAACAATAACAATATAAATCTTCACGCGATACACATTCCCCTTTCTTTCCTCCTCTCTCTTCAGGGGCTCCTCGGCATGCGACAAATTGAAAGGTGCATAAACAAAATAATAATAAAAAAAACATATACGCATGACAGACTTTTTTGAATGTGTATAACAAATAAAAAAAACTAATGGGCTTGGATGAAGCTTCCTCTAATGCTCCTTTTCCTAAGTATGTTCTCATCTCATCGGCCTTTTCCCAATCCTGGGTCCTCTCACACTACTCCTTTCCAGGTCATCAGATTGCAGGATGTGCCACTGTCCCTTTGTCTGAAAAATGTCTTTCAATGCTAACCCTCTCAATTTCATATAGTTTACAGGTAGCAAAAACAAAGTGAAAAAGTCCCTTCTACACACAGATCCCAACTTTTCATACTATGCCAAGCAGATATCTTTCCCATGTGACTTCCGCTAGCCAATCCGGTTGCCAACATAATGTAAACTGGAAAAATATGGTACCATGAACAAAAACAAAGCAGTCAAGGGAAAAACCAAAACACAAAATAATACATTGTCACAAAGCACTACACAATTATAAAGTCTAAAAAATTAAAAGCAAATTCAGAAGTATGTGTGGGGAAGTTCTCAATAGCTTATCGAGTTCTCCATGCATATAATAAAGAAAATGTATCCAATAAAATAAACATGCTCTATGGCTCCAATGAAAGAACCAAAAGTTTATTTCACAGTTTTAAGTTCAACTCAAGATACACTACTATCATAATAGATTAATTCTATGGTGATTTTTTCCATGCCCACTCTTCATGACATATACAACCCAAGAACAAAGAGGAAAAAATTCACACTTTGCTACACTTCAAGACCCATTCTCACCATGTCTTTTCTTCTCGCTCGCAAAACCAAAAGTATCATTTCTGTCCTACAGACCTGAACAAGGATTCTAGATCCGGGTCCCTCTGATGTCATCAAGACCTTGGGCTTGGATTCTGCTGCTCGACCATTCCAACTGCGACAAACCCATTTGGATATATAAAAGGTTGATGAACAAAACTATGTGGTCTTAAGACCACATATGTTTATTTAATGACCTTTTCAAACTGTTGTAATTTGGAAAAGTTATCAAACTTTAATACTTTAATAGCAGAATTAAATACATCTAAGTTCTATATTTTATAACTACATAGATTTTTTTATATTTTTTGATTGCAAGATTTTGACAGTATCTATATAAAAAGGTTAGTAGCAATATGAATGTTAGCAGTTGGAAATCCATCAAATAAACACACTTTTTTTAATATTATTGTTAAATTATTTTAAAAAGCTAACTCTGTACTTTTAATTATAGTTGATGTTATAAGTTATTAATCTAAGTTAAGAATTGGCATAAGTAAGTTATGTAAAGTTTCACAGTAATAAATTAAGGAAAAAGATGTATGATAATTTTAATATTTATCAAGAGATAGATAATTTAACATCCAAAGCTTTACAGTAAAATGAAGAAGTTTATTTACATCTTATATAATAGGTAAATATGTACATGGATGTGTGTATATTTATAAAAATAAATATTTTAAAAATTAAAAAAAGAAAAAACTTAGAAACTTACTAAAAATGAGCAAAGAACATAAAAAGAAACAAAATAAGGAATAGCAAAAGGTGATCCACAAGGTTTGCCAGCATCCTCTGAAGCAGGATCACATAAAGGATCCCTGTCTTTTGAACAAGCCATCATAACTTCTTGCCATGCCTCTCCAGTTGCACACCTACAACATTTCAAACTTTCAATTAATAATTTCTAGCAAAAATAACTCCATAATTATAATCATCATATTTCATTGCTTTTAAATTTATAAATATATTAACAAATATTTTTTTAAAAACTTAAAATTCAACTTTGAAAGATTTCTTGTTAAACTAAAACATTCAAACAAATAAATCAACTTTCGAACTTGTGTCATTGAAACTAAGGATAAAAAAATTTTGAAAATATATTTCTTATTTAAGTAGAAAAAGACTTCATTTAGTTCCACAGAATTTTTGCTATTATGAAAATATAAAGTCTATAATGAATAACATAATATTGAGATGTGTTAATAATGACGCTACTTAGAACGTTCAATGAATTTCTTACTATCTTTGTCTTCTCTGTTCTTTCTTTGTGATTGATTTGTCATAATTGGTTAGAGTTTGTCTTTAAACTTATATGCCTGAATGTATCTTCTTAATGAAAGTTAGTATGTCAGAACAGAAGTGAAACATTCATTGGTGAAGGAGAAATATATAAAGAGAAAATAAATAATCCTTTTGGTTTTCATTGAAATAGAAAGAACTGAAGCTTCATGGAGAAAAAAGGATATCAGAAAGGCAGAAAATTTCAGATAAGCAGCTCCTCAACAATAATATAAATTATGTACATTGACAAAAATACAGCAATCAGTAGGAAGAGAAAGTCGGTATATTCGAGGTAACTAACTAACTAATCTCAATAACTAATCCTCTTTTCTCCCCCTTTTGTCTTTATTCACATAGTTTCATAATTAATTTAGATTTAAATTATAGAATTAAATTTAATTATGCAATCATGTTAAAAATTGTAATTGTCAGAATACATATTTTACATGTGAATTTGAAATGATTTGCTTGTTGAATTTACATTTGTGCATAATTATTTTTAATAAAAAAATTATGTACAATTGAATATGCTTTAAGCACATAAATTGTATAAATATTCATGTGCATAATGCATAGAATATTCTCTCTGATATTTAATCCAACTTACAATCAATACAATTGATCACTCTAATTTTTCAAGTAACAAATAATGTTTTTAAAATACTTCAAAGACCAAAAATTACAGCAGAAATAAAATTATTATTGTTAAAGGAAATCACAAAGGAGCAGGAGCATTTAATGTATAATAATATTGTAAATCTCATTTTTTTTCATGACAGAATAAATTTATTGACATATTTTTGTACACATGCACTTTGATTCATAATGTTCAAAAATAGATAAAAGACTATATTAAGCAAGTTTACAATAATTCCTTATCAATAACCGTTCACACCATTTTAACTTTTACAAAAAATAAAATGTCTTTAGATTATTTAAATTTTTAAAACTTATAGTTTTTACTCCATAATTACTATGACCGGACAGCCAAAGCAATTAAGGCATCAATTTACAGCTCTGGGAAATCTGGATTTAACTCCAGGCAGTGGTAAAAACCCCAGGAATTTTTTGGAAGATGTCTGTCCTTGATACATCAGACTCTATCCCTAACCACCCCGAACATCCATCACAAGTCTGCCAAACTCATGACTGGTCTGATAAACTCCCTCTTAGTAACCACAAGATAGAAAGAAAAAAGAACTGCATAATTATTAGAAATAAACATTTAAATACATAAGAGGAGTAGTTTCTTTAATTATAAATGTTACATTTATAACCTATAGAGAATTTGTACATAGTTTCAAATTTTTCCTTTTTTTTTTTTAACCTTTTTACTAACACAAATGAAAATTTTTCATGCCTGCTATTTTCAGTAATACCATCCTCTCCCAAGAATTTCTCATATTTATAACCCTGAACATAGTCTATCGCCAGGCTTTACCAAACAAGAACCAATCCTCCTGTTGAAAAATTTAATTAAACAAGTTTGTCACTAACATTTTTAATTTAATATAATCCTTTTTAATAAGTCTAAGCTTCTCATTCTCTTAAGATAAAACTTGTGTATCATTTTTGTCCCTTAGGTCCTATAATAGGGGTTTATACCTTTAGTTTTAGTAAAAATATTGATTTGTTTGAATGTTATATTCATAATCATCATCAATTTGCTGTATATATTTTGTATTCAAATTACATTTAGCTAAAGAGATTTTACTCACAGAATTATTATGTTATTAATTTATAATTAAAGTATAAAAGTTATATATTAATCACAATAAAATAAATCATACATTACCTGAAGAGTACAACCACAGCCTGAGGAAATGTCTGAAAGTTATTATTCCGATGAATTTCCGTATCAGATTGTAATATAATTTTACCAAATGTCTGAAAGAGAAAGAATTTATGTAAGTGATTTCATTGTTGCAGATATTATTGAATTCAAATGTTTAAATTAAACTATACAACATTAATATTTGTTTATTTCTATTGTTATATGCTTCATAACATACATATGGTCAATAGTGTGACATATGTTAANAGAGAAAGAATTTATGTAAGTGATTTCATTGTTGCAGATATTATTGAATTCAAATGTTTAAATTAAACTATACAACATTAATATTTGTTTATTTCTATTGTTATATGCTTCATAACATACATATGGTCAATAGTGTGACATATGTTAATGCATGACAGTGGAGTTAGTATATGCTTCATAACATACATATGGTCAATAGTGTGACATATGTTAATGCATGACAGTGGAGTTAGTACACAAATGATTTAATTTTAAAACTTAAAAATTTTATTTTTATTTATAAAAATGATTATTATAATAAATATTTAACTTACCTGCATACCAATTACTGCATAGATAAAAAATAATAGCACAATGAGTAGAGCAACATAAGGTAGAGCCTATAAATATAAATAAATATTTAAACAATAATATATTAATTCTCATTATAAAGATTAATTGATATTTGTTATACTATACTGGCATGTTACTTTTCATTGTAAATGTATAATAAAATGTCTTTTAATTTCAGATTTAATTAATTAGTTAGTATGTTAGTTTCAAGAAAACGACACTTCTTACTCAGATATAAAGGTTTAACTTGGTATTTACTTATAATAATGCATAGATAGCCATCTAAGAAACCAGGAGCAGACTGGCCACAGGAAACTTCTGGCAAATGCTAGAATGGCTGTGCCAAAATGGGCCAGTACTGTTAGAAATTGTATACATGAAAGTATTGTTTGTCAAAATTTTCAAGTATTACTTATTAGTTAATTCAAATGTAACTGATTATACAAATACTTTTTGGTTTGTTTTATTTTACCACCCCTTCACCCAATTTTTTTGCATACTAGTATCTGACACTATTAGTTAGTAAAGTGGCCTAGTGATTCTGACATTTCCAGACTCAAAATCATGTCCCAATCTATATTTATCAGAAACACAATAAAAACAAAACTAAAAGTTGGAACCCCTAAACACCTCTGTGCATAAAAGAACACTGATGTGGCTGTACACCAAAGTATATATGTATACAGTGATGACATTCGAAATATTTAACAAAGGGTTCGCTAACAGAAAATTTTTCCTTAACAATTTTTTTTTCGCTCAAATGGTGCATCGGAAGGCTCTAGTTTAGTAGTGTTACAGAGTATAATACGTATATTTTAATATTTTTAAAAGAATCAAACCATTGAGAAATGTTACATGTGTTTAACAAGGTTCGGAAAACTTTGAAAATGTTAACAACGGGTTCGGCCGAACCTGTGCGAACCCGCTGAATATCACCACTGTATGTATATATATATATATTTTATTTTAATTTCTATATAGTTTCCTTTCTTTCCTTTATCTATTGTTTGTCCCTTCTAGAAATTTCCTTTTCAACCCTTTCTTCTTGGGTGGTAGTGACTAATTTCTTGGAACAAAAGAGAAGAATGTGGACTGAGGGCGATGTGTATGAACAACGATCAGTCTTGGCTGGGACTCCTGAAGGGATAGGACAGAATGAGTAGATTCTCTAGTGCATTTCAGCAGCACATAGAGAAGAAGTCAGATGAAAGAATCAAGAAAAATTCAATCGAGAAAGATTATTGAGCTCCAAGATTTCCATCAAAGTGAACCGAGAAGGAATAAGAACTATCAAACAACTCCAAGAGAGCAAGTGTTCTGGAAATTCACCACCCCAAGATCATCACCAGTATTTGGGTACCCACTTTCCTCTATCCCAAGGCTGCCAAACCCAGGACCTGCCAATGCATTTGAATTTGCCCACCCACAGTAGTGGTTGGCTGTCACCATGCGCGATGTCATGCTATCAATAATGGTGATTGGCCACGTGATTGATCGATTGGTCGAACGCGGAATGAACTATGACTTGAGTCACAACCTTACCACTATTAATACCTAACCTATGCATTTATTACACTTGTTCTATTAGTTTTGAGTCAACTTTTGTGTATTAAAATTAAATTGCTGGGTGCTTCTTCAGATTGTTGTTTGAATAGTTACGTATACATAAATTTAGGTTACGTTAGGGAAGACTTCCCTGCAATGTGTAATCTTGTTTTGTAGGTTTTAATTAGATTTGGCTCAACATATATTTGCGAAAAGGTTTTTTTCTACTCTACACTATGTAAAAAATAAATACCGCAGTTCTTTAACTGTGTCTCATATTTCAAACCAGACATCAGATTTGTCATTAAATATTGAAAAATTATTAGCTAATAAGCCCCTTCATAGGTCTCATTGATGTATTTTTTATTAGGTATTATTAAAACGTGTGCAACTTAAAGCTTTGTTTGATTCAAATACTTATCCATTTATAGAAGAATCATGAGTGTAAGCAAGTATGATTTACTAGGTGGCCCACTGGCTGACATGTATTGAAATTATAGCCCACCTCCAAAATGAATTGGGCAGCCCTGCTCTATTCTATCATTGGTTTTTGATTTTTAAATTCTTCCTCACTTAGTTGTAAGTGCATAGTTATAGTTTATATTATATGTGCTGCAAATATATTGCAGATGGGAATTTATTGTGTCACAAGTGTAGAACTGATAAAAACCTGTTATAAAAATTGTAGTACAGCTCATATTATACATTTGTACTGGGACAGAGAATAGCTGGCATCCTAAAGAAAACCTATCTACTTCACACAAAATAAAGATATTTATTATATAAAATCATATCTTGTATCTCAATTTGCACCTATCATCACACTGACACGTACAAAAAAGTATATAATGGAATATTTCTTTTATGTTACAATTTTCATTGAAATATTGAAATATAAGATCTCAATCCTTCGTTAATTTTTCAAATTGTTTAAACAACTTATAGAATTAATCCTAGTGCTTAAAAATAGTTTTACCCAACCTCTACTAAAATATTTATAATTTTTCAAGCAAAGTTTAAGCAAAGGTAAGAAATAAAATTCTCTAAACTTACACATAAAAGTGTAAATTATTACACAAATTCACTTTTCTCGATCTTATCTATATGCGATATGATTTCATCAGTAATGGTTGTAGATGTGACACTTGTTCATTTCTATATATAAAATTAAACTGTCAATTATAAAGCTTCTAGAATGTTCCATTGCCTGTTATTGCCTGGATGGGCAATAAACCCAGTGGGAGAGCAGGAGAGAGTATGTATTGACTTGTGGTTGAGAGAGAGACTCTCTTTATTTTCAGTACAATTACGGGAAGAACATGAAGGCAACCAGCAACACAAGACTGTGTAAAGGAAGAGTTATGAAAGTTATGAAAGTCAATGAACTCTGCTCCAATCAACGAGATGACCCAGAGAAGACAGTGATTATGCAACACAAAAGTTTGAGGAACTTCTCAAATACTAGTACATCCTCTGTCGTGTTTTCAATTGTCTACTGATGGTATAATTCTCGTGTAAGAAAATTTATGGCTTAGAAAAATGCGTAATTGTTGCAAAAAGAGGAAATGTCTGAGTGTAATGGGAACCTAAAGCATTGTAATGTATTTGAATACCATCTGAATATCGTGCATATCAAATTTGATTTTAACACAACTTCATGTTAAGAAATTAAAAACTTACATAGCAGTTGAGAATTTCAACCAAAATTATTCTATTGTAGGATAATTGGTCACTTTGTAAAATAAAAAGTTCAACACTTTGTAGAACTATTCATCATTTTCAGACTCTTCATCAGTTTTTTATGGTTTCATGATTTTTTGGTTTGTTATTCTTATGCTTTTTGACATTTTGAATAATTTGCTTTAAGAACATAAGATAACTTAGAATTCTTTTCTTCTCATTTATTGTAACAGATATATAGCATAGTTCATAGAGAGCTATATATCTGGTCTTATTTTTCTTGTAATTATTTCAAGATTTATTCTTTTAGCAAACTATCAATAGATTTGTTCTCATCAGAAAGTTATTCCCCTTTCCTCAAAGTAGATTGAAAAAGAGAAAGCAACTCTTCATTTATATGTTAATTTACTTTCATTCAAGAATTTGATTTTCCTTTAATAAATTAAAATGGATCTAATATTATAACTTATAATTATTTTTCATTACTTTTTTCAATTCATCCATTGATTTATGCACTTGTGATTCTTATCCAAACATTTATAAGAAAGAAAATTGTATAGTTCATAATTTCTAGGTTTTTTTCTGTATTTTATGTTTCAATTAAACTTAATTAATGAAATAAGACAAATGATCTGTGTTAAAATTGCAATAATATATACAATTATTATATACTTAGAAAAAATATTAAAAAATAAAAATGCAAGAGGCAACAATTATGTTAAGGAAGAGTTCTATCTAATTTAGTGGTATGTCGCCTATGCAAAGTATATTTTCGATGTTCTGCTATACAATAGATTAGCAAACTCAACATTGCCCCAATATAGAAAGTTCTAGTGTTAAAGGCATCATTCTTAAAAGGGATTTTATACAACTTCAATTTTTTCAAAATATTGTAAAGATCACTATTCCCGTAATAAGCTCTTAAATTCAAAGTTTATAAAATAAATTTTAATCATTTCTCTAAGTTACATAACAGTCTATACTGTATATATTTAAAATATGGTTATTCAAGAATAAATATTTTGCATGTTCATATTCATAAATAAGAATGTCTATTGTTTACAAGTGTTTGTATGTATCACATACATTCAGTTAAAAAATATACATATAAAAATATTACCTGAAATGATTTAATAAAAGTCCAAAGAAGAGTTCTGATTCCTTCTCCTTTGCTGAGTAATTTTACTAGACGCATAACCCTGAATAGCCTAAAAAAGTTAATGCTGAAGCCAACTTTTTGTGAAGGCTAAAAAAATAAATAAAAATAAATATATAATAAGCTATATATTTTATTAATTCATTTAAAAAAAAACACACAAGTTCAATAAATTATTACTTAGAGTGTTGACATTATTAATATATTGAAAATAATTATCTCAAAGATCTAAATGTTTAGAACACAAATCAAAAATAACTGTCACATTATACATTTTTAAACTATGGGAAATTCTAATTTATTATTGGGGTTTCTGTAATTGTTCTCCTTTATACTTAATGGTGCAGACATCAACTACAAAGACATAGTAACTCCCTGGAACAGACATGGAGAGCCTTGATGGAAATCTAGGATACAGGAGTACATTGGCCACAATTGACCAATCAGAGTGCAACATCTAGTATTTAAATGTTTCCAACGAATGTGATGTTCCAAATTTTGGAAGAAACGATTCTTTCTGAGAAGTTATTCTACATTCAAAAAATGAACATAACCTGATGACAAGGGCTTAGACTACCTAAAACATTTATTTAACAGATATTTGCTGGAGTTTGGATACATTATATCTTTTAGTAGCTTAAAAAGTTTTAGGATTCTTTTTCTTTGTGAAAAAAACAGTGAAATGGTGACCTATCTGGACATGCTACAGCAGTATATGTAACTCCTGTTGGAAGATCATCAGCTTAATGTAGTGTTTCAACAAAATGGCACACCACCAAATTGAGCTCTTATTGTCTAACAATTTTTTTTTGCATGCATTTTCCTAAATACTTGTGTAAGTATGCCGATTTGAGAGGGGAAATTTTACTCCCTTGTCAGGAATGACCTAAGGCCCTTGCATATGTGGGTGGTGGTTTCTGGAGGAAGAAGATAAGTGTTAACAATAAACCGTTCATTTTGTCAATATATGCTTATATCTATCTATATGACAATCCAAAGATTTTGGAGTTCCATTGGGGTTGTTGTATCCTTGAAGTTTCTCTTGTCTTGATGGGGCAGCCCCAGGGCAGCAGCGTTCAGAGTATAAGACTTGCACAAAGGATGACAGAAAGCCAGACATCTCTTGGTGATGACAGAGGAGGAACTCTTGGCATGAATGGGAAGATCAAACAGACAGATGGCCCTCATCTTTCCTCACATGGTCATTTTATACCTTTTACCCCCTTTATTCTTCTTCCCATTCTTTGGGCTTTCCCCTCTTGCTCCCCTATTGGTCTCTTACCTGTCTCCAGGTGGAATTCAAGACCAGTTGGGTTGCAAGAAAAGTCTGCTTGAGATGCTTTATCCAACACCATCCGTTCAACTCTGTTCACGACTTACCGATGACTAAGACACCAGCAAACATATTGTGTCTTGTTGCTTCCTTTTCCTTATTGCATTTTAAACAATTTCCTTTTTCATTTTCTTTTGTTCTTTGATTCATCTCCTTTTTCTCTATCCTTTATGAGCAACAATGTCAATGTCAAGTGTCACTGGCTCGACACGTATGTAACTTGTTTTTCATTGTTAATTTATTAAATTATACCTTTGCTTATTAAATGCAAAATATTTCTGGGCCTCACACTTTGTTGGATTCAATGGAGTTGACTTCTCTGTTCTCCACACTTACACCACTCAATTTCTTCCCTGTGAGGATAAACAAAGAACATCGTTTACAAGATTCTCATAACTTCCCTCTGTGAATTTTCATTCAGAATTGATACTGAAATAGAGAGTTATGTGAACCGCCGGGGAGGGTGTGGGTCTCCCGATCCGGCAACAGGTCGTTAAACCCTTCTCACTGGTCAGGATGGATTAAATTTTTAACCTTTCCCGCGGTAACGGGATTAAATGCTTCGGGTCGAGTGGCGGAGGGAGGAGTGCGTCGGTAAGATGACCGGCGATATACGAGTAAAGATGACACCACTTTAACAGGATAACAACGATTTATTAGCCACAAAGAGATTACAATAACCAAGTTCAAAAGGGAAAATCTGAATCCCTGAACCGCGAAAGACCGAGAGAGAGTTCACACAAATAAGTTCCATACCTCTTTATGTCTTGGCATATTTTTAAGGAAAAAGGTTCTGATATCCAACGATGTTTTTCAATAGGACACAATATTCTTAGGACACAGTTGTAATAGTGACGACTAATGAACGACTCCCCCGAGAAGGGGAAGGAAGGGGTTTTTATAAGTTCGGCGTGGGAGAATGGTCATGTGACCAATTGTTGTGAGGTAAAAGGTATGCAGATGGGTCAGAGTTGTTCCCGGGCCCATGTTAACTATAAACTTTAGCGTTGGAATGTGGGATTAGTTTCGAATTGAACGGATGTTTATGTCGAACATAAACGAAAAGTTTTTTTTCCCGTTAGGTTCCACTTTAAGTTAAAGGAAAATTTAGTTGGATTTTAGGCAAAAACGGGACAATTAATCGTCAAATAATCGGTAAAAATTCCGGATCTCACATTCACTCCCTGTTTTCTTTAAAATCGCACTTAGTAGTGTGATTTTAAACCTTTGGATTGTTTTGTCTGGATAGAGGTATGTTTACATAGAGAATGGTCCAAATGACCTTTTTCTCTCTTTTTTTTTCTCTCTCTCTCTCGACAATAGGAAAAAATCCTCTCGGTTACATCAAAAAGGTCGCATAAAAAAAAAATGATTAAAAGAAGCCGATGTGAAATGTAACACTTTGCTTATACAAATAAATCCCGGCACGTGTCATTCGCGACAATATTTATTGCTCTAGGTGGGAGGACTGGAGTCTTCTAACTGAAAGGGTTGATTGGTCAGTTGAAGTTCTCGCTGACCTGGATGGGAAAGTACTGGTCAAAGTTCGTTTCGGTTGAGATGGTCCTTTGAACAATAATTTGAGTTCTTGGTTTCGTCGGCTGGATTTTTTTGTGTGTATGAGGTTGTTTTATCGATGATCTAAAAGCTTCAAGTTGATTTTTGTTGTGGCGATCAGGTTAGAACTTCCTGTGCGATGGGTTGATTGGCACTTCGAAGTATTAGAATAGTTGAGTCACGTGCGTTGGACGTCTTTAGCTTAAGAGGTGAAAGTAGCACTTTTCTTTGATTAAAACATTAATAAAAGTTAATAATAATGGTAAAATTGTCACGGAGTTTCTTCTAGAGGTATATGGAGNTTGACTTGTTAAACACTGACTTCATAGTGTATTTTGAAGACACATGGCAAATTTTCATCATTTATCTTTATTTAGTTGGTATGGTACATCGTTTTTCTGTACGCATTTTGGGCTATTTTTGCCCCTCTTCAGCCAACTATAATATAATGCATGTTGGTTACTTATTACAATAGTAAGTATGTACTGTACATAAAACTAATAAGTACGTAAGTGATACATAAACATACCTTTAAATTACAAATTGTATAGATTAAAATCGTATAAAATTCTATTTTACTATTAACTTACATAAATATCCATTTAAAATCACTTGTGAATATATAATTTGTATTATTTAACATCACTATCACAAAGTGTTAACTATATAGATGAATTTTTCTCCTCCCCCTTCTCTCTGACATTCCTCTGATGTTGCCACATATGCGAGTTGGCCATCTTGTGGCAAAAGTTAATTATATTTTAAATTATTTTTTATAATATATTAAGCCAGTTTTCATTTATTTTTAGACTTAGGTTTTTATTTACACTTTCTTTGCTTTTTATAATTTCATGTGTCTTCAAAATACACTATAAAATCAGTGTTTAACAAGTCAATAATAAAAATTATTATTAAAATAGTTTAGAGAATAAATCAGAATTAAGAATTAACATATGAATAAAAAACAAGAAATTTTTCTTATCCTTTATTCCATTTATGTTCAGTTTACATCAATGCTTTTCTATTTTTTCCATTTTTTTTTATGGCACAATGAAACCTCAATTTAGTGTTTGCCTCCAAAGTTGGCACTAAGCCAAGAGACCTCAAATAATAAGAACTGTAGTAGGTATTTTCTAGAAAAAGAAAACAGCTCCATGGCATAGTTTTTCTGTTTTGCTTGATACAAAAGTGGTAATATGCTTCTAATTGATCTGTTTATAGCAGTTTAAACCTTCATATATGGAGGGACATCATTATCCATCATCATAGCCAACATAAACATCAGGAAATGTTTGAAACATCCATATGTGCAGCCAGCAGCCTTACAACTACAGAGACTAGTTAAAGACACATGTACATATGGCTGCAGGATAAAAAAAGTATAACTTTTAAAAAGTTAACTTCAACACAACATTTTGCTTGTTAAATGTCTGTTGTAAAGATCAAAATAAAAAGCTGTCATAGTGATCAATGTAAACTGGCAGCAATCATAAACTCAACTTACATATAGCACAATACATCATGTCTAAGGTCTGAAGAATAAATATTTTCTGCAACAAACCCATTCAAGCAGATTTGTTTGCAAACTGATAAGTATCAATAGTATAGTTTCTATGATTTTTAAATTGTAAAATAATAATTGTGAAAAGTTAATGCTAACAGAAAGAGATGGCATTGGCACAGCTTATGGAAGCACCCACGATTATTAATAATACTTCCATAAGCTGTGCCAATGCCATATTCTTCAGTTAGTATTAACTTTCTAGTATTAATAAATTGCGAATAAATAAAAAGAATAAAATATATTTACCTTAAACCGAAATGCCATTAACTTAAGAACAAATTCCAGAGCAAAGACACTGCTGAAAGCTATATTTAATTTTTCTAATGCCTTTGTATAAGATTCCGGTTGGCCATGATACTAAAGTTTAATATATGAAAAATATAAAAAATTATAAATTATTTGTAATAAAATTCATAGATTAAGATACGAAAATATATATATAATACTTACTTTCATGCACATACTAATTGTATTGACTAAAATTAATGCAAATATTGCATATTCAAAATATTGTGATGTGACAAACCACCAAACTTTATACTGGAATTTATTTTTTGGAATGTATCTTCGAACAGGTTTGGCTTTTAATGCAAATTCAATGCAATTCCTCTATGAAAAAAAATTGATTATGTGTTTTTATTTGAAAATATTAACCAAATATTAAGATTTATTCAAGTTTAAGAAATCTTAAAATATTCTATAAAAAATGACTAAACTTTTAATTAAAATTATCAGTAAAATTAACTAGTTTTAAAATTTTAATAATTACAAATCAACTGACTTAACTCTAAGAAAATTAATATAATAATGAATTTTTGAAAACTGAAATACTATTTTTCTATAGTCTTGCTGCCATTATATCTTTTTAAAGACTCAAAATATTTTAATTTAAGACTTTATAGATTTTTCACAATTAGAAACTAAAAATAATTATAAAACTATTATAATACAACATAAATTTACTATACAGGGTGGTAACAAAAGTCTCTCAAACCAATTATTTCAAAAACAAATGTGAAAACTGCTGCAGACCTTTTGCCAGTATATAATATGTTGGGCATATGCTAAACAATGGTGCAAATTTCCACCTTCTCCAACCCTTCTATTGGAGAGGACTCACATAATCTCAGTCCTTAATGAAAATAGGGCAATATTGTCAATTACAAAGTTGCAGCATACGATAAAATATGTACTATATCTTTTAGTGAATTCTGAAATATCAAGTGAAATCCTGGAATTATGCATTCAAAACAGAATTATTAGGCTGAATTTTCAAATTGCAGAGCTATATGTTTCTGCCATTGTCCTTCCTTAATCTTGAGAATGGAGTTATATAGATGAAAATCAAGACCATATATGGAAAGCTTAGAGGTTCCGATTAATTATACACAAACTTCCCATCTGAACCAGAAATAACATGATTTTTTAAAATTAAAATATGATTAAAACTTGCAGCACAGTATCACAACAATGTCACAGTAATATACATTTAATTTTTGTTTATTAAATTATGTTTTTATGATCTGAAAACTGATATGTTATATTTCATTTTATTGTTTCTAAGGATTGTTTGTTTTATTAAATTATGGCAACACAACACTTGGGCAATCTGCCTAGGAGGGAGTCCTTCCAGCAGTCTTTTTAAAGATAACTGGCCCCTATTCAGGCATTACAGACATGGAGAAAACCCAGAAAACTCCATGTGGCAGCCTGTCCTGGTGAGGTGTGAACCCACGACTGAACTCCCAGTATTCAGGGAACAGAACTGCTTGGCCACTGATGGGCCTGTTTCTAAAGATATTTCTGATTTCCCTCACTTATTTTCCACCTCTTTAATTAAGTGATAACATACTGATCCTAAACTTAAACTTCTTCTTCTATTTTATTTGGCACAAAAGATGCCACCTGATTCCACATAGAACTACCAGGTAGCAGATACAATATAGATTGGTAGAGGGTACATAGGTAAATTACATAAAACATAAGTGCAGAAAACCACGTACAATAAGAAATAATTGTAAAAAGAGAGGATACATGTGAAAAATATAGAGACACGCAAAAATTTACACATTATTTACAGATGATGAGCACATAATACATATAATGGTAAAACACACAATGCATATTTATATAAGGCATTTACATCCTATTAATACTAAAGTTGGAATCTAAAATATTGTTGAAATAAAAATACAAATATAAATACCACTCTGCGTACAATGTACAGTAATAATACATATAGTAAAGCAAAATGAGTTACATGAGAGATAAAATACAAATAAAGTATATATATGTAACAAATACGTATTTACATAAAATTATTTAAAAAATTGTTGTAGTTGAAGAATGATAATGGTGACAAAGAATGAAAGCTAGTGGGAGCTGACTTGAGGGACTGTTGTGACTTTGTTGTAGGAAGATATGAGCTGTTTGAAGTAGAAGTAAATGTTCTTGTCTTCTATTAATTGCACTCACACAGCCAACATCTCCCTTTGTCCAAAACTGCATGTCTCAAAAAGTGGCAAGGGATGGATAGTGTGAGAGTTAAAGATGTACGAGACAAATAGTTCCAACGAATATCACTTAAACAATAATTTATTACAACAGGGATTAACATGTATACAGAAATGCCCGTCAGAGACAAATACACGAATATACAACAGGTCTCTACTCTCGTCCGGAATCTTACAAAAATTTTAATTACCACGATATAGGGTCTAATCACTAACTTATAATTAACTTATATCTAACTTAATCTAATACTATACTAATAAGAGGAAAAGGAAGGAAAGAAAGAAAAGGTCTACCGGTAGTTATCACAGGAGGTCCTGATGGTGGTTTCCGATAAATGCGGGGGTTTTCTCGGCCGACTTTGGTATATTAAACATTCCTAGTATGAAATTTGGCACTTAGTATTCGTAGACTACTATCTCTCATCAATCAAGTCGCTAGTCCCTTTCTCTTCTCTGTGGACTACGCTCAACTTCGTACATTGGGCTGGTTCTTTGTCTTAAGACTGACTTATTGTCCTGACGATATTTTCTTAACCCGCTCTCCTCGTCGTTCAGCCAAAAAGTGTCCTTCTCACCCCACGGGCAGGGCCGCGCCCTGTTCACGTCGGTAAGCCACCAATCAGGACCCACGAAATTCCCGCTCCTGATCGGGTGACCGGAAATGGTCATTAGTATGAAGAAGAAGGAAGGAAAAGAACAAAGGATCGTAAATCTAAATACTATAACTATGTATATACAAAATGGCGGACAGCCACAATAGCATGGGACAGAAAAAGATGTAATGGAGGGGAGCATTGGGAACACCACAGATGGTGAAAAGGTTGTTATCATGAAGGGTGAATCTTTGGAGGTAGTTGAAAAAACAGCCATGACCAGTGAAAAATTGAGTGGTAGAAAAGTCTGGTATAAGCCAGGTATTATTGAAGAAATCCTTGATAGAGGGGAAGAAGCAGTAAGCAGTAGAGTTGTGTTTTTGATCCCATTCAAATTGCCATTGTTGCAAGAGATCCTCCCACAATACCTGCTTGATATAAGTCTGGTGTATTTTATTGTAGGTTTCCTCCACCTCCAGATCAACAGCAGCAGACTTTGCCAGTGTATCAGCACACTTATAGTTCCAATGTGTGCCTTAACCCAAGTGATAGAGTAACTGTTGTTGGAGTTGGAAATAATATGATGGATGTCGTTGGCAACAGAATGGAAGGAGTGATTGTATATAATATTGATGGCAGTTGTCAGTGTAAATAGAGAAGTGCTGCTTCTTGTAATTTGAGTTCAACCAGTGAACTGCATGCAGAATACCAATCAGCTCTGCCTAGAAAGCACTGCAGTGAGAGTGCAGCCTTAGACACAGAGAATATTTCTTTGCTTTGGTCAACAACAAAGCTTCACTCAGTGCCTGCAGCAGACTTTGACTTGTTGATAAATACATTGAAATAGGTGTTGGAGGCTGGAGTGGTAGAGAGGAGTGTGCTATAAGTAGGGTCCACAGAAGTGTGGAATGGTGTAGGAGTCTTAATTGAGTTGGCATCAATGTTGATGGAGCCGATATTAAGCCTAATGCCCTGCATCAGTTTCATCTTGTTGGAGACCATATTAATGACAAGGTTGATGGGTGGCTTTTTAGAGATGACCTGTAGGCTGCTAGCGGGGCAGGTGTTGTAGTCCTTGGTGATGAGAAGCAGAGCTCTGTGCTGAGCAGACAGCAACATACAAATGTGATAAGATTTGTTAGCCACATGGGCCCAGGCACTGCAGGTGTAAGTAACAATCGGGATGAAAATTTGATTATAGATTGTGCTCATGGCCTATGTGCATTTGGCCACCTTATAGAAATTATGGAAAATTTTTCCAGTGTAGTCAGTGATGTAATTAATATGCTGCATCCATCCTAAACTTAAACTGTAAAAATTTGTTTTGACCAATTATTATTATTATTATTATTATTATTTTTTTTTAATTTTTGTTATGACAGTAATTTTGATTACGAGCCAACCAATGCCATATTTCATCAGGCTAGATAACGGCTATAATATTAATAAATTATGAAACAATTTGATACTACAGGGAGGCATTAGGCACCATCTCTTAATAAATTTAATAATTGTTAATTATTAAGTTGGCTTGTAGTTTTATAATGTATTGGGTTTTAGTGGTGGTGTTTGTTTAGTAACTTTGACTTTTTTTACTTAGTAAAACTAAATATTAAAGAAAAAGTTTGCTGTTTCATGAAAACAGTGCAATATGGCCATGGAATGCATGCCACACACTCCCATTATATATTTATAACTTTCTTTAGCTGCATCACACCATCTCATATGAATATCGCAATTAAGAAAGCTGGCAAAAACTACAAAATAAAACTCAAATTTAAGACATCCTAATGTAATTTAAAATATAATAAAGTAATATATTTCATCAGAAAGTGATGTTATTTCAAAACAAAAATACAAAGGATGCTTTTGAGAATTTTATAATTATAAAAATGGCAAAAATTTGCATTTAATTTATAATAAAAATAATCATTATTAAGCATTAAAATTGTCAAAATTAAAAATTTTGTAGTGTGCTGCTTTCTGTAGCAGTATAATTTAATGGACTTTTTATGTCACAATAAAATATGCCAAATACAGAGAAGAGAATCTCAATGTTTAAAGAAAATAGGCTAAATTTTTCTGAATTTGACTAACATTCAGGCTGCGGAGTCGGAGTCAGAGAGTTTTAGTGTTTTAGCCGGAGTCGAAGTCAGAGTCGGATTGGTAAGGAAAAGTCGGAGTCAGAGTCGGTAGATTTTTACGCGACTCCACAGCCCTGCTAACATTTATCACAAATAGTTAGTCGACTTGTTAAAGAATTTTTCCTGGCAATGGGTGCCCTGATATGCATAACTATATGCATAAATTTAAAACAAATGTTTGTATGGTTAAATACATGTATATGTATTTTGTTTTTTTTTTATTATGTATATTACACATATACATTAGAAATCCTGTATTAATTATATTCATAGTGTCACTTCCATATAACTTCAGGATATCATAAGTTTTTTTTTTGGTTAAATCTTAAGAAAAAAATTTGAAAAATCTTGATTGTTTAAATAATTTTTTTATCCAAAGAAGTAAATAAACATAATATTTATAGCAATCTTGATCAAATATGGAAGTCTTATTTTCATTTATAATCTTTATATTATTCCTAAATGAGTTATTTATTAAATACAGTAGAGCGTCTTTTATCCAAAACGTCAATTATCTGAAAGAATTCCAGTTGGCAAATTTAAATTTTTGCTGTGCTGTGGCACTGCAATCTTTGGCTATGTTTTGGGCTACTCCAATATTTTTATGTTTGTGTGTGTGTTTTAGCTGGCAGCACTAGCACTTTTGTGTGGTGTTTTGCTGAGGATTGTGTGTCGTGCTGAATCGAACATTTTTGATACTAGATTAACTTCAAAGTATAATTTTTGTTTTTTTATATTTTTCAAAATATTTATTTTGTTTGTAAAAAATAAAAAAATAAGTTTTAATGATACAATAGCCACAATTAATATTTAAAAAAGTTTATGTTAGGCTTAACATTGATGAAAATTCGCGACGGAGAAAAATTTCAACATGGGATAGGTTAATATATTTTTTCGTGCATAATCGGTTATCCAAAAAATAAGTTATCCGAACAATCTCAGTCCCCAATCGGTTTGGATAAACAACGCTCTACTATATATCTAAAATATGAAATGGTATTTGGCTAATAAAAAAATGTTATAATCTTTAAAATTTGTTATATGATAAAAGCATATCTTTTTTTAAAGACAAACAATAATATATCATGACAAAAATGAGTCAAATTTAAAATATTTCTGATAAACAATTTGAATAAATTCAAATACATACTTTCTTCCATATGAAAAAAGCTTTAATCCCGAAATTTTACAGATTATTCACAACAACGGTGAATGTGATACTTTATAAAAAAAGTAATCTAAGTCTTCTAATATAAGATGAATATACACAGTGTCTGAAAAGCTACTGTGCAGCAAGAAATTCATAATTAGACATTAAAGTTCTCCATTCGGTACCAGTTGACCATATGGTGATATGGCATACAATTTACAGTTCTCGTATGCAATACCATATATATAACTTTAATGTCATTACAAATTTCTTACCATATGATAACTTTTCAGACACCCCATACAAATTCTGTATTATGGTTTTATGATTCTTTAAGAAACTTTGCAATAATTTTAAGCAAAAACAATAATTCCTAGGATATATGGGCATAACTTATTACCTGGTTTTTGTCTAATTCACAATTTTTATATTCTTGTTCACCCTCATTTTGAAATGTAACAATAACAAAACCAACGAAAATGTTGACCATGAAGAAAGCAATGATGATGATATAAACAATGTAAAATATCGCAACCATGGGACGATAGTTATGTGATGGACCATGATTCTCTGCATAAGAATCTATAGATACATATAACAATCTATAAACAAAGAATAAAAGAAATTATTGTTACTAAAATAAAAAGCAATTAGTTTTTTATTATTGAAAATACTTTGAAATTATAAATTTAATTATTAATATTAATATACAGGAGCTCCCGAACTTACGAACTTTCAAACTTGTGCACAATTTAACTGTACATCTAAAATTTAAATTGTGTATGCAGATTCTGAAGTTTTCTTGATGCCTGTAGGGTGACGTTGAAGACAGTCTTTGGCCAATAATAAATAATAAATTGTTAATAAATAATTAATGCAAATTAATTTTTGTCTATTGTCATTTTTTGTTTTTACTTTAATTCTGACATTGAGGTGGAGTTAAAGTACACACCATTGGTGTAACAATGTTTATCATTATTGTTTGCAATTTTTATAAACTTTTATGATTAGTGCTTCAAAAATACATCTAAAATGTAACAGTAATCTAACAGTGGAGATAAATATGAGAAGCATCACTATTACCATGGAAACTAAACTTGGCATTATAAAAATAAGTGCATTAGGTGAAAAAAACTGCATTTGAAACACCCACTGCTAAGTAGTAGTAAGCGGGTAAATGAATGTAATGTATTCTATTAAGTACATTCAAGGATCAAACACTAACAATATTTGATTATTGTGTGTACAAATGTACTTTCTGGATTAGTTTTTGACTTACGACAAAGCCTCAGGAGCCTAACCTGTTCGTAAGTAGAAGAGCATCTGTAATCAGTTCCATACAGAAATGAAACTCTTCAATATCATTCAGATTTTATGCAAAATGTTAACAAATAAACAAATTAAAATGTTATAGAATGAATATTCAAAATCTAATTTTATTTTGCCAAAAGCTTTAAATAATTTAAATAAAATCATTCACTTCTCTCTTTTGTTTTTTTTGTAGTTTTATCAATGGTAGGAGCTTTTATTTTTCCTTATTATTTAAATTCTCTTATAAATTTGAATTAACCAAATAATTATTTTTACTACTAGAGAAGATAGCCATGTAAAAACTTATTTTTCTTTCATAATTAAGAAGTCACTATAGTAAAATCAAATCAAAATATATATAAAACTATGAAATAATCCAACATTAACCTTCTTATTTTTGTACATTAATACTTTGTATTATTTTTTAAATTTACATATTACTGTTGTATTTAATTAAATTCTTAGGAGTTCCATAAACTTACTGTGGCCATCCTTCAAAGGTAGATACTGTAAAAAGAGTCAGCATAGCTTTAGCAACATCATCAAAATGGAATGTATATCTTGTCCATTCTCTTGCTTTTACTATAGGTTTGTCCATATCTCCATCAATATAGTTTATGTAACTTCCACTGTAAATAATAAAGGTATTTCCAATTTAGTTAAAAAAAAACCTATTATAAAAATTAAAAAGTATAAACAATATTGCAAATTATTAATTTATGGTATTTCATACAACAGTAAAAATGAAAAATAAATAAATTCTCAATTACAAGTCTTAAATAATTATAACTTTTTTTAAGAACTGTAAAAGTTTTATGGAGATCAAAGCAAAATTTAAAGAAATAATATCTTTAAACAGCTAGAAATATTACGATCTAAGGTTTTCAATCTAATTTATAGACATTCATCTGAATTCTTTTATGAAGAATCCTGATAAAAAGAATACTAACAATCTATAAATTAGACCAAAACATTAGATTAAAATATTTCTCACTGTTTAAAGGTGTTGCTTCTTTAAATTTTAACAGTATTATAAAAAATAATTGAAATAAAAAATTTTATAGGAGGAAAAAAAAGTTTTTAATTTGATTATTTTGTTTTTTCACTTCTATTTATGAGATGGTAAATATGATTTACATTGAAAAATTAAGTAAAATGTAAAGAATTTTCATAGTTTTATAAAAAGAAAGTAAAAACACACTAAATGTGGCATTAACAGTTTTTTATTTTGCTAGCACTTTCAACAAAGTTATGTGTTTTTACTTTCTTTTTACGTAATATTTGGCATGAGGTTCAAGCTGTATTTTGTTACATAGTTTTATATTTCTATCAACAAGATCTAAATGTAGGAGAATAACAGCAAACTTTTTAAAGGAAAATAATTGTACATAATTAATAGAGAAATTAACTATGTAAAATATAACAAAATGAATAGTTTAACTATTAAGAACAAAAAAAAAAAATATTAATAATACAAAACACCAATTGAAAAAGGTTTTATACTTTAAATGTTTCAAAATTTAAAATTCAAATCTAAAGGTTTATTTAAATTAAGAATGGTTAATTTCTTTAAAGTATTTAAAACATCAAATTACACCAAGAAAACTAATATAATTTTCCATAGACATTTCTTAACTCCCACTAACATTAAAACATCATCATAAATGATATACGGTGTTTTCCTGTTGAATGTCCCTAGTTTTGAGGATTAATTTTGAGGGGGAAAAAGTGTGAGTAAAGTACTGTAGACAGCAGTAATAGAAAATACATCTGAAAAACTTAGTTACTACATTAAATTGATTCATTTCCACTTATGATCTTGATGTGGTATGTACTGTACAATATTCAGTCTGTAATTGATTTTATTCCATGTCTGAGTCATCACATTAGGAGTCACATCACTAATGGAATCTACAATTCTTGTACACGGGTCTCTCATGTCTGGCACTTTTGTAGCATATACTTGATCTTTGACATGCTCAAAGAAAACAGTTCAAAGAGAGATGATATCGAGAAACTGGGCACACCAAGTGATCTAACTGTGCAGCAGAGGAGGTCTAGAATACCACAATGTGGCAGCAGTAGCCCTTTCAAGCATATGCACGTGAAACTTTAAAATATTGGCCAACTTTCTCCAACACATTTTATTCACATATCTGAACAAAAGTATTTTACAGAACAGTTTAAAACTAAAGACATTCGAGAGGAACACCCTGTAATATATTACTGAATAATAAATTAAGTGATTATAATAATTTATTATTATGCAAAGATTGTATCATCTTTAAAAGACTTTTTAAATAAAATTTCTATTACTTAAAAAATGCAGTTAAATTACATTAAATATAAAACCTGTGCAGCAAGAAATTCATAATTAGACATTAAAGTTCTCCATTCGGTACCAGTTGACCATATGGTGATATGGCATACAATTTACAGTTCTCGTANCATCATTATACAGTATATTCATAAATATTTAAATATTAAAAATAAAAAAAAATTTTTTTTTTGTATTATTATGTTGGGTTTTGTGAGTTATACTCAGTGCACACTGGTAACTGTATACTATGCCAAACCAGAATCAAGACATAGTAACTGAAACAAAACAAAAATTAGTGTGTCAGTTGTTAGATTAGATGTTGCTTGTCGGAGAGATTAGTAAAAACTAGTTAGACTTGTGTAACTGGTTATATAACAAAGAAACAAAGAATACACAAAAATTACACTATCTTAACTCATGGAAGGTCAGTGCTGAAAAGGGGAGTGTGAAACGAGGTCACTGTCCCCAAGGGGTCAACAGCACCACCAACCTTTTATTACGTAACAGAAGAGCATTTACAAAACATCGCAACACAATATGTTGTACTTTTTGTACATTAATACTTTGTATTATTTTTTAAATTTACATATTACTGTTGTATTTAATTAAATTCTTAGGAGTTCCATAAACTTACTGTGGCCATCCTTCAAAGGTAGATACTGTAAAAAGAGTCAGCATAGCTTTAGCAACATCATCAAAATGGAATGTATATCTTGTCCATTCTCTTGCTTTTACTATAGGTTTGTCCATATCTCCATCAATATAGTTTATGTAACTTCCACTGTAAATAATAAAGGTATTTCCAATTTAGTTAAAAAAAAACCTATTATAAAAATTAAAAAGTATAAACAATATTGCAAATTATTAATTTATGGTATTTCATACAACAGTAAAAATGAAAAATAAATAAATTCTCAATTACAAGTCTTAAATAATTATAACTTTTTTTAAGAACTGTAAAAGTTTTATGGAGATCAAAGCAAAATTTAAAGAAATAATATCTTTAAACAGCTAGAAATATTACGATCTAAGGTTTTCAATCTAATTTATAGACATTCATCTGAATTCTTTTATGAAGAATCCTGATAAAAAGAATACTAACAATCTATAAATTAGACCAAAACATTAGATTAAAATATTTCTCACTGTTTAAAGGTGTTGCTTCTTTAAATTTTAACAGTATTATAAAAAATAATTGAAATAAAAAATTTTATAGGAGGAAAAAAAAGTTTTTAATTTGATTATTTTGTTTTTTCACTTCTATTTATGAGATGGTAAATATGATTTACATTGAAAAATTAAGTAAAATGTAAAGAATTTTCATAGTTTTATAAAAAGAAAGTAAAAACACACTAAATGTGGCATTAACAGTTTTTTATTTTGCTAGCACTTTCAACAAAGTTATGTGTTTTTACTTTCTTTTTACGTAATATTTGGCATGAGGTTCAAGCTGTATTTTGTTACATAGTTTTATATTTCTATCAACAAGATCTAAATGTAGGAGAATAACAGCAAACTTTTTAAAGGAAAATAATTGTACATAATTAATAGAGAAATTAACTATGTAAAATATAACAAAATGAATAGTTTAACTATTAAGAACAAAAAAAAAAAATATTAATAATACAAAACACCAATTGAAAAAGGTTTTATACTTTAAATGTTTCAAAATTTAAAATTCAAATCTAAAGGTTTATTTAAATTAAGAATGGTTAATTTCTTTAAAGTATTTAAAACATCAAATTACACCAAGAAAACTAATATAATTTTCCATAGACATTTCTTAACTCCCACTAACATTAAAACATCATCATAAATGATATACGGTGTTTTCCTGTTGAATGTCCCTAGTTTTGAGGATTAATTTTGAGGGGGAAAAAGTGTGAGTAAAGTACTGTAGACAGCAGTAATAGAAAATACATCTGAAAAACTTAGTTACTACATTAAATTGATTCATTTCCACTTATGATCTTGATGTGGTATGTACTGTACAATATTCAGTCTGTAATTGATTTTATTCCATGTCTGAGTCATCACATTAGGAGTCACATCACTAATGGAATCTACAATTCTTGTACACGGGTCTCTCATGTCTGGCACTTTTGTAGCATATACTTGATCTTTGACATGCTCAAAGAAAACAGTTCAAAGAGAGATGATATCGAGAAACTGGGCACACCAAGTGATCTAACTGTGCAGCAGAGGAGGTCTAGAATACCACAATGTGGCAGCAGTAGCCCTTTCAAGCATATGCACGTGAAACTTTAAAATATTGGCCAACTTTCTCCAACACATTTTATTCACATATCTGAACAAAAGTATNATCTAATATAAGAGAGTTAATTATATTGAACTTGCTTATTTATTAAGTGCATTAGATAATCTATTAATTAAAAATACATTTAGAGAAGTCTACGGTTTTTACTGGCTTATCGAACAAACGAATACGAATGAACCCTAGACCATTGCTGACTGATTGTCCCTGGAAGTCGGCTTCTTATAGAAACACAGCTTCCCTATAATCAAATGTCACGGCACGCCACTGGTGTTTATCAATGAGTGTAATGTCTCGTCTGTTGTGGTAAATTGTTTTATCTGTGATTATGGCTCTGTCGTAGTACATTTTGTGCGTGTTATTTTCCAATACTGTCTGTGGAATGTATTTATAGTATGGTTTGTGGATGTCTAATAATTTGTTTCTTTGCAAACTCTTGGTGTATTATATTTGCTACTTGATTATGTCTATGTAAATAATCTGTCTGTGCCAAGAGCTTGCAACCAGAAGTGATGTGTTATATAGTTTCTGGCATAATGTGACATTTTCTGCATGTGTCATTTGTGAGTGTTGTATCTTTGAGTATGTGTTTTCTGTAGTTTTTAGTATTTATGACCTAATCCTGTAGAATATTATAAAAACTGATAAAACATTAATAATGAGGTGATGTAAATTTAGAGGTTAATATATTTTTAAAAATGATCAATTTTAAATAGAGCAATAATCCATTTTTTATTATTAATTTTAAAAAACTACAGTGATAATGGTTATAATTAAAAATGATTAATATAGAAATTTGATAGGAAATATCTTAGTGTTATTGATATTTATAATTTAAAAACAATTTAAAATAAAAGCAATGTTTTAAACTTTATAGACAATGTTAATGGAATGAACATATACATTCACATCATCATTTTTCCTGTAATTAAAGTGCAGTTTTCAGAAATATATAGTCTGAAATAATCTGCATTTAAATTTACTCATATTGTTATTTTATTTTATTCGCAAATAGCCAGAAAAATATTTTTACATACAAATAGACCAATAGATGAATATTGTTAATAGAAATACTCCAGTATTTTTATTAACAGTTATATCAGTTAATGCTACATACAGACTTTTCAAAATCTACCATTAAAAATTCTAGCTTTGTATTATTTCTGCAAATCTTTAGTATTACCATTATGTATTTAAATATGTAAATCTACCATTATGTATTTAAAGTAATGAGTTAACAAATTAATATAAAATTGATAGTTAAATTAAGGTTTTTATGTGTTATTTTTACAATTGATAAACAACGATATAAGTGTTATCTGATACAATTTGAAGAAATTCATTAAAAATACAACTATGACATTGAATCAATATGTAAAAGCAAAATTAGTGAAACATTAAAAGAAAAATTACATTCTCCTATAAGATAAAACTAGGGTAATGAAGCCAAATTCAATAATAGTCTGTTATTTTCCTTCATGAATTCCTCAAAATATTTCTAAGCAATCAGTAAAGCCTAAAATTTTGAGCTTAATAATAATTTTAAAGAAAGATGAAAATGTAAGAAGAAAGAAATATGTACACTACTAGTATTAATAATAATAATAATAATAATAATAAACACTCACAAATGACACATGCAGAAAGTGTCACATCATGCCAGAAACTATACAACACATTACATCTGGGTGCAAGCTCTTGGCACAGACAGATTACTTACATAGACACAATCAAGTAGCAAATATAATATGAGGGCTGTTCGGAAAGTTCGCGGCCTCACATAGAAAAACAAACAAAATAATGTTAAAACTTTTTTATTTTTCAATGTAATCTCCTCTGTTAGCAATGCACTTATTCCAGCGATGTCCTAGCTTTTTTATGCCATCACAATAGGTCGATTTGTCAAGGTGTGCAAAATACTCGTTCACTTCAGAGATGACTTTGTCATTTGAGTGGAATCTCTTTCCAGCCAAGAATATTTTTAGGTTTGGAAAAAGGTGGAAGTCACTGGGGGCCAAATCAGGTGAGTACGGTGGATGTGGAACTAATTGGAAGCGAAGTTCGTTTATCTTTTGTTC